ATGGTAATGAAAAGACAAAGCAATATAAAAAAACTGCTTTTTCTGGTAATTAACAGAGTATCCTTGTTGAAAAAGAAAAAAAACTATTCTCAACATCCTGTAATAATATTGTTAATCCTTTAACTCCTAGACAGAATTTCTCCATATCAATACAATATCAAGCAGACAAGTGATGGGAGTAAAGAAAAGCATTATTTAGGGGATCATTAGTTGATCCAATACCAACTTCTCCAAACTAAAATCATAAGTATTTATGGCAGAGAGTAAGGAGAATTACTAACAAGATCTTGGGAGTGAAAGGGTTAACAAGATTTCTTATATATAATATAATAATTGTTCTATCACCATTGTGTGAAACACACATGCCTTCTTTGCATGGATATATTGAAACTCATTTTTAAATTATTTAGATCTAGGTCCATTGTTTTGTAGTTTTCCTTTGTTCAAGAATCACTGAAAATAATTTTTCTGAAACAAAGGAAAACACTAAAGAAATAAAACTATCTCAAACCACTTTGACATACATTCATTTCAAACCACAACAGTTTCAGCTGGTTAGGAAAATCAAACTCATAATGTAGGAGCTTACAGTACTAAAATAAATTCTTCCTAATTTGCCTAAATTCCAGTTATCAGGTCACTTCGTGCTTGTATCATTGCGGATTTTGCAAGTTTTAGAGACAACAATGTTAAGATATGGAGAGACCTGTATCTTAAATCGATACCGTAGTTCATATGCCCACCAAAAAAATCACTATACATGTTCTAGATCTCGCTCAAAATCAAGAAGTCGTAGTCGAAGTAGAGAGAGAAGCCGAAGAAGAGATCGCTATTATTTAAACGTGTAAGTAATAATTTTACTTCAACTCAATCGATAAGACGTAATCATTCAATTTAAAATAATTCGCTTCAGATTGATTCACATTTGCTTAAAATCTTGCCAAAATCTTATCCTTCTTTGACTCTATCCAACCAACACATTTAATGACAATTAAATCAATTAAATGCATTAAAAGCTTTTAGACACTAGTAGAAGTAAGATTTGACATGACCATAAATGAATCTTTAATCTGTCAGATCTGTTATCTAACGCATAGGAAGTTGTACCTTATTCAAATCTATTTAACAAATAGATTCCAAGATGCCGTGCGTCTGTTCAGTAATAGATCACAGATGACGTCAAAATGTGGTAAGAACAATATACTCATATCTCATGAGAATACATTTCCTCATTTAGTTGACTGAGTAAACAAAATTAATCATAAGGAAGATAGTAAATTTTAAGTACTGTAATGAATTAAGGAAGTATAATTATATATTTTTTCTCATGTCATAAGCATGGTACAAGTAAAGAAAAGTGAATCCCAATATTGATGTGGAATATTATGGCAGACCTTTGGATTCCATGCTCCTCTGAGTTAAAGAGAATCCCATACTTCTCTGTATCTCCATGGCAATGAACTCCTCATAAGCCATAACACTTATTCCTCTGTTTTACTGAGCTAATGAGAACTGCAGTTTACCTTAGAGAGAATTTTCTATAGCTCAGTGATAGAGTATCAGAGTATGGAATTCCATGGTCTGGTATTCAGTTTTGTCCTGTGCTCATGAATAGATGAATAAGATCTTTAGTAAATTTCTCATATCTTTATACACCAGTGCATCACAAAAATGCCTAAACAACATTCAGTCTGTGGATTACATGTGTACCAATTGCATATTAGTTGTTCGTGTTCCCTGTGGATTCACTTTTAAGGTGAATTTAACGATGTCTGTTTCAAAAAATACATAAAAAAAAAAGATAGGTCACCATGCTTGTATAGGAGATATAATGTGCCAAACTTACCCCATTTATGCCTGTACTGGCAAAAATCACTCTCATCACTTCATTGGTCCACGATACATTTTTGCTACAACTGGAAGCAAGGGTTTTTAAAGGAACACTTAAAAATAACTTGATAGAAAGAAAGATTTGAGCAAATGGAACAACTAATAGATGATTTGTGGGAAAATTGCAGAAATGTAAGGGACATTGACTCAAATTATTCCTTGAGTTGTACCTTTCAAGGTTGTAATTTGCATCCTTGACTTACGGCTTTGTGCACGCTTTCAGCTTTACCTTTTTTCCCCTTCAAAGAAGGTTTAATTTCCCCAATTTAAAGGGGATAAATTGCTCACCACAATTATTTAAAAAAAAAAATAGATCACAGTGCTCTTTCAAGAATCAGAGACCATCATACCTCTTTACCCAGTCCATGGATTGAAAATATGCATCATTCCCCTGATAATTATGATTTTTATGCGCAGTACAGGATGTGCAGTACAAAACTGAGGAATCACCTTAAGGCAATTAATCAATATCTCTTGTACTTCAAAGCTTTACATGTAATTTGTTATTGAGAGTGCTTGGCTACCATGATTTCAAATAGGCTTGTCCAAATTGCAGTGGCCCCATTCTTTGTACATTTAGAATGTTATGTAACTTAAACTGGCCAGAAAGTGATGGCCAGCAATTTACTGAACCCCTAAAGCATTACTAACAATTTGCTTGTCAACAACCAGAGAAGTTATTTTAAGTTATTGCTGCAAGAGTTGTACACAAAACAGTTCCTTCGTGAATCTTTGCTACAAGAAATAGATGAAACCCTCTTTGTATTCTGAAACAAGAGAAAACCTTTTTTAGGAGGCAGATTTATTGGAATAAGCCAATAGGACAGTTGACTAGAAAAAATGTATTACAAAGGAGAGTTGTAATTGAAGGAGGGTACTAAATGTCTATCAAACCATGTAATTTTGAGGTTTTCTAGAATGAAGTAGTTTTTATATTTTAATAGTTCTGATGATGAGCTTACAAAGATGGCTCTTAAGCTGCAGACAGGATGTAAAAGATCAGTATGTAAAAAGAAACAGAGATAATTTTTTTCTATGATTCCCTTTCACAGTTACAGTGTAACCCTTTGGCTCCTAAGAGTGACCAGCATACAATTTCTCCATAGATTATCACCCCTGAATTAGACATTGAGGTAAAAAGAATAACGAAAATGATCAACAACTAAAGAACCTCTTGATTGTCAGACAAACTCTCCTTGTTAGCACCTCAGGAAATGTATAGAGAGAGAGTATGGAGAATGTGTATACTGATGTTAGGGTGTAAAGGGTGAAATGACATTTACTGAATTAGATTGAAAGATTTTAAGTTAAGGGGCAACACATGACATCCAGTGCTGTCAATTTGAGCCATTAGCAGATTTACCCACAACCTGGCTAGTGGAAGCCCTTAACCCTTTAAGTCCCAAGATCTGATTGTTAATTCTCTCCTCCAGCTGCAACACATCTCCTTGTAAATTAGTTACCAAAATTTGGTATTGGATGAAGATGACAACTTCCACCTGATTAGTTTGAGTATTCTTATTGCCTGTGTGCAGGTTAATGTTTGGATATTTTAGGGAGAAGTTACATGCTAATCACTTTTGGGAGTTAAAGGGTTAAGTCTATTCACTAATAAATGATGAATAAAGCCATCGTGGACCTCGTAAGGAATGCTGTTTATTGCTGGATGCTGTACATACATTAATTGCTGTAGGCTGGTGTTTATGTATAAGAAGAATTGTTAACATTTTGGAAATATTACTGTGTAGGTGAAAGTGAAAGTGAAGAAGATAGCAATGAGGAGGAGAAAAAGAAAAAGAAACAAAAGAAATCTACTAAAAAGAAATCAAGAAAAACTTGCCACAAAAAGAAAAGGTTAGCACTGTGAAGAGTCAGAAGATTCACTCACCCTAATACATTGCAATGGTATGCACAAGCCCTTCATCACATGCTAAGAACTGGATCAAATGATATTAACCCCTGACACTTAAGAGTGACTAGCATCTAATTTCTCCTACAATATCACCCCTGAATCCAACATTAAGGTCACCAGAGTAAATGATCACTAACTAAAGAAGCTCTTGATTGTTGAACACAATCTACTTGTCAGCACCTGAGGAAATGTATAGAGAACAATATGGAGGATACTCATACTGGGGCTAGAGTGGAGAGGGTTAAATCACTTGTGTCACTCTATACAGTACATTCACTATTGACTGTAGAGTCTTGAGCTACATGTGTTTGTATTGCAAAACTAGACCTTTTGACTGTTGTACATACTAATGAGCTTTTCTTTGCACATGTTTTTTTTAGTGTATTTTGAAAAGTTGCATGCCTTTGTGCACTTTTTGAAATGCACTTTTCACATGCATTTTGGACCAAGCACCTCTGAGCTGTACTGTACCTTACAATATCACCCCTGAATCAAACATCGAGGTCACAAGAAAAAAGGAAATGATCACCAACCAAAGATTGTTAAACAAATTCTACTTGTCAGCATCTTATAAAGAATAGGGAACAGTTAGGAGAATATACATACTGATGGTAGGGTGTAAAGGGTTAAGGAACATTCAATTAATTTGTCTTCTTTTCATTATAGACAAAGATAAAGAGGGAGGCAATGGTGTCACTGGGCCTCTTTCACTGAAGCAAGACACAGGAAATCAAGACATTACAGAGTAAGTACAAATATCATCACAATCACAGATAGTGCAACTGACATCATGAACTTATGAATCTTGTCCTGTACAAAACAATTTTATTTTCATTTGTGGTAATTAAACTGAAAGTACTGGTAGATTATGATGTGATATGAGACTGGACCAGTTTTTTCAGTAACTGATTAATAGGGACGGACAGAACAAGGACTAACACTCGAAAAGTCAGCTTTCAAACTCTTTACGGTGGTCAATTTACATTACCAACTCAGTTGATAATGCTACATTACCTTGTTATACTCTCCCACCAATGTAGCACCACCATTTTTTTCACATCTTACCCCCTTTACTCAGTAACTTGTTTGCTGTCATGCAATCAGCAAGAATAGCGGACCCCAGAGAGACAAATGTTCAAAAAGTTTTCAGAAGGCAGCCAATTTGCGTTTGTTTCCACTGGTGAGTACTTGTATCATAATGGGCCAGTTTAAGAAACCTCAAACACTAGAGTTTCAAATGGAACACCAGTGTTTAAAATCAAACACTAGTGTCCAAAACCAGAAGTTACTGCCCATATTTGTACACTAGTGTCCAAGATTAAAAACTAATGTCCAAAAATTTGACTCTCAAACATTACTGTTCAAGTTGGGACACTAGATCCCCAAACCCTCCTCCAGTTACCATCTACCTATTTTTGCAGTCCTGAGAGGGTCTTCAATCAAACCTACAGAACATTACTATATTGACATGTGTTCATTCCACAATTGCACACAGACCAAAATGAATATGAGGCATCTGAGTTACCATGACAATTATCTTCTGTTCATTTGTGTTGATTGATTTCTGTCCTTTTTCAAAAGCTTTGGAGGAGCTCTGCTACCTGGTGAGGGTGAAGCAATGGCACAATGTGTGAAGGAAAGCAAGCAAATCCCTTGCTGTGGTGACATCAAGCACACAAATGATGAGATTGCTGCATTTGAATCTTCTGGTTATGTGATAAGTGGAAGCAGGTGTGACCGCATATCTAAATCATTCAGTAAGAGTATTTTAAAGCCTTATGTGCAAAAGTTATCTCAAAAATCTTGTTACAATTTGGACCAAAGAAGTGGTGCTAAAAGTAACACACTCCACTTTATCCTAAGGAACTCTGGAACAATGGCATTGTGCATGGGTTTTTGCTAATCATGTCACTGCTAACTATTTGTGTTTTCTCTCTGTACATGAAAGTTTATTGTCTTCTTTAAATTGCTGCTGATTTTTTGCAATAGTTTCTTTCAAATTATCCTTTTCAGACTGGTCAATTTGCTGGTGAGCTTCTGCTGTTACTTGATAAGTTCCTGTTAGGCCTTAAATTTATTGAGAAGGAATATTGCAGTAAACAAGTTCTTCCTATGTCTTGAGTTCAGTCAAACCACTTGCTTAGTGTTACGGATTACTGAAAAATTTGAAACAAGAAACACCAAAAGAGAACCACCAGCAGAGAAGGAAGTGAGAGGAAGTCCAACCCATAGACAGCCAAAGCAATACTTTTGCATCAATCAGAATCAATGCATTCTTCTTTTGTGGTCTCAGTTGATCAGGCGGATAATACTATCCACTGGACTAATCTCTTTCCAGTGGATAGTCCACCACCTTTTTGTAAACACCTACATGTATCTGCTGGATAACAATTTTATCTGTTGGATAGCATTATCCACCCTCTGATGATATTCTAAACACCCCCAAAATTGAAATGGGCAGCGGAAACTTGGTTCCAACTCTCGACAGCTCTTCCAAACAAATCTATGACATTTTCTGGCTAAGAAGCAAATTTTACCAAGTGCAAAAGGGATACTAACAGATAAATACCCGGATGCAAATTTGGAATGGGACAAAGTTTACTATTGTTACGAGTAATTTTGTTGGAAATAAAAGCTTCTAGAAATCTCCAGACTGCGTAGTTATGCTGACATGCGTACCATAGAACTTTCAAGAACATTTCATCAAGCCACGCAGTTATTACTTAATACTACTAAAAAAGTTCTTTTGTAAGCTTCTGGAATGTTCCAGAACACTTTGTGAATGTATATAAGGACTTAGTAGTAGTAGTATAAGTAGTAGTTGTTGCTGTAGGGAGTGATCGACTGTTTAGAAACCTATACCGTGAGAGACAGCAACAGTGGAAGATTGTTAATATCAAGAGACGGAGAGAACTGTGAGTTTGGGTTAGTGGTAGCTAAGATATAGATTGTAGCGGGCTTAAATAAGTTTATCGAGAATAAGTACTGTACTCAGCCTTTACGAGTCGCTCCTTGTTAACAATATTACTTGTTATTTAATAAAGTAGTTGAGTTTGTGGGATTGTTAGGTTAGATTATATGGTAATACTATCTACCATTTCATTCCTCGCTGGATTCAAAGACTAGAGAATTCCAATAAAAAATGCCTCCTCTGTTAGGAGGCGGCGAAATCCATTGAGCGTTTGCTTGTTTCTTGCAAAATATCGTCTAACTTCTGGAAACATGTCTCATCCTGTCTTAAAGAATTAGCTATTTCCTTTAGGTTTGTTTGGACCGAAATTTCCTCTTCTTGAGGAAAGGAGAAAACTTACTTGATAGTTTCAGTCTAGAACTTCGAGTTCCTATCTAGCGACAGTTGGCCTACGTAATACTGCAAACGGTTTTAACACAGTTTTTCCTAGATTGTCTACTTGTACTCGAAATGATAATCGCATGTTGTGATGATGGAAGTGGGAGGGAAAAGGATCCAAAGTGAGTGAAAGCATTTTTATAAAGCAGCTAATATGGTGCCGATTGGCTACTACTGAACAGTTGGTTAGTAATCAAGGGGGTACGTTTCTAAGGACACTGTGGTGCTGCGTCGGTGGAAGAATATAAAAACGTAATCTGATATTATCAACTGAGTTGATAACGTAAATTTGGCCACCGTTAAGAGTTTCAACGCTGACGTTTCGAGCTTTAGCCCTTCGTCAGAGCCGACGAATTAGAACAAGAATACCAAATTATCTTAGTAGGTAAACAAGCCGAGCAAAGGGTAGCAGGTGGATAAAAACCCGGATTTGGTCTCCACTAAGATTTGCCGTGAACTTGTCGGACTGTTTCGGAGCCAACAAAATGAAAGATTTATCTATATTTCATTCGAAATGTAGTTTAATCTTTACTTTTGAGGATACCCACTTCCAATTAACCTAATGTATGTCAATGAAACCGCTTAAAGCCAAACGGAAGAAGTGGAACATCTTCTCATCTGCCTTCAGTAGTACTTACGCAACAGTTGAATTTTGGCATAAAACGGAAAGTGAACAAGTGTAATTGGTAAAATGATTACGATAGAAGCAAATTCTAAACAATCTCACTTTTTAGCCGGGCTTTGCAAACTGTATTTCACTACACATTCTCTGATCGAAAATAATTTTTGAAAAATGACTACCTCATAGACTGGTTAAGTATGACTCTTAAGGCAAACGGCGGAATTGAGCTTCGTACTTTCAAGTGTCAGTAGTCTTGTACTCTAACGTTAAAACAATTGCCTTAACAGTAAAAAAACCAACGATTTTCAAATGCCCTTCACGTGATTTAGAGATTTTTGTGAAGAAACACATTTTTTTGGGCAATAACCTGAGAAATTTTTCTTTGATAAATGTCATCCTCAACATGATTCGACGAATTTTGTCGAAAAATACCCTCCACTTCCTCTTAACTTGTTTCAACTGTATTCCATCCCCTTTGGCGTGAAAATCTTTCAATGAAGATACCCAGATACTCACTTATCTTTGCTGCGGATATCCTTATTTCATTCTTTCCCTTCGTTTTTGTTGAATCAAGTGAGCAGAGACAAGCTCTATGTGACTGATCACCAACACAACCAAGCAACGCGATATCATCTGCCAATGGCCAAAACAGAACAATTTCGTCGCGTTAGTTGACGGCCTAGATAGTATTCGGTGTGCGAGAGTTGTGTCTTTGTTGTTATTACTAAATCAAGGTACAGATTTCAACAGAACTGAAAACTTGGAAAAATTATGTATACTATCTAAACACATAAAACAAGCTGAGAATTAAAACTTTTCGAAAATAACGATTCATGCAGAAAAGTGACTCTTCAGAGCCTTCCAATTTCCGCTTATAAAATTCCCTGATAATCTTAACCAACGAACTGAGGTCTGAGGAACAGTGTTTTCCTAGCATAGGCAAATCATAATATTCTGGTACAAACCCCACCTTAACTTTGTTAAGGAGGCTGGAAAGGGTTTTTAGATGCACGCGCGCGCGCAATCTACACACGCCATATCTAAGATGCACGCGTCAGCTGAATGAATCAAAATCAGCACACTGGAAGTTAAATGTTGCTTGAAATTGCGCGAACCGGAAATGAAATCTGCGAAATACATTTGTTTCCAGCTCGAAATTTTGTTCGGTGACCTATCTTGATTTTTTGCATGCACGCACCATTCACGATGGCACTTCAAATATAAAAGTTTCGGGAAAAATTATCCAGTAGAATTTTTTGTAAGTCATAAATCGCATTTTCTTTCAATATATTTAATTCTACTAGATAAATTTTTTCCATACTGTCTGGAAAGTTAAAGAATTTAGGGAACTTTCCAAGAAAAAAAAATGGTAGGTCGCCGAATTAGTTTTTTCAGATAATTTACAAAAACTAAAATTTAGTGGACGTTTTTGTCGACCTTGTGCGTTGCCATGGTAACTGATATGACGTCATAAGTACCCTCAAAGTATAGCCCAGCAATAGAGTTGCAAGGAGACATATAGTTTGCTCGCCCCATTAAATATGCATCTCTGTAACCTTCCATCGTTTCACAAACACTGCAACAACGAAAAACCCTTTCGAGCCTCCTTAAAGATAAGCAGACCCTGAGGACAGACGTATTGATGACGTCATCATTAAAACTTTTTTTCCGTATATTTTAATTCTTTATTATATAAAACAAATAGATTCCAAGTTACCGTGCGTCTGTTCAGTAATAGATCACAGAGGACGTCAAAATGTGGTAAAAACATTATTGTTCTTACCACATTTTGACGTCATCTGTGATCTGTTGATCTACAGACGCACGCCAACTTGGAATCTATTTGTTAATTAGTTGCCTTTCCGCCTCACCGTTATTAGCTGTGGCAGCTCAAAGCAGCATTGGATGGTAAATTAATTAATATTGACAACTTCACCAGTTTTGAATAAATACTGATGTCGCCACATTCAGCCCGATGATATATCCAACCATAGCGAAGCCAACTAAACGTTAAGCTCAAGAAAAATATAACCAGGGTCATTGAAACACTGGATCTGCCATGTTTATCATAAAAGAGTCGAGGAGGTTATTCTTTTGAAGATAAGACTTCCAACCAGGAGCACAAGCAAATTCACTGAAGCAAAAAGAAAACTTTTTCCCGATTTTATCGGCGGTGAAACCGACGAAGGTTTTTCTAAAGATATACCCACCTACGTGAGCATGAAGAGCTATTATGGGATGATAAACCATTTTTAAAGCCTAAGTTGATGACAGACTTTTTCGCTGACGTGTGGCCCTCATATAAGATGACGGGACGGTGGGGGGAGGGGTGTAATCATCATTTGACTCTCGTTTCCCCTTATGCGCTGCTATTCGTGGGGACTAATTTCTCTCTCAAATGCATGAGAACAATTGTTCTACAATTAATCTTTATTTCTTGCAAATTCAAATCAATCGTTACAATGTTTTCACAGTCATTGATATAAGGATTATCATATAGATAGGATGCAAATCCCAATGTCAAGATTTATTTAAAGTCAAAGATTCAAGATTTCAAATCAAGTATTCAAATTCTGCCAAATTCTGACCTAAAAGCCTCCATGCGCGTCGAAAACTTCACACACTATTCATCGGCGACTGATAAAAAGTGCAAATATATAGTTTAGGTATTATCTGCCATGCGAACATCTACTATTCTGATCAGAACTTGTTTGGAGAAAAAGGCTTTATGAATATGTTTAATCTATTGTGGAAAAAAATATATACATATATTTTTTTTCACAATAGATTAAACACATATTTCATATATGTATGTGTATTCCAATTGCGACTCTCTGAGCTTTTCCTCAACCGCTCAAGCAATATTGAAACCAACTGCAACCTTAATGAATGAATTCGGTTTGGATTTATTTTTTCAGCCGTTTTGTCGTTGATGTCCTGAAAATTTTGCCGAGAATTGAAGCTACCAGACCAGTCAAAAAATCTTTCACCGGAATGTTAGTGTAATGATAAAGCCTATCTGCTTTCTCTCTTTTGGTCAAATACGTCCATAAACTCGCACTTGATAATTGCTGGTCGGAAAACAAACTCTCGCACCTCTATGGTTTGAAAATACAACAGCTCGTTTATATATGAACGGGTTAAAGTTAAAACTCGTTTAATTGTTGTAAACGAAGTTTAAGCTTTAGCAGGACTGTGCTATGGAAAAGCTTCCCGAACAAATCAAACAATCCAACTCCTTAAGTGAGTTTGAAATGAAATTGAGAAAACTCATGTTTGAAACTGAGATCGTCTACTTTTTTAGTACAACATTAATATACACGGTATTCTTGAAAAGCAGGTTTGACTTTGACTACAGTTTTTTTTTCGGTTTTTCTAGCTAGCGTAGTTAGTTTAATTAATTCCTCCAAAAAAAAATATTGTAAGTTCTAACCCGATGGAAACACCATGTAAACGTGAGATTTTACTGCTACTACCATTTCAAAGACAAGCACTATTTAAAATAATAATTATAGGTAATGATTTCTAGCGTCGGTTAGAAAACTAACGTAAGTTACTAATGAGAGTAGAATCTGGGACCCAGTCAGTGTCTCATAAACAGGCTCACACCACACCCTAAAAAATGCGAGGCTATACTCATGACTAATTATATAGGACTTATTCCGCCTGTTTCTATGGCGGGCTCCTTGAAAACATGGGTTGAAAAATCGCGCTTACTAGGAGTGACGGTCGACAACAAACTGACATGGTCACCATACTTATCAGAAGTGAAAAAGAGCTTCGCAAGCAAGCTTAACTTGCTGAGAAAATCAAGATCTCTTCTCGAGAGTGTACTGGAAAATTTCTATTTCTAAGTGTACTGGAAAATTTCTATTTAAGGGACAGATTATTTGTATTAGTATCATTAACAAGAGGGTGTCGGGATTTGTTATGCATTTACAGGGGAACAGATAGTATTGTTATACCTAGATTTATTCATCTGCAGTTCAAATTTACTTTCATATATTCTTAATCTATTACTAGGGGTTATTTACAGCAATCTATTAGTTACAGAGTGGCAGTCCTCTGGAATGCAATCACATCGAAAAACTCTGATATTGCTTCTGAGCCACGTAGAACTATCAGCTCTAAATTAAGTAAAATTAAAGATTTCACAGAGTTCACTTTTAAAGTAGAATCAGCTTCTACAGTTGATTTTAGCAATCAGGATTTTAGATATTTTTTAGGATTTTAAGATATTACAACTGTATTAACATGAGGTTTTAGTATTTGTTAAGAGCCTTAAGCTATTTATTAAGATTCTTATTAATTTTATTACATAACTAAACATATGACCCCATAAGCGTTTAGCTTTTATCATTCGTCGTGTATAAATAAAGTTGATGTATCTGTGTATGTAGAGAAAATTTAATGCCAACTTTAATAATGCGCAATATTAAATTACCTTCCGATACTAACCATTTATAATAACCAACTCTACCTAACTGACTCAGTCGGAGGAATTATAGGAATAGTTAATTATGTCAAATTAGTATGACTGACTTTAGGAGCAAATTATCTGTTCCCTGTGGTAAGGGTGAGCTGATTCATCATCTCATAGGATAGAGTAAGAAAACATGAGATCGAGAGATCCTCGTGGGCTGGTAGCGTTGAGATATTTAAAGATTTATTTTAAGATAAAATCGGCAAACTCAGGCAGCCCACGTTCACATAAAAAGTCATACAGCTCACCCACTGTTCTTAAGTCGTGTCGGTTGGTGAGAGCATCCATTAAGAAAGTGCCCTCTCGGCTTCTCATCATTTCTAGTCTCAAATCCAGTTTCTTCGCTATACTCCAAACTTTGGAATAGAGAAAACAAACATTCATCTTAATTGTCCGTCGTGGAATATGACTTGTTTATAATTTAACGCCCACTAGACCATCAAGTTATATGAGTGACCTACTTTACGAATTGCTAGTAGGATTATCCTCATGGACCATTGTAATGAAAAAGAATAACATATCTGCAGTATTGTGTTATATGCACTCAACCTACTTTGGTAGAGTAGTTGTAAAAGTAGAGACACTATTCCAGACGCATTAGAGATAACAGAAGTTTTTCTGCTGTTTCAATATTTCTTATTTAAACGAGAAGACCAAATTTAATAATTGTTTTGGTGATATATAGTTTTTATGTGTTGTTAAAACGCCTTGCGACCATTGTTTTCCTGATGAACAGAGACAAAGAAGCAATACAAAGTATGAGACTGAAAAAATGTGCAAAGGGGTCCATTACATGATACGGGGTGACTCCACAAGTTTACTGGTTCAATAAAAGTGACTACAAAGGGAATGTGTCTCTCGGCCGGTTACCATTAGGTCGCAGATGGAAGCACCCACGTCTTAAATTGGGTCACCTTAATCCAGGCTGGATTCGAAAAAAGTTGTAATCACCGTGAACATCGATAGCCTGGGACATACCACAGGCCGTTGAATAAATGTATTTCCTTGTAGTGGCTCTTATTTCATGACTATTTCACAAAAGGTTACTTACCATTCAAAAATTTTGAAAGACATTCTATTTCATCTCTTGGCATCTCCTTGATGAGCATATTCTCAGGTAATAGAGGACCTGAAAGAAAAGAAGAATCGCCTTAAAAATAAATACTGACTTTGACTCAATGGCTTTAAACACAAACATAGAATCGTAATAGAGATTCGACCACACGAGTCAAATGATTCGCAACTAAGATTTATTCACGTGTGTTGCCTCTCGCTCGCGTTTTTTCGCTGTGTTGATAAGAACTTTGAACTTCGTTGTCTTTTCGCGACTAAATTTCTCTTTTCAGCTTTCGTTGAGCGAAACGGAATAATTACACCATTTATCATTAACCCAACTGATACTTTTTTCTTAGCTAGTTAGCGAGAAGATCTGTAGCCCAGTTTTCCCACAGTCATTTTTTTGTAAACATTTCGATTGTCTTTCATGCTCTACAACTGCTTCGAAACAGAAGGCTGCGTGTTTTCAAGGGAACAGAGGAATAGATGATAACTGTCACGGCCACGCCAGGAAAAGAATTTTCCTTTCTATGAATGGTTCCCCTATTCTTAATTCAAAACTTTTAAAAGCAAGTTAGTGCGAAATTAGTTTAACGGAAAGTATTTTCTGTTTTGGTTTATCCTGGGTTACTTCAAAATACCACGTTTGCCTTCCGTACTTCCGTTGTATTTTATTCATGTAGTTTACGAATCTATATTGCGTAATATAACGTTGTAACTCGATAACTTATATTCAAACTTAGATTCAAATAGTAACAAGGACATTACTCTGCAACTGAACATGACATAAGCAATATCCAAAGATGTCTTGCAAACTTAAAAGTGTTCCTTTTTTATGCAAATTGTTTCCTACTTGAATTTCACGGATTGAAAAGAGTTTGATGTTAAAGGCCTTCTGACTATTTTGTTCACAAGGCATCATGGTTATGATTGCTCAAAAATCAATTGATAAGTATTGAGAAGGATTTAAGGAAATGATATTAAAAAACTAACCTGTTGTTCCTGGTGGTGTGATCATTTTTAAGTAATTAAACACGTCGAATCGTTTTAAATTTTTGGCTTTTCTTGCCAAGACACGGATAGCTCTTTTGTCCTCTCTGGTTGGATTTTTGAAAAAGCCTTGATCTAGCTGTAGAGAGTTTTTCAATTGTTGTATAACAGCTGTAGCCCTGCTTGAGGATGTCAAAATAGGTTCTACAATGTAACAAAAAAGAAAAAATACAGAATAATTAACCACGATACTGAAAACAAACTATCTGAGAGAAATATGATGGTTGCTCATGAATTGCCCAAATTAGGGTTTGCTGTTTTAGGTGTTTTAAATCAGTAGATTTATTCCAATAAAAGGCCGACTGATTCTAAGAGGCCTAATGCAAGTTTAAATGAATCAACTGCCAGAAGAGGGATGAATGAAATTTAAAAGGGGCTGTTATAACATAGCGCGCGTGCTCGCCCTATATAAGTCCTTTTGAGCCGCTATGAACAAAATCTTTATTTACGCACGCCCGTGCGTAAATAAGATGACGTGAGCATTTTTTGTTCATTGTCGCTCTGTTATAAAAGAATTGCTCATGCTTTTAGCTGTGCGTATATCGAGTTCTGAATGCACTTGGGAAGTTTGGAGAGCACTCAAAAAGCTAGGGTTGCTCTCGGCTACGCCTCGAGTTACTCTTACGTATTTTTTGTGCTCTCCAAACTTCCCGCGTGCATCTATGACTCGATATACGCACGCTAAGCATGAACAAATTCTTAATTCTGCTATGCCGATACAGTAAGCTTTCAAGTTCTGAAAAAGTGCAAGTCTGAGCCATACCAAATACGAAATAAGAATTTGGTTGTAATCATGTTCATCCGCTGGCTAATTCAGACTGACTGGCCTAAATGGAGTTAAAAAAACCTTCATATTCAAAGTTGACTGGTAAATATTGTAGTTGTTGTTTTGTTTTTTTCGTTTTTTGACAAAAATACTGTCATTTAAAAATATTATTCTATCATTGTTTCCTTTTATCCTGTGCTAGACAAATTTGGTGGCTGAAATAGTTTTGGCCGCACCTCAAATTTTCGTAGCGGCGCTTGACTTTTTACACAGCCACAAAAATATCAATTAGTCCTTAAGCGTGAAATGTTGATGTGAATTCTTTTACATTATTTGCCACAAGGCGCGAGCAAAATTTTTTTCCGTTCTGTTCGTGCTCTCAGCGGCCTAACACGCTGATTTACGTTCATTTTCTCTTCGAATGATGAGCACTGAAATGTTTCATTCAAATCGATGTTCAAAACCCAACAACGATAAACGCGTTCACCGATGCTCAAAAATTTATCATTATTTTAGTTATTCCAAAAGGCTTTGGCAGCTGTCTCATGAGTGAAATTCTCCAGCACTCATCTTTCTCTTTCCACTGTGCAGGATTTGAAAGATTACTCAGAACATGAGCAAAGCTGGTTACAACGTCAAATATCTATCTGCACATTGAATCACTACTCCAAGCCCCAAACATATTTCCTCTCTCTGGTGATAGCTTACAACTCTGACAGTCGGCTGCAATCGTAAATGTTCGTCAGAGATCACAACGAAATCCGGCAGACTGAAAAGTACATTTTAGCCATTAGTGAACACCCAAGGGAGCGGCGAAGGCGGCGAAGGCGGCGCTAAAACAAGATTCAGGAACTTAGAGAAGCTGAATACATGTATATTAATGAGCAAAATGGCTCATTTTCTGCTCATTATGTGATACGAAATACAGCGAGCGCAAATTCCAAGTAAATCCTTTTCCGCTATTCTTGATATTTAAGCTTAGTATCTGTATTTCCTTTATTAAGAAACTTACAAGTTACAAGTTCATAAAAAGTTGGATCAGAAACTAGAAATTTAAAATAGAAATTAAACAGTTTTGAATTGTTATCTACGGTAGAATGGTTACAAAATCATTCACATTTTAACACAAATTTTCAATAGTTTTTAGAAGTCGTGTCCTTCTCGTGAGCGTCTCGATTAAATAAGTGTACTTCCATCTTGATTTTGCAGCCTACAAGTGTTGAATTTTCCAACTGAGACCCATTTAGAATGAAAATTAAAGGTGTTCGTTTTTTTCTGGCGCCATTTCCTTTAAAATGTTGATTATCGGCTTTCAAATGTGCGCTCCATCGCGTTGCTGTTATGCTAATGCACTGCTAATGAAGTATGAATATTAAACATGTCCGGCCATTCTGCGCCATGCCTGTGTTTGTTCAGATCCAAAGGCAAATAAATATACAGCGATACCTACTGTAAAATATGATTCATAAAGAGTGTCCTAATTTGCAAGAGCTTTAGTAATGCCATGATTTTTAGCAGGTTTATTCTAACTCATCCTCATTCATATTCCATACGCGTTATTGACCACTTTAAGGTAAAAATGGCTGGATATTGGCCGATTTTCCTTTCTTTTTTTTTGTTTTTTGTGCGTTTTATGGACCACAGCCAATGAACGAGTTATATCCACTCATCTTGACCTTTAACTTGACCTTTCAGCTGATTTAATAGGTTTACACTGTTGATGGGTAAACGTCAAAAACATTGATTAAAATTAATCCAAATGAAAGCTGATTTATTTATTGTATAGAAAAAAGATCTCGCCGACTTCAATGAGAATCCCGGTTTTTTTTTTTTTCTTGACAAATTGGACAAAAACGGGGTTAAATGTTGATGGGTCAACGAAATCCCAATTTTTTTTTAAGGGCGGGGGTGAAAATGGACCTGACCTGTTATGTCCAATCGGCCAGCCAGGAATCGCTTCATCTTGCCCACGGGCGCTGTCAGCTACGTAACACGTAGAATTATCACATGACGGCGTCATGCGTGCAATCCCAAAGAAAACCATAATCAAAGCCGGTCCGGAAAAACCGTCCGGCCCGCTACTCACACGGCTATTTTGTATTTTCCAAAAACGCGATTTAAAATTGTGAACTTCAACTTGAAGTAAAATAAATGAGGAAATGAGTTGCGCTTCTCAGTGAATTATGAGTTTCTTGCTCTGACTCGCCGGAAAAAAGTATTTACAGTGAAATCTTGATATCAGTCGTCCAGTTCGCCCTTCTTTTGAACCCAAGTACGTCCTTTTTAAGTTGAAGCGAAAGTTTTGAAATTTTCAACACTTGGTGGTCATATGATAAAATGCTTACTGTTTAAGTTTGATCAAGCTGAAAGGGTAAATATTTGGCTCTCGGTCGGTCAGTTGCCCAATGAATCGATGACTACATAGTATAACTCATAGCCACTCGGTCATAATAAAGTACCATCCCTAAATTAACTAATGGTGACGGTTCTAGAGTCAACCATTTGATTTTTATGAGACTGACCTGCAATTATCCACTCTTTTTCCATCTTTCTCCAGGTTCCTAGAGTCATTCTGATATTTTCCAACATTTTTCCTATGCTACGATATTTACGTCCTGGAAAAAATTGAGGATGTAATATTTCTGAGTCTCAAATTCATATCAAACAGAATGGTCTCCAATTCGTGAAACAGTCGTAGTCCACCCTATATTAAAGAACTATTGTCATCAGCTGCAAATTATGCTCTTCTATTCGTCTTTTGTTCGTTCCAAGAGTCAACTTCTTTACGCTTGGGATCGTGCCTCACTCGTACTGCTCCTGTCTTTTGGAACTCACTACCATTATCGATTAGAACCTGTACAAGCCTCGCGGTTTTTATGAACTAACTTTAACCCACAGCCACACATGACCACCAGGCGAAATCCAACAGAAAGAAGAGGCGCTAAATTTCCATTGCACAAGAATATTAAACCAGTATTAAACCCTCATCTAGATAGCCCTCTGTTCGTGTGTATTTTTTTCAAATGAAAATTTGTATTGTCCGTGATAGTAACAGCTTTAAAAGTCAATCATCTTATCAACTAATTAAAAGTATGATTAATTCGTTGAAAATAATCAATTGATCATATAACCTTCGAACGGGTATGCATCTCTGTATGCATCTCTGTATGCTTCCTGAATGCTGTCCCAATTCTCACTGACATCTTTGATTAACCCTTCAACCTGGTCGAGCTTTTCAAGTCTGTCTCCTGAGGATTTATGAACAGAATAAGAAGATGATAAGTTTTGAACTCGGCAAAGAAATCGATAAAGAAATATAAGAAATCTAAGTTTCCAACCACTTCATGGCCAAACTCAACGCAGAGTCTCAGTGGTGGATCTGAGCCCCGGAATTCAAATATCTGAGACTCGATTCCTCATGCGCCACATGCGTCTTTTGTCCTTCGTGTTCGAGTGAGTGTTGGAGGATGTACTTTCATACCTGAGCTACATTTTCTCGAGACAGTCTTTACACCCGACTATCATCAAAGTAAAAAAGCCAGTTCTGTAACGATTCTGGCGTTTTCCCAAGTAACCGACAAGACTATTAACACGAAAGTAAGGTTTCTGACATCAACATATATGGTCACATTACAATTGACTCGCCTAGCTGAGAGGGAAAGACATTCAATGATAAGAACTCAGCGAGAATCAAGCTATATTTCTCGGCAACTCATACCTATTCTATTAAGAATTATCATTCAGTGGAGACTAACAATCACTTTCACCTTTGTCAAATCCATATTCAGAAGTGGCACTACTCAAAGTCCCAACTCCGCTATCACTCGGTAGTGTGAATTCGCTGGAGGTCTCCTGAAGATTTTCCAAATATTCTTCTACACGCAGTTTTCTGTCAAATGGTAAAAACTCCCTCTCTGGAAAAGGATCTCTTGTATTGGCTGTGGTCATGTTTCGTTCTTTCAGAAGGTCTGAATCAGAACTTGCCCGTTCTTTTAATCCTCTTTCCTCTTCAAGTTTCATCTCTAAAATTTATAGTCAAAAAAAGCAATACAATGTTGAATGAAGCGGTGGGTTCCACATTATTTGCAAAAGAGAATTGAGACATTGAGCATTCTTCCTCACTTGGATGATCATCAAGCTCTCGGAAATAAATCATATATATCCGAGTGACAAATAACCCAAAAGGTAAGTGAAACTTTAGAACGAATGTCACCAATGGTCAAACATTTGGTGGCAACAGCTGAAAAACTAATTTCGCCCATATTTCAAAGTTTAGTATACTTCTTTGGCTGAATATCGTTTATTTTCGAGAAAATTAATGATAACTGAATTACACCAAAATGCCGCTTTTGAAGCTCAAAATTTCAGGCGAATCTCGGAGCGTTGCGTCACAAATTGAAAAACTATCTGGACCGATAAAAAGTACCAAATCTTAAAAAACAGCATCAAAATATATTTTGTCGGCAATTTGAGCAATCCTTGACGATTTATTTACACAAGGGAATTGAATTTATCCAACCAACTCCTGACTACATAAAAAATAGGTTAAAAGTAACCCGTTATGTACCTATGTGCCACACAAAATAATTAGCTGAAAATCTGGCTTTTGGAAGGCAAAGTGTAGTTCTTTTCGACCTTAAAAGGATTTTTTTGGGAAATGATTCAGCGCGATTTACTCAAATTTTTAAGTTGGATAAAATGAGGTCTACTGAAATCGACAACTCTTCAAAAAATAGTACATTGGACTGTAAAACATGTGGCTTCGGGAACTTAGGTCAAGTTTTAAATATGCGAAACAGGAGCAAACAATCATCTAAACCCCGATCATAATTAAACGTCTCAAGATTAAATGAATCATGGTATTTTTTTAATTATTGTTTAAGGTGGATAAAGCGAAAGATCTGCAAAGGGCATAGCCCATTACTGCAGATGTGCATTAGAGCAAAGTGTATAAAAAAGTTGTATAAAGGTCAAAACCACAACTTTCACTGAAATATTTTAACTAGCCGACGTCCCACAGATTTATATTTATACCTCTTCTTCCCGCGACGCTCCGAGATTCGCCTGAAATTTTAAGCTTCATAGGCGGGATTTTTGCGGAACTCAGTTATTATCGATTTTCCCGAAAACAAAGAGATATTCAACCAAAGGAAGTTTGTTTCTCTCTAACCTAACTTGAGCATATGAGCCGAATTGATTTTTTGGCTGTTGCTTTTTATATTTTGAAAAAGTTCGATTTTGGCCGCATTTGCTCTAAAGTTGTCTGAAAATTGCATTTTTGAGCGCAACTCAAAGTTACTTTTCGAATGAGTTTTAGAAACAGAAATATCGACTCATTTGAAGTCAACGATTTTTATATCACAGTGCTGTTTTCGCGGAGGAATTGCGGTTGTCATTTGGATAATAAATCGAGAGGCTGTTGCTACGTGAAGAGAAAGAACAACCCGTTGGACATTTTGATCGATTATGAGCAACTACTCTTTCCCAGCTCAATCTGTCGGTCGACCAAAGAAACACAAAAAGTGATGTTGCGATTCACAGGTATTCTTTAAACCCACGCGACAGATCAGGCTGAAAAAGATGAAGTGTACAATTTTAATTTCTGCACCATGGATCTTTTTGCAAACCCAAATATCTGGACTTAAAACAATTTATGTTAGCGATAAGGAAGTACGTTTGCGAACAAAGAGCGCCTATCAAATAATTTAGAAGTATTAAAATCGATTCTCCTCCAAAAGAACAAAGGAATTCTAGTTCATGTAGATATAATCAACCCGTACACAATAATGATAACGCGTAGTGCATGATGTTTTGGAGAAGGGCGGAAAAAACTCAATGAAAACACAGTTATCCTTAAAGCTCACCTGGTAACTTCCCCCAACCCCACTTGGCTAAAGATGTAACCGTATATTTGTCCTTTGTCAACACGCAAATTTGCCTCTTCATTCGCGCTAAAATTGAATGCAATTTCAATCGAATACTGTTATCTCACGAAAGGTAAGATTAAATCAAGAAACATCAGCTAGAGTATAGAACTGGATGGTTATGTATGAGCTGGTTCATTTACAGTCTCGTGACGCGTTTCAATAAATCGTATAGGAGGAAAAATATTAGATAGATCGTAATGCAACAACTTTAATTTTCAAATCACATCTTCTAGATGCCGTGATTCGTACTGTTATAAGATACAACAAGAGACGTTTCTAATTCATCTCGAACAAGGAGTCATGCACAATGGCGGGACTATTTCTGGTGTAATTACCTTCTATTCCTGATATCATCAAATCCAACCTGGCATTTCTGTATTCATCTTCGTCGATGTACACAGTCAATCTCACTTCACCACCTGTCAGCTGCTCTATTTCCTCAGTAACAAGAAACTCTTGTAAATTTGTCTGTAGTGTTTCATCCTGATAACTTTGCCATAGTGCGTCAAGAGCGAAAATATTTTCTGCTTGAATCGTAAATCGGATCGATCCTTCACCAATTGCACGCAAGAAATTTCCCAATGGAAGAACAGTTTCTTTGAAAGCATTGGTAAATTCTTCCATGTTGCGACTCTTGCGAAGGACCATCAATGTAGTGACGACCACGGTGCCACCAACAAGATTGTGGAAAGTACAGTGAGGTGTAACAGCTGTAAAAAATGTAGAAATCACAGGGTTTACATCAGCCGCTTGTGGAGTCGACCGAAAAAGCGGAGCTAGGCAAAGAAACAAAAGTTTTGGGAGAGTTGGCTAAGGAGAGCACTCCTTCACAGACTTCTCGCGTAATTCGCCTTCCCGCTTCTTTGCTTATCTCCAGTAACTGAGAGCCTAGCAAAGACTAGATTAGAGTGGATTGCTATTTTCGAAAGTTATACGTTACTGAGAGAGACGACAAAGAGGCTCGTGAATAAAGAGAAGTGGATGGATCATAAACGTAAGGTATTCTACAGGTCTTGCTCTGTGTGAGCGGGTTTTATTGTCTCGGGTTTAAGGTTCCACATGATGAGGCTCTGCTTCTCAACAAGATTAATTAATACTGTCCTACCTCCTATTAATCTTCTCCCAACTATTCCAGAAAGAACAAGAGCGGCTCCAGCTGGAATGAGAAATAAATCAATCACTGAATAAACAATTATAATATTCCACGGGCACAAGTCTTACCTAATTCTTACATAGCAACCAAGCAAAAAGATCCTTACGTACTCACGGCTGTACTATGTACATCATGACGTGTGCAGTTTCACTTGCAAATTCATGCTGCAAATTCCCGTCGAGTTTAACCGCGAGGTTTCAACCCTTTCAACATTGTTTTTCTGTTCCATCCCGATTGAGATATACCTTTTGGCGCTAAAAACGAAATGTACATACGCTAAACAATACTTTTTCCAAAAACGATGAGAATTAACACCTTCCAAGCAACGAAATTAGCTTTGGAGTTAACGATATTTCGTTCCCAAACGTAATGCGAATTACGGCTGAGAAATAACGAAGCGATCTTTCTGAAATCGAGTGAGGCTTCGCGGCGAGGGGACAATTCTGTGAGAAAATAACTGGTATTCAAAGAATTAATATATCCCAAGTGTTGTTCAATAGAGATTTTGCTTTAAATCGTAACATTTTTCAGAAGTTTCAACGCAAACCCTCGCAATTTTCTTGTAAATTCTAATAAATAACAATTCAAGTATGGTAAATCAACCATGCAGGTTCATTAAACGCCAGAAATTCATACCTTATCCCCTTCGGTTTTTCGGAAGGTGGATGTTAATGTTAAATGTTGATATGTCCTATGAGTATGAGTTGTTGAACAGAACATTTTAATTCTAAAGTGGTACAGTATCAGTGAAACGTAGTGAAGGACAAATTTCAAATTTCAAGCATTTTTTACTCGTCGGAGTCTCATGCCGCGTTGACCAGTAAATTTTTGTATTTATAGGCACAGAAGGTGTCAAAATTTCCTGCTATCTGGAGCAACCCTCTCTTGCCAGCGTCTCGCCGTTTTCTAAAAGAACAAAGAGGAGGCCCTGGGAACGAAATAAAGTTTCTTATCCCGCCATATTGCCTAAACATGTCTAACCAGCACCCTATCGATTTCCTCAAGAAAGTGCTAATTGTGATAAAATAAAAAATAACTAAATAAAAAATGTTCGCACGTCTACACACTCTGTGAACTTAAAACAAAGCAAATAACCTTTGTAAAATGTCAGGAATATCGAGCAGGAAAACACTCGCCTCGCAAATAGCAACATAGGCATTACTAGCGACTTTACTTGGTTTCCATCTGGGCAAGTGAAAGTGACTTCTTACTCGTATTTACAATAAAGTCTAGCATGTTATTTATTTTACAGCTCTCAACACTCTCAGGACAATCGGTTGAACAGACCTTAACCTGAAGTCTAACAAGATCCTAAAATTCGATCGACGGTGTTCGATTTCAAGGACCAACATTTGGTCTAAGAGCTCAAAAACTATTTCGAGACTAAGTAATTCAATTGGAAGCTGTTCCTTACCTCCTGCTCTTCGCTTGTTGTCCTCCCACTTTATCCTCTCCCTCTCAGCATCTTCTTCCTGTTTTCTCTTCTTCTCAAACTCCTCAACTAGTCTGCACAAATCTGGTTTCTCCATCTCGGTTGCTATGGTTTTCAGGATACCGAGGTCTTCTATCCCCAACTCGTGCTGTTGTTCTAACTCTGCGAATAATGCATCGACATTTTTGATGTGTTCTTCTCTTTGATGAGCGACCAGATTTTTTCGTCTACAGATTAAAATGAGTCGTTGCAGTTCATTGGACTCTTCGAGTGCATGACTTATCTGCTCCAGTAACTGTCTGTACTCCTTTCTCTTCATTTCGAATCGCTCCAATATTCGAAGAAGATCCCACTTTCTTATCCCCTTCAGTAGTTCTTTCAGTACTTTAAGACGATCAATCCCTAAAAGATTCTTCTCCTCCAGTTTGTTAAGTAACGTAATAACGTCTGTGATATCGTCTACCGAGCCATCAGGAATAAAACGGCCGTAAATAAGTTTTAACCATTCACTTTCAGATTGCCAAACGATTTCCTTGCTACACTGATCCAATAGTCGAAGGTACTCGACAACAGACATCGCTGTTAGTAGGTTGGAACGAGATTACCTTGGCGAAAACAAGTGATCATCAAGAATCAAGACGCGCTTTGCTCGTCAACAGAATTGAATCGAGTTTCGCTGCTGCCTTCAAGATAAATTTTGTAAATTGATTCGGTAGTCACACAATCTTCAACGGGTTTGGTTACAACTTAAGGCAGGGTTTAATTCTTTGCATTTGTTTCGAATCCTGAAAACATTGTTTTAAATTTCTTTTGTTTTTGATTTTTTCTTTTTCTTTGATCAATTTGTACTTGTTCACATTTACTTGTCCGTTGACACTGTATAGATTAAAATATGAACTATCGCCGTCGCGTCGTCACATACAAATACCTTTATAACATAGCAAGTAAATTTGTATAAACAAATTCAATTGCGCGAGCGTGCTTCATATTCCTATCGTGCACGCTCATTGTCATTGTTAGCAAACAAATCCCTCGAGAGAAAAAATTTTCCATCGGGTTGAAAATGTTATAAAACAATTGGTTCATACGTCAGCTGTGCGTTCATCGAGATATGAAGCACTTGGGAGGTTTGGAGAGCACTCAAGAAGCTAGGGTTTCTCTCTGCTACGCCTCGAGCAACTCTTACACATCTTTCGTGCTCTCCAAACTTCCCGCGTGCTTCATATCTCGATGGACGCACGCTGACGTATGAACCAATTGTTAAATTTTGTAAGTTTAATTCAAATTGTCACACGAGCATTTGCAACGTACTGAAGATAACATGAGTAATGTGGAAACCAGTTTTGTAAACTTAAAACATCTCTTTTGTTAATAATAAACTGTTTGATTGATTGTTGAGATGCTGATCGCTACGTTTCCACTGAAATGGATTAATTAGTTAAAATCCATCAATTCTACTGACTCGGTAAAATTGTTAAAACGGCAAAGTTCGGAGAGATAAACGTCAGTTGAAGAGATAAAAAAACCATCACCAGCGACCTCAATCACTTTAGATTTAGCAAATAAGTCCAGTGCTGGCCGTAAGATTCTTTCTTTTTTCCATTCTCAGCTGCGTTTTCATGGAGGTGTGTCCTTTTGAGATGAAGAGCTTGATTGGCTTGTTTTCTTTGGCTACTAATCGGGGCAATTGACCCTTTCACATTATTTGAAGTGAAAGGGATCAGTCAATCGAAATCCATCAAACCAACTGTCACGAGGTCAGTGAAAAAGGATGTTTCGTCAACAAAAGCGAAATCACATTGTTGGCGAGTTAGGACTGCTTTAGATTTCATAAATCAATCATTGGCTTCTTTAGTAAGTGATCATTTCCTTTATTCTCATGACCTTAATGTTTGATTCAGGGGTAACATTGTCTGGAGAAATTAGGTGCCAGTCACTCTTAGGGGTTAAAGGGTTAATAGAGACTTGAACAACTGGGGGGGGAAGATCTCCATTCACTGTTGAGTTCAGCAAATAAGCCTCCATTGGTGAAGCAACTGTTCATAAAACTGATGAAAACGTTTTGTATTACAAAGAATCGTTAGAAAAATGGGAAACAAAAACTAAAATACGTAAAAACAAGGAAGCAAACATAGGCAAAAAGAATATTTTAATTTTCCGTTCAGCACCATTTTTGATCGTAGGAAGTTCTCCGGTAGCCGACATTATCTTCTGCCGGAATCTCAACTGGACCATGCAGATTACAGTAACAACCATAAAGTGTTTTACGATCCTTTAAACAATAAACTACAGTGCCGGCTTCTTTTTAGGGCGAGATTTACGCAACCGTGTTTGATTTGGAGTTAGAGTAGAAGTTAAGGGTAGGAGTAGGAGCAGGAGCAGGGAAAGGTGAAAAGAAGTAATTTCTATTTCCCCACCCCCTCTCCTCTCCTTCCTTTTGACCGTTACTCAATTCCTTAGGACAAGTTTCTCTCTCTCCCTAGTCTTCTGCTGCTGTAAAAGTCAAACAATGGCAGCTTGCGCTATAATTTCACCGAAAAAATACTGAGCACTGACTTCCCAAAATTACGCCTGCTTTGCAGGCTAGTTAAGCAGCGCACACAAAGTTCTAATTTGGAAACAGCAGATGTCTGTGACAGTTTTCTGTCACTCTAAATAATTCATTCTCATTTATGCCAACAACTTTGAACCACAAAGATCACTTTTGATGATTTAACAACTGTGAGGTTTTCTTAACCCTACAACTCCTCAGAGTGACTATGGTCTGATTTCTCTTTGTAGCAACACTACTGAATCAATCATGAAGGTCATAAGAATAAAGAAAATGATCAAAACTAAAGAAGTTCAAAATTGCCACACAAATTTTCCTTGCCAGTGTCTTAAAAATATACAAGGAGCAGCATGGAGAAAGTACATCTTAATGTAAGGGTGCAAAGAGTTAAGACAGCAAAGGGTTACTAAACGAACATCCGTAAAATTTTGAGACTTTGCAGTGATACATCTTCCCCAGCTTTCAACACAATTCTGTAGAAGTAGGCCGTTTAAGTATAATTTCACGGCGCAAATCTCTCCAGCAGTGTCATTAGAATTCTGTCACCAAGAGCTAAAGTTATAAAATTCTGTCTTCAGTCATAAAAATGAAATGAGTAAAAGATAAAGATGAATGGAAGAGTTTGTTAAGAGCTTTTGCCCAATAAAGAATATTTCTCACCCAATCTATGTCTAGAAGAGATGTCAATTGGGACGTATAAAGATTAATTAATAAAATTCTCAGATTATGAACTGATTGATTTTTAATTCCAAGATTCCCAACCCTGATCCCATTCTATGAAGAACCACACCCTTTATTTTGGTACCAAAATCCAGCTTAACATGATTTCTACCTGTCATGATTCTTTTGCAATTAGAATGTTTTGAAATATTTGTGTTATTAAAAATATGATTCTATAAAACTGATTAACATTTACTCTACTCAGGACAGGTTCAAACCCTCATTGGCACAAATTTATCTTTAATTGCTCTTCTTGTTGCTGGACGGTATCCAGTCAAGACGCCCATGGTTCAACTCGCCAACACCAACTCGCCGACATAAAAAATAGAGTAGATATCTTGTATGGAAAGCCAAGTTCATTTTAAAAAATCTGACAAATAGACATGATGAGTCTTTACAGTATTGTTGTCACACAACAACTTGTTCGCATCTAAAGCTTATTTGGTCATTGGCGATGTTCAACTTGCTTTATTCGCCTTGAGACCCTCTAAAATTTGTTGGAAATAAAAATTTTTTACTAAAGATCTTGTCTAAAAAGCCAAGTTTTTTTAAAAAAATCTGACCTATTGATATGACAAGTCTTTACAGTGTTGTTTTCACTCAATAACTCGTTCGCGTTTGAAGCTTTTAAAGTTATTGTCGATGTTTACCTTGGTTTATTCGCTATGAGATCCTTATAAACTTTGTTGGAAGAAATAAAATGTTTTTTTACTAAAGATCTTTTACTTTTCTATATGTTTAACTTCTAATAAGTTGTGCTTTATTGAAAACCAACTCGCCGACGTTGCTACTCAATTTTATACGTTGGCGAGTTAACCATCGGCGACTTGACCATAACAAGGCAACCACATCCTGTCTGGTGGTCACAGTATCATGAAAGCATATACAGGTATAAAGCCCTTACAAAACATTCTTTAATACCATTGTAAAAAGTGCATACACTCATTCCGATAGACAATGAGCAATCTCTCCTTTTAGGCAAAGTCCATTGCAGAAGCCAAGAAAAACGAGGAAAAAAAAAAATGATTTTAGCATGCAGAGTGGAACTCTGGGAGAAAGGCAAACAAATAAAAGTCCTACTTTTGTGCATATCACTCCCAGAGCTCTGTTTTTTTTAACTGCACGAATGACTTTGCTGAAAAGCAGGGACTACCTGTAGTCTATTATCCTAAAAAATGGAAAGAAACTTATTGAAAACCAACATGAAAAAGCAGTTCCAAATCTTGAGAATGGACTACACCTAATTAAGAACAAGTTGGGTACCAGTACAATTTTGTTTCTTGTAGCTAAAGCATATTTAACATGGCAAGTTCTTTTGAGGATACCAGGTCAGAAGGTAATCTTCCATTTTTATCTTTCACTTTTATAAGACTGGAATCCAACTCAACAAACAATCTTACAACTTCTTTTTGCAACTTTTCAGCAGCCTGAAATTTAAGAAAAAGGAAGACATAGTACTGTAAGCTTATTTATTAAGCATTTGATTCTCTAACCAGCTATTTTATTTAATTGGATAGAAAGTGAAGTCCTACTTATCACAGATCTTTAATAGACCATGTACAGTATAGAGAGCAAGGCAAGTTGAGGTACTATGAAGTTGATTCTAAAATACAACCTACACTCCCAAACATAATAAGTTGGGACACTTCTCCCTAAAAACGTTTAGATATTTCTTCACCCTTCTCCCCTTTTAAATGTTGTTAGTTTCCAATGTCTCTATGCCATCTTGAAGACATTAAGAGGGAGTGCATGTCCCAAGGAATGCACCTGGGAGTGTGGGTCCTTTGCTGTTTGAGGAGGTAGAGTAAGAAGATGTTAAGCATGCTTTTGATGATAAAGAGGCTGTATTATGGAATTGAGGCCTGATTGGAATAATGCTAATGATGATGATGCATTTTTATGATGCATTCTCCATCATAAGTGCTCAAATATGTTTTAAAACACTTTAAAGGGGACTACAGCCAAAGTGCATTGAGTAGTTTACATTGGAGGGAAATTTTTGCAAATGCCCTCAATACTCTACTGTCCTTATAAATTATCCAAGAAGACTAGAACATCCAACCATTTGCAGTTGTCGGAGCAAAGGCAGCACTTTCTCCCCAGCTGTTTTTATTAAGACCCTGAATGTTGGTTCGGTCTGGGGCTCAAACCCTCAACCCTCTGCAGGGAAGTCCAGTGCTCTCCAACCTGAGCCAGCAGGCAACTTCCTATGGGAGTCTGAATATTCTTTGCTACGTGACAATTATTTTTCAGTTTGAGTACTCAAAAAATTTTGGAGATTGACTCACTCTCTTTAGCCAAGGATTGAAATTTTGGAGATTGACTCGTTCTCTTTAGCCAAGGATTACATCACATCCTCTTTGACTGCCCAGCACACTTGAAATCTGAGCAATTGCACCTAAATGTTGAAACTCACTTTTAAATTAAATCAAACCACAACAGTTTCATTGTCACCTTGTGCAAAGGGATTTGTCCATCACTATCACAAAGTCTTAGATCAGCACCATATTTGATAAGCAGGTTCACCACTGACATGTGACCAGAGTATGCTGCTCTGTGTAGTGATGATACTTTGCCCGACTTTGTCTGGGCATTCACATCTGCTCCTTGTTCCAAGAGCAACTGACAGACCTCTTCATGGCCACTGCGGCTGGCATAATGCTGTGAAGAAGGAAAACAGACATAGATAAATAACTCATAAATCACATGAATAATTATTTGCCAAACTCTTATCTGTTTTCAAGGTACAATGACTTTGGTTGGAGTGAAAAAAAAAATACTGTTGTGATTTCCTTTATAAAAGACACCCAGAAAGTTTTAAACAGCATAAGTGACCCATGTTTCTCAAACTTTCCTTCATGGAAATGAAGAACACTCCAAAATTTGCTTTTGCTTCTGACACTTAGCTTCCTGGCTGAGTTGGCAGAAACAGTCAAGTAGTGCAAGGTAAGTAGGTGGCAGTTTCTTCAGCCTTTTTCCTTTCTTTCATTGCAGCTCACCTGTGGGGATCATTTCTAAACTTTTATTTCACAACTAGATTAGGCAGGTGCAGTTGCGGGGACAGGCAAATAGGAAACACTGTGAGAGCTACATTCATGAGACACCCTCCATGGAGGTGGGGTTGGGATTCGTCAATAACCAACGACCGAAAATAACATCATTTTTTAATATTATTATTATGGCGTGGAATCTACCCATCTCTGCACACTGACGACAGTTGGATGCTCGTGGGTTTCCCCGAAAGGGGAGGAGGGGAGGGGAGGGACATTGAAGCTTAGAATTGATCGGCGCTTTAAGGATACGATTTACCAGAGCTGTATATCCCGAGCCATCCCTTAAATTAGGGTCTGCTCCCTTGTCCAAAAATTTCCTAACTCTTTTTACATCACCATCCAGCGCAGCTTGCCATATTCCTCTCTCAAAGTCCATTTCAGAGAGAGACTGAGCATAAGTTGTTGATGAACAACCACATTTTCCTGCGTGATTGACATGATTACTGAGATCTTCCATGGTTAAGAGCATAAATTAAGACATATTTACGACTGAAATGTTTTAAATTAGATTTAAAAAAGACTCCGCTGCCTCAAATTAGATCGTATAAGCGATAAATCACGTTCTTCGTTCGCTTTTAGCCAACTACTTCACATGGATCGCCATGTTGTCTTGCCTCCTACTTTGTGTAAAGTAACATGGATAGTGACTCATAAGGTTGCGAAAAACATTTGTATCACGCAACAGGACCTAGCCACATGATTTCGATAGTGATATGCTTTAAAATGTTCTCAAAAGAAGATGAACCATCATTTCTTCAAAATGTGACTATTGTGTTGTGAAATGATAAAGATACGTTTCGAGAGAGTTATTACATGACCCAAAAACAAGGACCGCGTGAGCCCTGGACCTACAAGCTCGTTGCCATTTTCCTATCGCTATCATCGTTAATTCGTGCTCGTGTCACTACAGATTTTGCAAGTTTTCAGACAAAAATGTCAAGATATGGAGAGACTTGTGTCTTAAATCGACACCGTAGTCCATATGGCCACCAAAATAATCACTATACACGTTCTAGATCTCGCTCAAAATCAAGAAGTCGAAGCAGAGAGAGAAGCCGAAGCAGAGAGCGCTATTATTCAAACATGTAAGTAATAACTTTACTTAAACTGAATTGGTAAGACATAATCATTCAACTTAGGTTAAGGGCGATGTAGTTAACTGAATGCTACTCGCATTAAACTAAAGCTAATTGTGAAGTCTACATTCAACCGACTATGATACTTTTCGAATGTAATGCCCTGACTGAATAATGCTTACACATCAAAATTTCGTGTGGGGAGTTCGCCTTGAATTGATCCATATTTACTTAAAATCTTGCAAAATCTAACTTCTTTCATTCTATCCAACCAACATATTTAGTTATATTGACAATTAAATCATTTTAACGCATTTAATACTTTCAAAACACCAGTTGAAGTAAGAAGTGACATGAGGAGAAATGAATGTTAAGTCTGTCAGATCTGTTGGCTGACGCATAGGAAGATGTACCTTATTCAAATTTATTATGCTTTAACTACAGGCATCACAGGAGAAAAAGGAAACCAACACCGGAGAGCTTCATGGATAGGTGGGTTGCATATCTTGATATACTCATACAGGGAATATGTGTTCTCATTTAGTCTGAGTAAACAGTTAATAAGCAAGATGGTAAATTTTAAGCACTGTAATGAATTAAAGAAACATGATTTTTTTTTCATAAGCATGGTACAAGTAAAGAAACCTGAGTCCCAATGTTAATGTGGAATATTTGGATTCCTTGCTCCTCTAAGCTTCAGAGAATCCCATACTTCTCTGTAGCTCAGTGGCAATGAACCCAGAGCTTGGGATTCATCTTATCATGAGAGTACTTATTTCACTGTTTTACTGAGTTAATGAGAACTGTAGTTTACCACAGATAGAATTTTCTGTCACTCAGTGATGGAGCATCAGAGCATAGAATTCTGTGACAGTTTTGTCCTGTGCTCATGACTAGATGAATAACATTGTTAATTAGTAAATTTCCTATATCTCACTTCATCATGTGTCACAAAAGATGCATCCTATCCTCATGCCTTACAAACACTCAGTCTATAGAGTACATTTGTACCAATTGCAAATTAACATGTTCCCTGTGGATTGAATCATTGTAAGATGATTCTTCAGAAAAAAAAGTTATTGAACAATTTTTTGAATGTTCCCAACAATTTTTTGAAGAATACAAAAAAAAGATAGGTCACTGTGCTTGTTTAGGAGATATAATGGGCCAAACTTACCCCATTTATGCCTGTACTAGCAATAATCACCAACATCATTTCATTGGTTCACAGTACATTTTTCTGCAGCTGGAACCAAGGGTTTTTAAAGTACCACTTGAAAAAAACTTGATAGAAAGGAAGTCTCAAGTATATGGAACAATTTTATATACATAATTTATGGAAAATTTATGCAAATGTAAACAACGTTGACTCCTCAAGTCATTCCTTTCAAGGTCATAATTTGCATCCTCAAGCAATGGGCTTCATGCACACTTTTAGATTATCTTTTTTTCCCTTCAAATAATTTTCTTTTAATTTCCTCCATTTAAAGGGGATAAACTGTACACCAAAATTATGCAAAAAAAGTATAGGTCACTGTGCTCATTCAAGAGCTAAAGACCATCATGCCTCTTTACTTTGCTCATGGATTGGAAAACAATGCTGTGATCTCAGAATGAGTGCACATTCATTCCCCAGATTATGTGATTTTTTTATGCCCAGTACAGGATGTATGGTGCAAAGCTGAGGAATCACCTTAATTAATCAATTAATCAATAACTGACCAAGACAGATTTTCTTCTTATGATACTGATACAATATCAGGCAGACAAGTGACAAAAGTAAAGAAAACTATCGATTGGAAGATCTTAAGTTGATCCAATACCAAATCCTTCCAACTTATGTCATAAGAACTGTATAAAGAACAGTAATGAGAATTACTGATGAGATTGTGGGACTGAAAAGGTTAAACTGGCCAGAAAGTGATGGCCAGCAATTTACTGAACCCAAGGAGCATTACTAACAATTTGCTTGTCAGCAACCAGAGAAGATAGGAAATGATTGCAGCAAGAGTTCAAGGAGTTAGCTCAAAAACCATGATTATGATGTTATTTTTGATTATTAAAAAGTCGCTTTTTGACCATTGCAGACGTCGAAAGGAACGCGAAGAGATCAGTGCTACTGGGGCCATAGAAGTTTGGGGTTTGTCCCCAAGAGAACCTCCACCAGAGTAAGTTGACTGTAACAATTAATCAATGAACAAATATTTTTGCTTGAATTATTGTACACAACACAGTTTCTGTGTGAATCATTGCTGCAATAAATAGATGAAGCTCTCTTTGTATTCTGAAACAAGAGAAAAACTTTTTTAGAGGCAGATTTATTGGAATAAGCCAATAGGATACTTGACAATTAAAAAATATATTTCAATGGAGAGTTTTATTTGAAGGAGAGCATTTAGTGTCTATCACACCATGTAAATTTTGAGGTTCTCTAATATGAAGTTTTTTTTGTATTTAATAGTTCTGATGATGAGCTTAATAAGATGGCTCTAGCTGCAGACAGGATGAAAAAGAGTAAGTAGAAAGAACCAGAGATAGTAATTTTTTTTCTCTGACTCCCTTTCACAATTAAATAACATTAACTGAATTAGATTGAAAGATTTGAAGTTAAGGGGCAACATAAACCTTCCAGTGCCGTCAGTTAGAGCTATTAGCAGATTTACCCACAACCTGGCTAGTGGAAGCCCTCAACCCTTTAAGCCCCAAGATCTGATTGATAATTCTCCCCTCTAGCTGCGATACATCTCCTCATAAATTGGTTATGAGAATTTGGTGTAAGATCAAGATAACAACTTCCACCTGATTAGTTTGAGTGTTTTCATTACCTGTGTGCAGGTTAATGTTTAGATATTTTAGGGAGAAGTTACATGCTAATCACTTCTAGGAGTTAAAGGGTTAAGTCTACTCACTAATAAATGATCAATAAAGCCATCTTGGACCTCATCAGGAATGCTGTTTGATTGCTGGATGCTGTACATACATTAATTGCTGTAGGCTGGTGTTTATGTATATGAAGAATTGTTAACATTTTGGAAATATTTCTGTGTAGGTGAAAGTGAAAGTGAAAAGGACAGCAGTGAGGAGGAGAAAAAGAAAAAGAAACACAGGAAATCTAGTAAAAAGAAATCAAGAAAAAGTCGCCATAAAAAGAAAAGGTAAGGACCTTGAGGAGTTCTTGTTGTGAACTCCATTTCAATAGACTGGTGCTACTCTTAGTGGACCAATTACATGTACTAAAGTTTATTGGAACGGTAGGTGGTAGGTGCTATGGGAAAAAGATTCACTCAATACAATACATTGTACTGGTATGCACAAGCCTTTCATCACATGCTAAGAACTGAATCAAATGGATATTAACCTCTGACTCCCAAGAGTGACTAGTATCGTAAGAATTTCTCCTACAATATCACCCCTGAATGCAACATTAAGGTCACAAGAAAAAAGGAAATGATTACCAACTAAAGATTGTTGAACAAAATCTCCTTGTCAGCACCTGAGGAAACATATAGAGAACAATATGGAAGGTATTCATACTGGGGTTAGGGTGGAGAGGGTTAAACCATTTTTTCTCACTCCATATTGTACATTCACTACTGACTGCACAGTATGAGCTACATGTATTGGTATTGCAGAACTTGACTCATGAGCTTCTTTTGTGCACATCTTTTGATTGTGTTTTGAAAAGTTGCATGTGTGTACGCACTTTTTTTAATGTGCTTTTCGCATGCATTTTGGGTCAAGTACCTCTGAGCTGTGCTGTACCAATCGTCATCTGACAAAGACCTCTGGTATAGTAGTGAAGCTTTCCCAATGTGCATTTGATACCTGATTTTTAAATTATTAATGGTGCTGTTAAATAATGAGAAAAATTATTGCTTTAGTGAAGCACATGATTTTTGGCCGGAAAATTATGGCTGCAATGAAGATTTTTACTGACTGTATCTTTCTGTTTGGGTTTTCCTTTATCCAGTGTCATGTAACCAGTTTTCCATATTTGGATTGTGCATGAGGTTGAAGTTTGCAGAATATTAAATGACTGTGTTGATCTTGTCTTCACTGTTTTCTGGACTTTGGGCTGATTCATTACCAAGATCACCTCATTTACAAAATTTACCCATCAAATTGAGCAATTACTACTTGACTAAATTTGATTCCAACTTGTTTGACTTGTATTTTTCTATTCAGTAAAAAGCATCGCAAGAAGAAGGTTCGCCAAAAGTCAAGCTCTGAGAGTGATGATGAATCAGAAGGTAAGGTACTCCCAACTGATAAAAACGATGCACAGTTTGAATATCTAATTTGACCAGTTTTTTTAAATCAGGTGTTGTAATACACTGTGGGTAGAGGGGCCAGATGAGAAAGAGAAATTTTATTCAGTTTAATTTGTTTCCTTTTTCAGAAGAAGATGCTGATGTGGAATGGCAAGAGTCATGGATTGAAAAACAAAAAGGTATTGTAATTAAGATTAAATGTACGAAAATGTCCAATTATGGAGTCTGTGAAGCACATGGTTATCCATTTGTTCACTTTGTTGCGATACACATTGTAGATATCAATTGCCATCTAAAGAAAATGAGTTGTTTCAGTAGGAAGAAAAATTTCATCTTTTGCAGTGTTCTCAATGAAATAATTATGGTAGAAATGAATAGCTTTGAAAGCCTGGAGAGCCTCCTGTTCCTGAGGAGTGCTTGTCTTTCCTGGGAAATTTGAAAGGGTTAGACTCATGAAGTTGCATTTTTTGGCATGTAATGTAATGAGGTCTTTTCCAAATTAGGCTTCTTTGCTGTTCCTTGAAGTTAACCATAATTGAAGAATTAAGACCTTTTCAGTAATGTTAGATGTAAAAAAACATTATCAGTGGTAAAAGCTACAAGCAGGCAGTCAGTGCATTACAAATGTTTAGATCTATCCACTACCTGCCTACTTTTGAAACTCTTGTTTTAAAAGTCTCAAGAAATGGTTTCACTTGAGTGCAGTAGTTCAACACTTACCTGAATTTTCCTAATGAAAGCAAGAAGTCTTCCTTTGACTCTTAAGAGTGATTAGCATCAAATTTCTCCCTACAATATCACTCCTGAATCAACCATCAAGGTCACAAGAATAAAGGAAATGATCACCAACCAAAGATTGTTAAAAGAAATTCTCCTTATCAGCACCATAGGAAAAGTACAAAGAACAGTCTGGAGAATATACATACTGATGATAGGGCACAAAGAGTTGAGGCACATTTGATTAATTTGCTTTTGTGCCATCATAGACAAAGATAAAGAGGGAGGCAATGGTGTCATTGGGCCTCTTCCACTTATGCAAGACGCAGGCAATCAAGACATTACCGAGTGAGTAAGACTATCAAGTGATAATAACTCTATCATCACAAGTACAGATTGTGCAACTGACATCATGAACTTGTGAATTGTGTCCAGTACAAAACAATAAAACTTTCATTTGTGGTAAATGAACTGAAGGTACTTGTAGATTATGACGTGATTTGAGATTGGACCAGGTAATTCAGTAACTAGGTATTTTAGAATTGTCAACTGAGTTGATAACATAAATTGGCCACCATGAAGTTTTTAGGGTTAGCCCTTTGTCAGAAGGGCTAATGCTCAAAATGTCAGCTTTGACCACCACTCTTCATGGTGGTCAATTTACATTGTCAACTCAGTTGATAATACAAAATTACCTTTTTATACTCTCCCACCCATGCACCATCACAGTTTCTTTAGAAACTTACCCCCTTTATTAAGTAACTAGTTGACTGTTCTGCAATGAATAAGAATGGTGGACCCCAGCGAGACAAATATTTAAAAAGTTGTTAGAAGGAAGCCAATTTACATTTGTTTCTACTGGTAAGTACTCCTATCAAAATGGGCCAGTACTAGAGACCCCAAACACTAGAGTTTCAAATGGGACACCAGTGTTTGAAATCGGACACTATTGTCCAAAACCAGAAGCTAGAGCCCATATTCAGACACTAGTGTCCAAAATAAGACACTGATGTCCAAAATTTAACTCTAGTATCCAAAATCAAACATTACTCTCCAAGTCTGGACATTAGACTCCCAAATCCTCCTCTAGTGACCATCTACCTGTTTTTGTAGTCCTGAGAGGGTTTTCTGGCCTTTCTCACTCAGAAAGGTACACATTTATTCAGCAATTGCTCACAGACCAAAATGAATATGATGCATCTGAGTCACCATCACAAATCTTGCATTCATTTGTGTTTATTTCTTTCTGTTGTTTTTCAACAGCTTTGGAGGAGCTCTGCTACCTGGTGAGGGTGAAGCAATGGCACAGTATGTGAAGGAAGGCAAGCGAATCCCTCGCCGTGGTGAGATTGGGCTCACAAGTGATGAGATTGCTACATTTGAATCATCTGGTTACGTGATGAGTGGAAGCAGGTATGATAGCGTATCTTAATCAGTCAGTAAGAGTATTTTAAAGCCTTCTGTGCTAAAGTTATCTCAAAAATCTTGTTACTAAAAGAAGTAGTGCTAAAAGTAACACACTCCACTTTATCCAGAGAGACTCAGGAACAACAGCATTGTGCGTGTGTTTGTCAAATCATGTCACCGCTAACTATTTGTGTTTTCTCTCTGTACATGAAAGTTTATTGTGTTCTTTACATTGCTGCTGATTTGTCTGCAATAGTTTCTTTTAAATTATCCTTTACAGACTAGTCAATTTGCTGGTCAGCTTTTGCTTTTACTTGATAAGTTCCTTTTAGGCCACAGACTTAAATTTACTGAGAATGAATGTTGCAGTAAACAAGACTAGTTCTTGTTTATCTTGCTTGGTGGAGTACCAAAAAATGTGAAACAAGAAACAACAAAAGTTTATATAAAAAGCAGCACATACAAGTTAACCATCCAACAATGGTTTTAGCAACACCTTTCCCATTTACTTTCCTCACACTGAATGTAGTTTCACCAACACAACGTATATAAAGAGAAAGCTTATAGGCTGATGGAACTAAACTTCCCTGGGAATACCACTTAAAGTGAACAGTTCTTAATTCCATTGTGAAAAAAAAAAAGAAAAAAAGAAAAACAAACATGGAAGCTTGCAACTCTAGCCCATCTGTTTGAGTTTTAGAGTTGAATGACTTAAATTATTTTTTGTCTCTTCCAGGCATCGTCGCATGGAAGCTGTACGTTTGAGAAAAGAGAACCAGATTTACAGTGCAGATGAGAAGTGAGTGAATGTGCTTGTAGATTGTTATTTGTCCATAGCATCAGGTGGTATTTTTCTTGATTCCAGCCATTCACTGCCTTGTAACTTTTTTTTTTACTTCTTGTTAACAGGCGAGCATTGGCTATGTTTAACTATGAAGAACGATCCAAGAGAGAAAACAAAATCTTGTCAGACTTCAGGGAGATGATTCATCAGAAAATCAACAAAAAGAAATAGTTGTTTCTCTAGCTATCTTAGCTTCCTCCAGTTCCAACTGCTCTTTCCAGTGTTGCTTGATGATGGGCAGGCATAACAAACATTGGCACACAAGTAGCAGAAAAGGAAATGAGAGAAAGTCCTACCCATAGACAGCCAAAGAAATGCTTTTGCATCATTCAGAATCACTGCATTCTTCTTTTGTGGTCCTGGTTGCTCAGGCAGACAGTGCTATTTACTGGATTAATCTCTTTCTAGTGGATAGCACAGAACCTTTTTGTAAACACCTACATGTATCTACTGGATAACAATAATTCATCTGTTGGATAGCATTATCCATCCTTTGAACAACTGGGCTGTAGAGTGTGTACTATGGAGGCCTTGATGTTCATGTATGACAATTCTGGATTACAGGTTACAAGGAATCTCTAGGTCATAATGACTAAATTTTCTTGTTGTAAAAATGTCAACCAGGCTGCAGTTTGTTTTATTGACTCAATGGAGCTATCAGAGAAATAATTCAGGTGTAACCTAAACAATTTTTTAAGATTTTTTTGTTTTTTTCTATTTTACTAAATTATGAGATAAATTGCAAAAGCTTTATACAGACAAAGGTTTCACCATGAAAAGTTTCACTTGTAAGTTTAAGTGGAATTAAGTCAAGTGCAATTCTTATGTCATTGATAACAAGCTGACTGGCTGGATATAGCACACATACAAGCTTAAAGGATATAACCTGATATTGTATAATATATATGACTGTATAATAGTATACTTACAAATTTGAGCTGTGTTTAACTGTGAATTTGAAGTACAGAATTTTTGCAAGTGTTTTATTGCCTACTTCAAAACAGAGCAACAAAAGAGTGCAATGAATAAGAACTCACACAATTTCAAAGACAACAAGAAGCTGATCTTTCATTGAAAGTAGGTTACAGACAGGTCTTAAAACTGGAATGAAGAAAAAATGGTTATTATCCTATAAACTCCCAAGCTCTGATTCCTAATTCTCCCCTATAGCTACTAAACATTTCTTTGTGAATAGGTTATGAGAATTTGGTGTTGGATCAAGATAGCAATTTCCACCTAATAAAATTGACTAGTCTCATTACCTGTTAACTGGATGATGTATGGATATTATAGGGAGAAGTTACATGTTAATTCTTTCTGGGAGTTAAAGGGTTAAATGCTCCCCTCAGTTAGACAATATACCCAAATAGAAAAATGTGCCATTTATTCACAAATTCTTAATTTAAACCATTCTTGAAGTGTACATCACAAGTCAGACAATCTACAAAGATTCTATCTTGGCAAAAAAGCAAGACTTTCTACATGTTCCTGTTGATAGTTGTTTAGCCTCTTAACAATTTTAAGGAGCTTCTATTTCATATTTCCCATTAGAACTCATTTCATGGTCAAGTGATCTCTATTCACTATTCTCTTGAATATTTCTACATTTTCGCATTTGTTTTTTCATCCACTGTGAAAACTTAAATTGTGATTCTTCACTATGCAATTGTGATGTGCATGGCATCTTTCCTGCTGTGTAAATCCATTCATCCCAATTTTCATCCACCCAAGCTATTCCTTCTGTATCTCTGGTCTTTTGGAGATTTCTACATAATTTGATCTGATTCTTGTCCCACTCAGAAAAATCAAATTCAGAATAGGCCTGACTGGTCAAGTTCCTTGAACTAAATTTTAAAGAATCACTTTGTTCACTAGAATTGAACGATGTCTGAGGTGTAATCTCTGGAGGATGAGTTTCCTTTTGTATTTTGGAGCATGCCTCAATCTGTTGTTTTGCCCATTGTGTAAACTCAAAGAGTGGCGTCTCAGAGGATGTTTCTCCCACATTGCTGTAGTCTACTTTGTGACAACACTCTCTTCCAGCACTGGTAATGCTACCTGCATGGTTATAGAAACTGTATTTGGCGATATCTCTGTCCTGAATTTCTTTGCACTTTGCCATCTGATCCTTTTTCCACTGAGAAAAATGAAATGACTGGCTTGGTTCCTGTTCAAGTGAGAGTGAGTCTGCTCTATCTTTGCTATTGCTTTCCTCAAAACTTGCATCACTATTCAAAGTTCGCTGCTTCTTGGTTGGTGGAGTTAGTGTGTGAGCTTCAAAGAAAGCTCTGTCATTATCTGGTTCAGATCTGAGTGGAAAATCATTTTCACTGTGATCATCATGAATGTCACTTGGATCACTCAAGTGAGAAATCCCACTGATGTTTAATTCTGTGGAATTGTGGTCTTCATTTTCTTGACTGTCAATGAGCTGCTCATCTGTCATGAATATGTCTGTGCTGCATCCTGTTTTGGCAAGGGGAAAAAAATGTGGTGATGTTATCTCTGGTAACAAAATAATCAAAATTTCATGTTTTTACATAGAATCTAAGCTCAACAGCTACCTGTTAACAAGAAGTAACCAGCCATTGAAAGGGACATGAGTCTGAGCTTCTTTAAACACAGGAATAAAAAAAAAAATCACAGATATGGAGCGTATACATTATCCTAAAAGGACGAGCATAAAATTAGCATGCTTTGCAGCCACCATTTTGGGTCGTACTTGGTTATCAAGTCATTATCTTTTGCTTTCCTGAATACTCATTGCCTAAGAAAACTTTTGGAATGCCGGTTTTCTCTTATTTTGGTTACATGCATATTTCAAATAAACCATGGTTAAGGAGATATTTGTAGACTCTCTTAACCTTTGTCCAACATCTTGTTAAAGTATCACTGTTCAAGGAAAACAGTTCCACTCTCAACTTCACTGACACAGTAAGAGGACAGAATGAACATGAAGCATCTATCAATTTGAGGCTTCCATAATCCCCCCCCCCCCCTCCCCAGGCAACCCTGAGCATTTGAACTTTTGAAGATTGGTTTGTTCAAATTCCCCACCCAAGTTCCAGGTTTGATGGTCGATTTGTTGTAAAAGACAAAATCAGCCAGGGTAACTCTTTATTTATTAACCAAGCTTATAAGCCCCTGTGTGCAAAAGAGGATACTTCACTTTTAGACACCTCCTTATTTAAAGATATGGTGCTTGTATTCAGCCAGAAAGACTTGACACTTCCAGCTCAAATTCCCCATCCCAGCCAGGCAAGGTGAAATTCCTTACATCCCTTACCCTGGGACACTAGACACTAGTCAAATGCCCATGAGTAGCCTAAAGGGGGGGGGGGGAGAGAGGGGAATGTTGAATGTTCAAATTGATTGGTGCATAGTAAGGTATGTATATTTCTAAAATACTAGGTATATGCCCTAATTTTTGGAGAAAACATTCAAAATATTTGTCCTGGTATAGCTGTTAAAGAACCATCAGCTATCAAGACTTGCACATGAAAGTGTTAACATTTAAAATTTATAGAGGCAGAATTGTAATTTTCAAGCTTGCCAATATCTATTCTCCTTTGTGTCATTCATTGCCTAAGTGTATAAACTGATTTATATTTTAGTAAGATAGCTGATACAAAGGTGCTTTTATATACCTGACGACGAATTATCTCGATGTCTCTTCACTGGAATCTTCACCTGTTTCTTTTCTAGATCGTCTTCTCTGTTCGAAGCAGCGCTGTTATTCTTCAGACAGCCATTCGAATTGGGTCGTCCATCTGCTTTGAAGAACCTGTTAAGCTTTGTCTGCTTTGCATTTCGCAATGTTTTCACCGTTCTCGGCGAGAGGGGTGAACTAGAGATTTGTACGCTTGGTCTGGGAGCAAGATTTGAAAAGTTGTGTTTATTTTTCGTTTTCTTCGTTTTCCTACCTTGCAGGGGAGCTAATTTAGTTTCTCTCCTTTTCGCATTTGCAGAGAGCCATTGTCCACAACCTTCTGCACGGTTGAACATGATATTTCAAGCGAGAAGCTGTTGCTGTGTTGATTCAAAATGGCGCGCCAATTTAAACAGCCTCGTTTTGGTTACATATCGCTATGCCACAATAATCACGGAGGGGACCCCTGAAAAAATAATCGCGTCGGAACATTTCCCTGTAGAGAAGCATATATTTTTTTCTTCGATGCATTTATCCATAAAGGTAAGAAATATTTCAATTTATGGGGAGGGAATCTGGAGATATTACATTTAACATTAAGTGGTAGAGATAAAAAATTGTTGGAAATCTGGAGAGACCCCTGGAGGAAGGTTATTGTTTTGGTGCCTGTGGCCAGTCGTGCAAACATCATTCCCATCAATGGAGTGCCAACGATAACACCTTATGGTCTTTCCACATTAGATCGCAGAATAATGGCAAGGGCAGTTGATCGATCAAGAAGTCATTCTCCAGTGAATATCATATCAATAGATATTGGAACAACCACGATTGTTGGCCATCATTTTGACAGCTCAGGAATTTCTCTTTACCACACTTCACGAAAGGTAAGTTCCAACGATCGAAGTCCGCCAAAATCTTTTCTTGTCGAACCTATGCTGTGACACAAATATTTCTTTTAGTGAGTGCTAATAGCAGTAATGGCATTAATTTACACACCATAGCTTCCGACGATTCTTTTCAAATTTAAGCTCAAGCTATGGCTTATTTTATTTAGACCTTGTTTGATTGTCTCATATCTTCGGTGAATGTTCCAATCTGATTTAATCTGGATAATCAGTAACCTAGAGCCCACAACCTGTCAACTCCCCTTCTCCTCCCCCTGTTAGTGAAGTCATGTCTGTCCAATTCCAGCCTGAAATTTGAGCAACGCTAGAGAGAAAGGTCTCGACTTGGTGTGTCCTGCATGGATGCAAGAAAACAGTCCTCCTCTTCCCCTTCAGGTTCTTCAAGATCCATCGATTGGCCGAAGAAAAAATAGCTTGACGTATTCCACTGAAAAGTAGATCGGTATTTTAAGCCAAGTATAGTTTGTCTCTCCTGCAAAAGGGATACTTATGCATACAAAATTTGAAAATAGGTAGATTTATCTTTAGGTATACATGTATGTCAAATGTAAAATGATGATTAGGAAATATGAGCTGGATCACAGCTTTCACTTTAACAAAGCGATCACTTTACTACCACCAATAGTGGATATCAGTTGGTTTCCCCTGAGTAAGCTTAATTTTTCAATTAATAGTAAACTAATGTTGACCAAGGACAAAAGCCTGTTTTACAATTTGTATGCTTAGTTCCAAATCCTTTGGGTAGGAGTCAGAGGTTTGTTTTGACACAAACCTTGCCTCTTTTTGTGTCTCAGCCTCACTCCTATTCAAAGGCTTGGTAACTAAGTCACAGTTCAAAGGTCAAACTTCACATGAGACCTACAAGACTGAGAGAATTCATTTCAAGTTTGACATTTGAATCATTGAATCAGTTGAGTTTGTCCAACTGAGTGTGGATCCACCAACACATTCTGTCCTTTGAATAGAACGTTTAAAGATTGTCTGTGGGGCAGATGTCAATTTCTCTTCATGAATCAAACTTAAGGAATAAATTACAAATTACATTTTCAAAATCAGTCATTTTTGTTGCTCTGAGTGGAATACAACAAACTCTTTTTGATGTTTGACCTAGTGGTTGGAATTCACCTGTTTAGGTTGACCAAACTTGCATTTTAGTGTGTCTCACATGAAGTTTGATGTTTGAACTGGGTTTAAATAGGCATTAAATGGGAACTTGGATTAGAAATAAGATCTAGGACTCAGAGGGCTAAGGAAAAGTTTCTCAATTATTCTGAAATATTAAACTTCATGTGTAAGTAGGGCCTTAACCCTTTAACTCCCAGATCACATTTGTAATTCTCCTTACTGTCAACCATACAATTCTTATGTTAGTTCAGAGAATTTAGAATTGGATCAACCAATTATCCCCAAATTGATATTTTTATTCATTCTCATCACCTATCTGGTTGCTATTGTTTTGATATTGTAAGGAAAAATTCTGTCTCCATCACTCATGGGAGTTAAAGGGTTAAAGTTAGTGCTAATTGATCCAATACCAAAATTCTCCAAACTGACACCACAAGAACTGTATGACAGACAGTAAGGAGAATTACTAATGAGATCTTGGGAGTTAAAGGGCTAATGGGATGCTAGTCCATTACAGATTAACTTCCTGTTCCTTCCCCTCTCCCCTCCACCCTTGTTTCTCTGTCACATGTCATTACTACCCATCTATACTGTGGATGGATCCACTATGAGTTGTTTTTTCAGTTTCAATACCAAGAACAAGGCAAGATGACAGGGGCTAGGTTTCCAATCTGAACCTCTTTCTCGAGAGCCCAGCCTGGTAACCATCAGCTCTCATATCTTCAACAAACTTCACTCAGTAGTTTTCCTTTTTTTCCCTTTAGGTTGAGCTTCTTTATCCCCAGCCAGGAGGGGTTGAGTTAGACCCAGATGTGTTATGGGAACAGTTTGTTGATGTTATTACCGAGGTTATGGAAGGTAATTTAAATATTTTTCCTCTATGTTTGTGGTAATTATACCAGTCCTGAATATTTAATCTAGTGCATTAATTGAATCATTCTTCTTTAATTATAATTTTGAGTTCAATGTCAGTATCTGAGCAACTGCACACCTACCCCTCCCCTAACCCAACAACATTCAACTTATAACAAGTAAGGTCAGGGGAGGGGTAGGTGAGCAGTTGTTCAGATACTGACATTGAACTAAATTTGGTCCTTGCTAAAGCAGAGATGACCATGTTAGAGAGAGAAACATGAAAAGTTTGGCACTTGGATGCTGCAACCTAAGCACCAAACTTTCACCTTGACTTGAAAGGCTCCCCTTGTATAACTTACAATGAGAAAAGGAAGACAAGGAGATGTATATTTAACAAACTTGAACAACTGTTGTTATAAAGGTCTGAGGTTCGATTCCTCGTGGGGACTCAGAATTTTTTCTTTATCCCACGGTCATGACAAGGTGAAAAACATCCTTCTCTATTTCTTTACAGAGCTCAAAACTTATATTTATCTTATTCTATTTACAAACATGATGCTATCAACATTGCTGATCCTAACAGTTAATGCAGGACATGTGTCATATGAACTTTGTAATAGACCTCACTCACCAGTCTCTGTGGCTCAGTGGTAGAGCTCTGGAGCAAGGAATTCAAAGGTCTGAGGTTTGATTCCTCATGGGGAATCAGAATGTTTTCTTTGTCTCATGTTTCTGACAAGATGAAAAACATCTTTCTCTATTCTTTACTGAGCTCAGAACTTACCATCTCTCTTTTTCTATCTACAAACTGTTTTTATCATTTACCTTAGTCTGATATGTATTCGAAGCCATCAGACACTTTTAAAGTGCTTTAACAACTTGCAAAGGCTCAACCTTTTTATACACCTGAAAGAGAACCAGCTTTCTAGTCTATTGAACGATATACTGAGTCATATAACAGAGCTCTCGAGTTGATCAGCTACCAAAGAGTGACACAGATTTTTAACAGTATAGCTGTCAAATGTGATGCTGCAGGCATAACTCTCCAGGAGGAGCAGGGTAATAAGGGCATACACCCCACTGGAACACTGTGAAAAAAATTAAATAGCCAAGATGTGTATTCAGTGTGAAAGTGGCTCTGCACAACAATTTCCACTGTTGGAAAGAGTTAGAAGCAAGTGCAAAGGGAAAAAGGAGCAAATTGTAGCTAGAAAGATAATTGATTTTACAGGTACATTACTAATGCAGCAGTTTGCTATATCGCCAAATCAAAAGGTAAATCAGAAACCTCAAATACATCAGAAATAGTAGTTTCAGTGTGAGAGGGTAAGACTGAATTCCTTTGCATGAGTCTTAGGCTCAATGCCTGATACCTGAGAGCTCTGTTAATCTAACTTCAGGCTCCAAAATTGCACAAGTCATTTGCTCTTTAGTTTATTCACAGGTGAATCAGTTTCAGTCAGATTGCAAAACAATATACTTATCTGTTTTCCTTTTTTTCTGAAGCATCAAATCTTCAAGCAGAAGATGTGACAGCCTTAGGAATCTCCACCATGAGAGGAACATTTATAACTTGGGACAGGTAATCGCATCTTATGATCTATGATAATGGATAATAATGTTAATATTTCTTGATTAAAACAATAATACTTTTTTAATTAGCATAAGAAATATTATGTGCTGGCTTGAACCAGGTTAACATGAATTCCTGCTAACTCAAACAAGATCCAAATTTTCACTTGGGAGGAATGTAGGCCCCCCCCCCCCCCCCCCTTCAAAACATTAAAGTGAATGTCTCATTTGCCTTGTTCATAGAAAGACTGGTAAACCATACCACAACTTTATCAGCTGGCAGGATATGAGGGCTGGACATTGTGTCGAGAGTTGGAATAAATCTCTTACCCTTAAGGTCTGTAATGTGAGCTTGCAATTTTTTGTTAAAAGCATTTAAATTTAGGTTTAGAATCTCTCTTCAGTGATCAATTCACATTATCAACTCAGTAGATAAAAGCAAAACATCTTGTGATACCCTTCACCAATGCAGCACCACAGTTTCTTTAAAAACTTGCTCCCTATATTAGCTAAACAGCTTTTGCTTCTTTTTGACTTTTGAATTTTAACCTCTGGTAAGTAATAGTACCAAAAAATCCTGATAAAGCGCATTTCAATTGAGTTTCTTATAACAAAAACCAATCACAACAGCCAATCAGACCAACAGAAAATTTCTGAAAGAGCCAATGGCAACCCAAACAAGGAAACTGTCTGAAGTGCAGGAAGACACGGATGACCAATTCGTGAGCAATATAGTTCTGCATCTGATTGGTTGAGAATGTAGCGAGTTTACGTTGGACCAATCACAGAGCAATTGCAAAATTCTCTATTGCCAAGTACATCAGTTCCCTCGACACAATCACAGTCATTCAATTTCAACCCGCTGAAGAACCAAGAACAAAAATATCAAAGGCTTATATGCCATGTACATCAAAGCTTAAACACGTTTTAAAGCTGTTGTTTCAAACATGGTTTGAAATTGTTTTCTTCGGCGTACAAGCTGCCTAAGCAGATATTTGACGACTTCAAATTCAGCGAATTGAAGTACAAGTTCTTTGCTTGTGATTTCCAGCCAGTCAAACTCGGTGTAAGTGAACATGTTTTGTTTGTGTGAATGGGACATTAGACTAACCTACGCCGAAATTGCACTGCTGTGAATGACGAGGACAAAATGCATAGGGAGCGAGTAGTTTAACAAACAAGCCCTCCTTTGGTTATGTTGTCTCTGTTTAACACTAATATTTTAAAACTTCTCTTTAAAGAGTTTGAATGCAGGGTCTAAATTTCTTCACATGATCTCAAGACAAAAGAAATATTTGGCTGGAAGCGTCATCAGCTTTTCAACTCAACATGTAAGTGAAATCAATTTGTGCGTTTAATGTTTTGCGTTTCACGTATATTATTTTTTTTAGACTCTTAAACAGCTCTATGAAAAGTAAAATTCCACACTTGAAACCAACCTTCTCTGGTCAAAACTTTCTCATTGTTCCACGAGTGATATGTTCAGGATTGGAAAATATTTTGTAATGTTTAGAGCTCAACCAAATCGCATCACGAAGCACATGCTGTCAACTACGCATGTACTTCCAGTCTCAAAATACAACCACATAGAAGGAGTTTGGATCCTAATTAATACATTCATATTTGACGACAGCAGGGATGGAAAAGCAGACATGTCAAATGATCCTTCACTCATATTTTCTTCTCATTTTCAACATATAACCTAATGCTTTAAAAGTTCTACACTGGTGAATTATGTTGCAATTGGTTCCCCACTAAGTCGTTTTTGTTTTGTTTCCAGACATCAATTAGGCTTCGCTGGTTGTTCAAGACCCATCCAGATGTAAGTGTCTTTATAGGATGCAGCTGCCTTGCACAATCAGCTAATCAGACTCTGCATTGAATTCTCGGAAATGTGTGCTAGGTCGACGCAAATGAGATTGCACTTCATTATAAGAATACTTAATCAGAGTACACGGAGTACAGTATTTACCACCTGTATGCTTTATTAGATACATTTTGTGCTGACATAAAACTTTTAAGGAAAAAACCTAATGCGAATTAGAAGAATATATTGTAACAGCTAGTGGTTTTTCAAATCATGACAGCTAATTTATTTTTTCGCGTGCAAATCACTGTAGCTTGCTAAAAAGGCAGATCTTGGTAACTTAGCATTTGGAACAATTGACTCCTGGCTTATCTGGAAACTAACAAAAGGTATTACGTACATTATGATATATACCTCTTACTAACCGAGTTTTGAGATCCGTACTGTAAGTTACGGACCTCGTTTTTCCGCTTAGATTTATGACCAAAGCGCTTCGCACATGGACCAAAAATCCGAGCGGAAAAATCGAGGTTCCGTAACTTACAGTACAGACTGAGAAAACGGGGTTGGTAAGATAATTATTAGATCTCTGGGTTCAAATAAAGGAAGAAGATTTCAATGCTAATGAACTTTTGAAGTTAGCGGGCTGCACACCGAAATATGGCCCATTAAATTGATGAATCTTGGCGCACGCACTGACTGAGAGAAATATTGAATTCAACTATGTACTTGGTCCATACGCAATCCAGCATAAGAAAGGGCTTAAATCCAAACTGATTTGCAGTTCGGTACCCTGGAATCTAATTTTTATATAGAAACTTAAGTATGCATTGGCACTGGTTTAAAAAGTAACTTGTTTTTATAAAATATTGTATTTTACCACAAAAATTAACCAAGCTGAAGAAAACTGTTTCTTTTAATTGTTCATGTGTTTATCATCAGGTCAGCTTCATGTGACAGATTACTCCAATGCAAGCGGTACAGGAATGTTTGATCCTTTTATTGTAAGTAAACTTGCGGGATTCTAAGTGAAATCATTAACGCTTGAAAATTTCGAATCAATGTCAGTATCTGTACAACTACGCACCTACCCCTCCCCTAACCCAACATTAACCTGACCTTGTTATCAGTTAACTGTTGTTGTTAGGGGAGGGGTTCCTACGCAATTGCTCAGATACTCACACTGATACAAAATTTCCATGTAAAGAGCTTTTTTTGACTGATCGCGATAACTTTAGTTTTAGTTTCACTACACTTAATTGAAAAGTAGTCTATTTTTTTTGTCACCAACATTTATTGCCTCTTTAAATGTTTTCAATGCAGATGGAATGGAGCTCAATAATGACAAGTCTTTTGAGTGTACCACTATCAATCTTTCCAAAAGTAGTTGATACCAGGTAAGTTCAACTTCAAAGTTAAATTTCTCAAATATGCTCTTCAGGTTCATTGTAAAGTTAATCCTGTTACTCGGAAGTGGAAAATGGTTGGAGAAAAGTCTTAACAATTATCATAATTTTGGTTATTGACGTGAAACTAATCGTCTTCCGCTGGTTCATACCTTCGAGGGTTGGTGTTTGTTAGTTTAATGAATGTAGTATAGGCGATGAGTGCTAAACCTGTAAAAATCAGAGACAGCACTAAGCCAAGATGTGATCTGCAGTGGAAAGTGAACTGCTCATCTCAGGCACGAAACTGTTAGGCTAAAATAACGCAAAGATGTTTTGGAGTTCCTCGATCCAGAACGAGAAACGTTGCAATTCAAGCCCCAAAAGACGAACCTGATATTGTATGAACATGAGGGGCGAACCGATCAAGCTACGACATACAAAAAGAAAATGTACTTTATTTATAGTTATAAGACCACGGTATTACGTACAGAGGAAAAACGATAACGTATTTTACTACTCTGGTCATACCTTGCCAGGTTAAATTTAGGAACAAAAACAACAACAACAACAACAAAAACAACTGGAAATGTCGTAATGATAATCTATAAAAAAACTTTTTTAAAAATTAAAAAATAGTATCTTATTGTCGTTCCACAGCAAAAATCTTAAATGTTCTATCTTCTCTGAAATCCTTTCAGACAACAATATTCAGCAGTTTCTGCTAATTTCGAAGAAAAGCTGGCGCCATAAAAATGTTGCGAAAAAAATGTAGAATAAAATAATTTGGTTTTCTGACTTCATAATGTAAATTGGTCACTGAAGAGATTTTCTAAGGCGTTAGGGCTGACGAAAGGTTAACACTCTAAACTTTAGCTGTAGAGACTCTTTACGGAGGCCAAGTTACTTGATCAACTCAGTTGATAAAATTTAATTATCTTGTTCTACTCCCTCACCGATACAGCACCACAGTTTCTCTAGAAACTTACCCCCTTTTCGTGAATACAGAACAGTTTTGCCCCTGACTAGAACTAAAGACCTCAATTGGTTGCTTAAATAATCATCCAAAACTTGCTAACGTCACACCTCACATCATTTCGGCAACTTCTCTATTGCGTTCTTGACCGGCCTTTGAATCTTTGATTTGATTCTTTTACCTACATTTTTTGACTACTTTTTTCCACTGTAGCGGTCTCATTTGTGAGAGTCATGAAGCTATCTTTGGTGCTCCAATACCTGTACGGGCCTTGGTAGGTAACTTTTGTGTTTTAGAAACTGTTTCTGACAATAGATACTATATGTAGGTAAATACTACTAGCAATGAGAATATTCTAACGAAAACAACGATTATACTGGCGAGAAATAGATCGCTACCGGCTTTACGTAATTTTTACACAACCTCACGCAAAAATGCGAATTTAATTGAAAAGAAAAAGGACATCACAGCAGTAATTCAATTGAAAGAAAACAATATAAAATCATTTCGCAGTTACTTAACAATAAATAGACATGCAATTCTATGCTACACTATATGTGTTCAGTGTATTATATCGTTTACAAGATCTTAAGTCGACCTTACAATGAGGGCATTTTTCTCCCTTTTTCTGGCTGTTGATATGTGAAAGTATACATTGTTACAAAATGTGGTGCACCAGGTTACAACTGAGCGGATTGGACCGAGTGAATCGGAGCCAGATAGCTCAGAAGTATTTTGTTTTTTTATGGTCAAAATGGAATACAGTAAGCTGAATTGACGGTCAATACCGCGAAGTATTACTGGTTTCAGACATCCTCGCTAAGCAAGCTTACTATTGTATCGAATGGTTTCTCTGGTAGAAGCGCTGGACAGAAAAATTATAAACACTTCTTGAAACGTCATGTTAAACGAAATATTGACCAACCAAGGCTGAACCCATCTTTAGGCGCGTCACTAAAAGAGCTATGTGAGAAAGTAAATCTCGCTGAAAGATAAGGTTAAGCGTTTTTAGACTGACTTCCCCTAACATTGCTATTGTTCACAGGGTATATCGTGTGTTTTGTTATTGTTTTTTATTCTTCTGTTCAAACTTTCGTTTGGTTTTTTACCTTTTGCTAATGTACACACTTCAAGGTTGCAGACCAACAGGCCGCGGTGTTTGGACAGTGTTGTTTTGACGCAGGAGATGTAAATTGTACAATGGGAACGGGATCGTTTATAGATATAAATACAGGCCCGTATCCGCATGCGTCTGTGGCAGGTAAAATAGATCTGTAATAGATCTATTTGAGAAAGAAAGACTGATGAAGCGAATATCAATTATTAAAAACCCCTGAGAGTGACTAGCATCTAATTTCTCCTTACAATATGACCCCCAAAATCACACATAAAGGTCACGTAAAAAAGGAAATGATAACCAACGATAGAAGCTCTAAATTGTTAATCAAATTCTCCTCGTCAGCACCTTAGGAAATGTATTGAGAACAGTATGGAGAATTTGTTTATTGATGTTAGGGTGTAAAGGGTTAAAGGGTGTGAAAACCATAACTTCGACCATCGTGTTAGTTAGAACGACGGTTAACATCACGAATAACCAGTTAGAACTCAAAGCAAATACCTAAGATGAAAAAAGGGGACAACCGATTGTCTTTTGGACTTGGTTTTGTACATGACAAGTTGAAGTGGTGGTGCAAGTTTTCTAGACAAATCGCACACCCATACGGTTTCAGAGCACTAACCAAGGAACCTAGTCTTGCGAGAAAACTGTAAATACTGTAATGTGATGGTATAGTCAAGATTTTTATAGGGTTCTAAGAATTGGTTCAACAGGAATGAAATGGAAAGGAACAGCTTTTAGATGGAACTGGTGGAAAAGGGCGGCAAAGTCGTACCGAATGCTTTTCAGAGCTCAGTTTTCAGAGTCCATGTCACATTATATCTCACCAAACTTTGGCAATTTCGTGGCTTAAAAGTGAGATGCATCTTTTTGTACTTGTGATGATTTTATAATTTACCCTCAATAGGACTTTATCCAATTGTCGGATGGAAGATAGGAGGGGAGACTGTTTATCTAGCAGAGGGTAATGCTGCAGGCTGTGGAACAGCCATGGAATGGGCTCACAACATGGGTGGGTAATTTTTTTGCGAGTTTTGTAAAGCAAATTAGCGTAGTTGATCAGTATTCGGGTGATCCTTTGGTTTGTTAGTTGGTCTGTTGGTTTGACCCTTTGTATTTGACAGTCAGGCAATAAGTCAGTCATTTAGTCAGTCAGTGAGCCAGGTAGTCAACCAGTACGTCAGTCAGCCAGTTATCAGTGGGTCCGTCAGTCTGACAGGCAGTCAAACAGTCAGCCAGTTAGTCAGTCTGTCTGTCAGTCAGACAGTCATTCAGTCAGTCAGTCAGAGGACCGGTCAGACAGTCCATCAGTCAGCCAGTTAGTCAGTCAGTCCGTCTGTCAGAGTGTCAGACATCAGTCAGCCAAGAAGTCAGTCATCCGTCAGTCAGACACTTAGTTAGTCAGCCGGTCAGACTTGTTCATCAATATTTCTGCCCGCACGTCCGTCCATACGTTCCTACAACATCAGTTGGGTAGCCAATCAGTCAGTTAGTCAACCGTTTAGTCAGTAAGTCAGCAGTCACCTGGTTAATAGGCAATTTATTTATAGACAATCAGTCAGTTAATAAGATATTTTTTCAGTCGACCATCCAGTCCGTCACGGGACCGAACGCTCAGTAGCGAGCCAAGTGCCCAGTCTTATTCATATCCGAATTCCAGATTATTTTCGTTTCCATCTCACCTCGGTTCGCTCCGCTTTCATCACGAATCACATGCAAAGTACTTTCTCATCAGCTCAGTATCATTTCTTGAAGTAAATATTTCTTTCTCGGCAGGCTTTTACGACGATGTCTCGCAGACGAGCGACATGGCTTTTTCTGTAGAAAGTAAGCTCAAAAATAACGACTAACCTTTATGGTTCGTTTCTTTCTTTCTGCTTAGAGTTCTTCATAAACTTAAGGAAATTATGAATGAAAAGCTTTGGTTGCTGCATTCAGCGTCTCTGTGTTGAATCGGTACAATGTACATTTTTAACCGTAATATTAAAGAGAACGTAGATTGTTAAAACAAAATTTATTAAAGACGAACCAGGTGTTTATTTACAAAGCACACGAAGTTACGACGTTTTGAAACCTTTCTCTGTCAATCTCTGCCAAGCACATTTCCATGGAATGTGATACCAGATCCTACCGCTTTTCATACAGTGATCGTTTATCTCTAATTTCTCTTTACGATCTTGTTCGAAGCGCTGCGGAAGAGTATAACTTGGGAAGGTCAAGAAACAAATCCAGTTCAGTGGCAGAGTGGACTGGCTTTCGCTTCACTTGGGACCTTCAGATTCTAAACCTTCTTTCCATGACCACTCGACTACCTCGCCTGCATAAAATTTCCCACGTCGCCGCAAACCATCCCAAATAATTCAATTTTACTCTGTTTTTCTCTTATAGCTTCAGGTGGAGTTTACTTTGTTCCCGCTTTCAATGGATTACAAGTAAGTAGTGATGTAGTGTTCGCTTTTTAGGTTGTGTGGGTTGCGTGGGTGATTGATAAGGTTGTGTGTGTGCTGTACGGGTCCTGTCAAATAAAATGTGTTTACTCTTTTTGTTTACTCTCTGTTTGAAAATGTAACATCGACCTTTACATCACAGTTTGCTCTGGTTGGGACATAACTTTGGGTTCTGCGACCAAAAAAAACATTGGATGCCGACCTTAATTCGTCACAATATCCCGCTGTTCTGTAAGATATATGCATATATATGTAGTCAGTGACCTCCCTTTTGACCTCTAGCTCGAGAAACATTGCGTCTTTACATTTTTTAAATTTTTATTTTATTTTATTTTATTTTTTTTAATTTTGTTTCCTTAACTTATATTTTTCTTTTTGCTTTCCACTGAGTTATTCCTTTTGTCTCCCTAGGCTCCAATCAATGACAACAAAGCTTGTGTTTCACTGATGGGAATAAAATCCACCACTAACAAAACTCACATCATGAGAGCTATTTTGGAATCTATAGCCTTCAGGTAAATGTTAGTTTGCAAAGCTGGTTGTTATGTACGTTCAATAAATATGGAGGCGACGAGGATTCTTGCTTTTCTTCTTCCACATTTGCACAATCAGCTGGCTTCGCAGTTAGGGTGGATAAAAGCGTTGAATAAATTGAGTTGTCAGGCAAGAAGTGTTACTCGACTTAACAAGGCACGGAAGTAGTGAAACACAAAGACAGGAACTTCAGCTTATTATCTGTGCCCGGCCATTCCAAACTTAGCGGAAGGATTTTAGACAACTAATCTCCTATTTCTGTTGAAAGGTGAAAATGTTGTAGCGACGATCAACAAAAACCAACAAGATAATGGATAAAAAACATCGCACTGGTAACGAAAAAGGGAAGGGTGGTAGGCTGGTACAAAGTTGATACATAGGCTCGCAATGCTATATGGTTGAGTAAGATTCTTAGGTAATTTTTAAGCAGCATATGGCAGTTTGCGGCCTTTCCCTACATCTAGGCAGTTCGGAAAGCCGCCAAACTCTAGAACAAAAATTAATCTTTCAAATCGGCACTTACAATCCCCACGGTATAAACGAGCGCTTTCATTCAACTATTTATTTTTGTTTTTTCGTCACCATATTCGCACCAATAACGTAGCTCCATTTTCTGCATATAGACACGCACACAACCCACAATTCCTCCATTCGCTCTGACGAAGGGCTAAAACTCGAAACTACAGCTTTGAAACTCTTTACAGTGGCCAATTTACGTTATCAACTGAGTTGATAATACCAAATTACCTTGTTATACTCTCCCACCGACGCAGCACCACCTTTTTTTTTAGAAGCTTACCCCCTTTAAGATTCTCAGGCGTCTTCGATGGACAGCCCTTAGAAGCAAGGGAAAGTGCCCATAGTTTGCGAGGGTAATCCCTGAAGTTGAACAGTATCAAATTGACGCACACGAGCAGGCTTTGGTAATTCTCAAAAAAACTATCACAACTCTCAGGTAGAACTTGTAATAAAGAGGAACAACCATCAATATTAAGAGTTGAGCCAAAAGGTTGGAATTACAATATTCCAATTTAGAGGCTCTTCATACTGGAAAATTTAATAATCAAGTTGTTTAAACGATTCACTCAGGTTTACTCAGCTGTATGAAACTGTGGTGGAAGAGACGCACATTCCACTAATGTCTTCAGTCAAGTAAGTTGTAAATTTATTTTAAATTTCTATTTTAAATCGAAAGTCGCCAAAAATCACAAGTATGATTTCAGACCAAAATTGCACGACACAAGGTTCAATTACATCCGTTTTGAAATTGCCCAAATACAGGACTTGGTCAGTTAAAATATTTTATTGATGCAGTACTGAGCCGGTTTGAAATTAAATTCATTCAATTTTTGGGGGGAAAAAATAAGAGTTTGGGAAACAAAAGTTGCAAAATTTGCCACATGGTACTCTTTGTCTTTCATTTTCCTGCAATTGATTGGTTACTTTCAAAAAGCCATTGAAATCTGATCGGTTGTTTTGTTTTTAGTGTAGCCTCCTCGTTGGCTAGGAAAAAGATGCGATTTAAAGCAAAAAATGGTGCGATTCGTGAATAAATCGCACCAATTACAGCCAATCAGATTACAAGGACCACCAGTGATTTCAAAATGGGTGTAATAAATCTGAGAATTACTATTCATTACCATAAAGTTGAATGGTCACAAATAAGTTTTTCATTCAGAGTCGTGAGAAATTATTTTGTTTTGAACTGTCATAGTAATGCGTTTTCAGGTCTTTTGAATGAGATTTTTGTTTGTGCGCGCGAAAGCGACCTTTTAAGTCATACGCCAAATGTAGGTTTAGGAGAAACTGAAAGATATCCGGGAGATTATCAAGGTCTAATAAGAGCGCGGAAAACTTCAAAAATTTGCTAGGGTTGATACCCATCGCAATAAGTAATATCAGAAACGCGATTTCCGGTAGTTTGAGAATCACACACCTTAGTTACAGCCTTGTAATTGTCGAACACTCAAAGTTGAGGAAATGGCCATTTAAGAGTGAGTTTTTTTGTAAAACGTAGGATGGAGCTCTTTTCGACTGAGTCTCGCAAAAGAAAAACCAAATGAGCTGAAGCGTAAAATAAGAAAGAGATAAACATAATAATGAAATCCATCGGAACTCAAAGCAAGCACATAAAACTGGCTTCAGGCGCGGGAAAACGAGTGACCAAGTAACATCTGATTGGTCGAGGTTGTTTCGAGTTTTCTAGACCAATCACAGAGCACGTTTATGTGGCTGGGACCATTACTTCGAGGCTGCACAAGGAATGCGTCTGTTAGTGGAGGTTCCACCTCTGAACAGAAACACCTGGAAATTGCATTAGCATGATACAGCTTTAAGATAAAAAAAAAAGGGAAAAAGGAATTCGTGATGTAGACAAAGTTTGTACCTTCTGAGTTATATGGGTAATGCGTCTTTTTCTCTTTCTTTTTTTCATCTTTACAGAGTTGACGGCGGAATTTCTAACAATGACTTTGTACTGGAATTAATGAGCAGTTTAACGTGCCAGACGATAGACCGACCCTCTCAGACTGACATGTCCGCTTTAGGGGCAGCCTTCTTGGCTGGTCTCGCAGCTGGTAAGTTTTGTTATGTGAAGAGCTATGATGTCACCCGCATTGCTGGCTCAAGTAAAAATTTTTGTGCGAGGCTCGCTTACTGATGATTGATTTATTGAGCCATAGATTTGTTCATTTGCAATTGTATATTCAGAGTTTCTTCGCTTTTCACCAGAAAGTCTTGTGTGTAGAACTCGTGAATTTATACAATAGCAAGTTTACCAATTTACCTCAATCAAAAAACTACTTTAGTTTGAGGTTAAAGTAATTTTCTGTTATTGCCGTAAGTAGACAAGGATTTCGTTACATTTACTTTTCTGTGATTGGCTCAGAAAACTCGTGCAATTTTCTCAACATTCAGAAACAAACCGCAACCAATCGCGACTTGTTCACGAGCTTTTTCCCGCACTCCAATCAGTTCCCATGTTTTTCTTCTGAATTTTCATTGGCTCGTTCGGTGTCGCACTTCCCTCTATTATGACTGGCCTCTTTCACAACTAAAGTTTTGCGGTTATGACAATCAATCAGCACTCTATTTATCTGCTATATTTCATTTGTATACCAGGAGTTTGGAAATCACGTGACGAGTTGAAAGCAATCCGTTGTTCCCAGGCCCTCTTTCAACCGAAAGCTTCCATCCGAGATAAATTCCTGAAGAATTTTGACGAATGGAAAGAGGCGCTGCACAGGAGTAAGAATTGGTACAAATGGGAGTGATTTTCTCTTGGTACAACAGAGAATTTCGTTTTGTTTTATTTCATCGTAAATAGCTTATAGTATTAAAACTGTTACTATTTGCGGCTGAGTTACGCGGGTAGCTATAGTGAAGCATATTGGGCTATATAAACTATTTGACCCTTGAACTCTCAAAAGTGATTAACATGTTACTTCTCCCCATAATATTCATACATTATTCAGCAAACAGGTAGTGAGAATACTCAAACTTATAAAGTAGAAGTTGTTATCTTGATCTAGCACCAAATTCTCGTGACAAGTTTTTCAAGGAAATGTTTGGCAGCTAGAGGGGAGAATTAACAATCAGGGCCGGGTTGTTCAAAGCTGGGTTAAGATAACCCAGGGTTAGTGTAAAATTTTATTTAAGATCTGAAAGCTTGAAAAAAAAATTCAGCTTAAATCTTTTTGTCCTCAATTTGTTGATTGAATGCTCTAAAAATAAATGAAGAAAATTGTCCTCAAACAGCTTTTGAACAGAGAAGTATAGAAACCTAGATTAAAATTTAACAGTGGGTTAGCGCTAATCGGCCTTCGAAGAACTGGGCCCAGATCTTGGGAAGGTTGAGCCAGGTTTTTTTTTAATTATTACACTGATGGCGGTGAGGGATATGAAAAAGAAGCGATTATTAAATTATCGTGGACATTTTCCATGCCCAACTGCTCATATTTTATACTCAATATTTCGAACTTTTTCAAACTCACGTAAGGTTGATTTACTTCATTAAATTAAGAACACGTCATGCAATACAATTCTGTCACGTCATTGTGTCACTCCACAGACAAACCTTGTCACAACTGTTAAAACATTTCTCCCTTACCTCAGTGAATGGTAAAATTGGACCGCCTAAAAGAAAAGAAAAAAAGTGGCAGGGGGAGGGGTGTTTCAACAGAACTTAACGAGGGTATGTTTGAGTGATTTAATTTTCTGAATTTTCTTGAACTCTTTCCTTTTTTACCAGAGACTGGTTTTGTTTTGTTGTATTGATTTTTCGGAAAATTATGTAATGAGTGTCATATCTATTATAAAAGATGCGTAGGTAGCTTTACTAATAGATATAAAGTTTTGGACAACAGTGTGTTTTTTTGTTTAGCGGTCCTCAACGTTCTCGCTTGTTTTTCTGCATTGTGCAGTGAATTGCACACTTCATCCTGGAGAATTATACATTCAATGAATTGTGCCATTTTATTTAGTTTCTCTTCATAAGTTATATCATTATTTAATGTATATATTTGTAATCAGATCAGAGCATTAAATGACACGATTGACTAACTAGGAGGGTTTTGCCATGTTCCTCTAAACGAGGTGTCATTTCCTCATCACACTCAGTGATAAAAAAATCGCATACGAGCAGGCCCTCATTAATTAGTGCTTCAGCACGAGCGTCTCTTAGCCCGTGGAAAGTAAGGAAACTTTAAAATAAACGAGAGCCGGCGAGAGGTATGCAACGAGTCTGGCACTGAAAATAAACGAGAGCCGGCGATAGGTATGCAAGGGTTCTGGTACTGAAAATAAACGAAAGCCGGCGAGAGGTCTGAAAAAAAACGAGAGCCGATGAGAGCTAGGTATGCAAGGGGTCGGGCATTGAAAATAAAGTCACACCACTGGGAAACCTCTCCCCGACTTGTCTCAAATCTTCCCGCGAGCGGAGAAACGTGCATCCTGCACGCATGCCGGTGAATAATCACTTAACTTATCCCCTTGGGTCACGTAGGGATCAAGGTATCGCGGAAAAATTAAAGACGTCGTCTGTTGTGATGCATTCTACTGTTTTTTTTTTTCTTATTCACACTTCGCCATGCTTGTTCCTCTAAGGTAATTTTCTTCCTCGTTGAACAAAAGTTTTGTATTCTTCAAGTTGGTTCAAATTCGGTTCTTTCAAGCCAATTTGCGCCCTTAATTTCTAGAAACAAACTTTATCAGGTTCATCATAAGATCTGTTAGAAGAAAACAGAATTCGGCACAATTTAGGTACATTTCCTACAAAGTAAGAGTTTGCTCCTTTTTCTGTCCGTCTCAAATCTGCTTACTAAAATGTAGTTATTTTTCCGAAACAAATCCCCACCTACCTAATACCTAAGGATACCCCGATATTCCGTCATTGGGGTGAAGGGGCGCGCTCTCGGAAACAAAATTGGCAAACGAGTCGGAAAGCGAGGAATCTGTAGAATGCCTCAGGTCTTCCTTGGCCTTGGCCTTGGCCAGGGTTAGCGATAAATTACTTGGCATATTTTTTAGCTACAATTGAATTCATCCTTTGAGCTCTTCTGCAGCTTTGTAGGAATTTTTTTTGTTTTTGGGGGGGGAGATGTTTTTTCGTTTGGGTGGGTCTGCGTATCTATAGAACCGAGAAACTCGACAAACAAGTTAGTTAAGCGAGTGGTTCATAAAATTCTTTCATATTTGGGACCCGCTCATATCAGCACAGTATGAAAAGTAAGCAATTATGAATCCTTTTCGATATTTAATGACCTCACTGCTAAGATGTAAGCATTAATTTTTGTCCTCGTATTACCCTAAAGGAATACATGCAGCTTTGGCGCATTTCTTGAAGAACTTCAAGTCTCACAACAACTTGCGGTATTCATGGAGGATATATTGTTTAAAAACATAGAGGGATCATTGGAATATTGTAAAGGGGAAGTCTAGCGGCTATCTTTTTTTTTTTTTTCTTTTTTCAGTTAAGTATAAGTTTCGAAAGGGAAGTTCTGCGAATATTTATATTTAAGAGTGATTTATGAGAACAGAAAATCGCGATGTGCATGACTTCATCAATTTCGCGTATTCAAGCTGAATCATGGACAGAAAAAAACCAAGGAAGTTATTTGGAAGTTAGTATGACTCGAAGTTTACGTACAATACAGGTATTAAATTTTAATAGTGGAAAGCGATCGAAATTTGCTATGAGTAGAACGCACGCGCATTCACATGACTAATACGCTGTACAATTTCTAGTCCGCGCATACTAGCAGAAGTAAGTTCTTGACGGCAGAATTGTGCCCTTCGTCGAAAAACCTTGATGGCTTCCGCTCATTGGAAACTCTATCTCAGATTGAAGTCTATTGTACATTAGTATGCGCAATATCTTCATTCCAAAAATAAACATTACGAACCAGATATTGAGTGTAATATTAAGACATTGCGATAAAGCGAAGATATAGTATATCGGCGGCTGAGGTAAAACGGAAGGAGGTTTGACGATTCCCATTAACCAAAGAATCTTTCATCTCCCACTAAAGCGAATATGATTGTTCCATGAAACATGTCAGTCTGTTAAGTTGAGAAATTCAGGATATCTGGTAGTTAGAATATGACCGCTAAAGTGGTGTGACCCTGACTCTGAGGTGGTCTATCGCCGCCGATTGTTGTCTTAATTTACGAAGTATTGAAAGCTGTAAATCATGTGGACTTACTAAACCTGTCGATAAAATAACTATGTTGGCGGAGGATTAAAATGAGGCTTGTATCAACAGGCGGACGATGAAATATTTAACTGCCTTTTACCAATCAGAGAAATATGCAGAATGAAACTTATAGAAGGAAATGATGTAATTTGGAGCAACACGTACACCGTGAATCGGATATAAAATATTCGGTTCTTTCGTCATGTCATGTATTCACTTCTTTTCAAGAAGTTAAAAGCACGCAGTTTGCACGGAGTCAAAAATTGATACGTGAAGAAGAACATCATCTAAGGTTGGTGTACTTTTATTTTTGTTATCAGTCCGTTTGAAGGTCAAATTTTGCCAGACACTCTCATACAAGGAACGAATGTCACTTTATTTACGTCAGTTATGTGAAGTCCAAGTGAAGTGCATCCAGGCACGAAAATAGCAGGATATGTTGATTTCCAAAGCTGCACACGGTTGTTAGGTTTTCTGCAAGCCTGCAGGCTACATTGAGCCGTGTAAACGTTGACTAAGAGCAGTCCCATTCTTTTTTAAAGAGTCCGTCGCGCGAATTAAAAAAAAAAAAAAAAAAAAAAACAGTGAAAATGTATCGATCTTAGCACGCTCAAAGTTCCGCGCGACTCGCCAACAGCAATTTTATTTTTAGGCTGACTGTCTATGACTCGCGCGACGGCATCGCAGATTAGGAAGGACTGCTCGTAGTCTAGTGTAAGCGAGACAGCGTTATTTATTGACACCATAGAAGTGGAATTCTTGTCAACTGACATATACATCCTCATGCATGTTTGACAAACACCTGTCAGAGGCGGTTGAACTGTGAGACTTCGAGTTCATGTGTTAAGTGTGTGTTTAGATAAAAGAATTGACGAGAGCGTTAATAAAACAAAGGCATAGAAACTTCATAGAAAATTGCATGTCGCTTCTAAATCAAATGCTGACCTTTTCCAGAGCCATGTTATGAATTTCTTGTTTTTACTCCACAAGGACATTCCGCAAAGCTGAACATGACCAAAATGGTGCTTTAATTCTTGGGTCACTCGATGGTGAGAATGGAACTAATTTTAAAAATTGGCTTTCGGGAATTAAAGCACGTGGAGATCTGAAAATCAGATTTACTATTATACTGCAGATAATATACTTTCAAATAAAACAAAAGGAAACTTTGTGAAGGAAACAAAATTTGTCAAATTACATTACACCTCAAAATGTTTAATGTAAGTGTTCGATCCAGCACCGGAACTAACTAGGGATAAAAATCCTCTTTCTGTTTTGTTTTGTTCTTTTTTTTCTTCTTGCGATCTGAGTATTAGTAGCAGTAGTAATGGTGTGATCGATGTGAACAAAAGAACATTCTTGAATTTGTTTTGGGAAATATAATGCTGTTTTGTGTATCATTCGTGAAAACAATAAAACGTTCACCAGAAAATCATAATTTGTTATCTTAAAATCAGATTAGCTAAAATACTGCGATTTAAATGAGCGAAAAGACTGGAAATAACACATTTTGACAAAGTGGCAAAATGACACAGTGAGCTGCTATCGATAGAAATAAAATTTTCACAGCAAATGATTAAAAAAAAAATCACGGAATCTTAACCCTCTCTTTTAAGACGATTCCTTCAATAATTTTCAGATTGCGTGTCTAACAGACGAAATTGATAGTTATCAACGCTAAGATTATGCGCGCGGTGTTTGTGATCTATAACAAACAAGCACCAAAACCTATCAAATCTGTTTAAATTTACCTTCCAAACAATACCTCCTGTCAGGATTGCAAGAAAAAATGATTTAAAAAATAATTAAGTAAAATATTTTGCATACACGATAATCACGCGAGATCTCAGAGACACGCAATCGCTGGCAAGTGTATATTATCATCAACTGGTCGAATTCGTGTTTATTTTGTTCAAGAAAATGTGGTGACTCCACTTGAAGGAATCGTGATAGTATAGGCTCGTACCGCTTGGGTCAAGTTCAAACTGTAACCTTCAGGTTTAACGGACGCGGAGTTATTTATAAATATTAATTTTCATATTTAATTAAACCACGTCTATATAAATAGAGCATGTTTTGTGCAAGAATATCAGAGACTTTGCTCTTCATCGAGGAATGTGCTAATTGTATTATACATCAGTAAAGTGAATCAACTCACTGGAATTCACCTTGGAAATTGTAGCTGCATAGGCGACATATTTTGTCGACAGACAAAACATTTGAACGAAGACCGGCGCATTTCTACAAGTATTTATTTTTTCCTTTTCTTTTTCGAAGGTAAGTTGTCGTAATTAGACAATTTTTTCTCTTTTTCTAGTCTCAACATAATTTTTCCCTTAAAACAAGCACCTGAATTTCTACTTATGGATTCTTTAAGACAATGCACGCTATTTGAGCGAAATCTGAGAGCGCGATAGCGTTTTTCGTCATTCACTACGTCATTCAATACACTGAAATCGCATTGATTCAATTCAAACACAGACATATTTACATAACAATAATTTCCTGTCGAATAAGCTTAAGATGTCACACTTTAGATAGACAAAACATAGATTCACAGCAAAAAAAAAAAATAAAGAGAAAAATTAAAGGTAAATTCCTGGCACGTTTGGATAGGCGTGCATTGACGCATGAAACGGGCGTTCAATAGGAAAAAAAATTAAACTTCCTACAGGAAGTGCAATAAGTTCTCAAATCGGCCACAAATCGGCACTTCCTTCACGCGAATGCGTGGTAAATGGAATCCCCCACGTGATCTGAACACTCAGTTGTGATTGGTCAACGACAGCCGTAACCTCTACGGCGTGCTTCACCGCTCCTACCCCTCCAGTGTAGACAAGTTTTCTTGCATTTCAATGATTTTGACAATGAAACCATCGCTTTTTCAATGCAGAAATTTACGGATTTAGACGTTAGAAGTGTGTTTTTGGTGGTAATGGTTGCACGCAGTGGCAAAAGGGACTGAAAAACTTATGGTTCGTGGGAACGTTACCGGAGGACAGTTCGACCATCAATTTGGCCTTTTGTTTTTGTTAGATGCTTGAAATTTAGTTCTGTCACTCGCGTGGGGTATTTGTTGAGCGAATCTGATAAAGTTGGCGAACTTGGCCAGTAATATGCTCAATGGTTTCCCAAGTGGATGTCTTGAGCGATCGAGAAAAGGAGATTTTGTCGAATTATGACAGGTTTGGATGTGTATGTGCCCATTCCTGTTCCTGAGTTAGTTGGGTTTACCTGATCAAGCTCTCTCATGTGTTATTTCTTTAGCCGATTTTACGGATTTCTACGAATTCAAGACCCAGTTGGAGATCCATCACTGCCTGACCTGAACCACAAATCGTTATTGCTCAAGGTAAGTTTGAGGTTTGATGACTCTATGCTATGGACTTTTTCTGCAAAGTTTATGATTTCTGTTGATGCACTCGGCGGCTATCATCTTTGCTGACAGTTTGCCGGGAGCATTAATTGTTTGGTAACCGAACAATTACGCGAGCGACGTGGAGTAGAACCATTCTTTATTTACAGTAAACACTTTGCTAATGTGAATAATTATAATTTGCCTTTGAATCCAGGGTGTAGATTTTTTCGAGAAAGAATTGCAACGAGAAGGGAAGTCAGTTCATCCATCCACATTCTGCAGACTGGGACATATTCACCTGTTGCTTGACGACTTTCCTAAAGGTACTGTGAAAATTAAACGGCACTTGGTGAGAAATTGCGTAAGGTTTTAGAGTTATTCGCATATTTTATTACCTAGTATAACGAGGGTTGTTTCTGATCGAAAAGGTTTCGAAAGAAAAGTAAAAAGCTAACACTTTCCTTCCGTGAGATAGTCAGTCTGTGCACTTCAAAGGTTTACCTATAAAACGTAGTTACAATTGGTAGTGATTTATCGTCTAATTTCTCGATTCGTCGCTCTCTAAATGTGTCTTGTGTTTCATTCTCAGCGCTTTCAGCTTACCAGAGGTTCTTTAACGTCCAACAGGTCGATTATTGGAAGGTAAAGTTAGCGTATTTTTAATGTTTGCACTCGTGCGAACTTCTTCAGTGATAGTGTACACTTTATTGTATTGTGTTTTCACAAAGCAGGCTTTACATCGCCATGTCGTCGGGCATTTAGAACACACTTCAGCTAGGAAAAGTTTGTGCACACTTTAAGTATTACAGTTTAAACGGAAACTGTAGCACTAGATCATTCCTGTGGTGTTGTATTTATCTTACGAAGAGTTCCTTTTGTTTTCATTTTACGACTTTGATATGGTCGACGAGTTCAACTTTCACTAGAACTCAGTTCGAACTGGAGGTTGTTGTCATGTTTTTAACAGAACCTGTAAACCAGGAAGAGTGAGACAGTGTCCAACCAAAAAGAACGAAATATTTCGGTTTGGTATTAACATAAGGAAGTTGTTATTTTTTTCAGTTTAGTCAAATGAAATATATTTGAACCGCCAAATCCTCAATTGCCAGACAAAAGACATTTGTGTTCATCAATTATTGAAGAGAGGAAATTCTATTTTTGCTGATTTTAAACTCTTTAGTAATAGCAAAGGGCAAAAGCGGAAACTATTTGCCACTCTCACGTTGCTCAGGGAAAATCCCATTATTACCATGGCCAATTTTCCACATTAATGCAAGCTCGATCTTGTTCTCGAAATTGATTTTAATAGCCTTGCCTCTCCTACAGACTTGTCCTCTACATTTATAAATTTAGCAACAGATTGTAAGTAGCCAAGTTCAATCCAAAAATGAAAGAAGATACTTGTGTTATTTATAAAGCTCACTTTCATTTCAATTCAGGATGCGCCAATGTTTCTCTGAAATTGCCCTAATTACTCAGGGAAAAATGCTTGACACAAGAAAATACTGAATTCAAGTAAAAAAAAATTAGTATTTATGTATGACCATTTACTGACGAAACTAGGTTTTTGTTATAAAATTCAAACAAATGATTCTCAAGGAACAAAAAGTTGTTACTGGTATGGTGCCAGAATTACCTAAATATGTCTAATTAATTTATTTTAGGAAATTTTATTTGTGGTGGTGTATACATAGTGAATGATTGTATGACATGTCACAAGGGTGTCAATAATGTAAATTGGTTTTCGAGCACCCAAGACTGTTTACATCATGATGTTTTTGTCTATTATAGTTGAGATAACATCTTTGACTTGTTATCAGCATGGTAAAAAAAATTTATAGCTCCAGTTTATAGAGTGACACAGGGCTTACATGTATCAGTGAAACTTTGAAGATGTAGCGTTATTGTCACTCACTGTGGATCAGAGGGGGGGAGGGGTGGGTGGAGGTTAGTCTATCACCGGTTGCCTTGCAGCACAATGTCAGGTATCCATGAGAAATGGCGAAATTTTTTAGGTCAGCTACATGTCAAAAATGAACATATCCAAGTGGGAGTCTGATTGAAAGCTTTATACAAGACAAGTTTTAACCAAATGCAGGGTTTTATTCAAGATGCTATTTTCTCATCATTAAAAGCTTGCCGCTTTTAGGTTGTAGAATTTATCTGAGCCAAAGGAAACTTTGAAAAAGTCGCATGAAAGTTGATTGTCGCAAAGATAAGGATTTGATAGCTGAACGTATTATTTCAAAATAGTGTGATATGTAATTTGAATCATTCATGGTCAAATCTTTGGAAGTTAGACATGAAGCTTTTCTTCAGTATTTAAGTTATCGTCTCTTGTTCATATCATATCTGAAAGCAAAAGTACAAGCAAGAAAGAGAAAAGTTATCATCTATATTGGTTGTACATGTTCGCACATAAGTAGCTCACAATTAAGCGTCAAACATAGCACTCAGTGTCCAATGTTATACCATGAGAAGGGATTGTTCATTGGAACAAATTTTTGGTGGTGATTTTTTTGTACTTCCCGGGGTGGATTCAGTATTGTATGAGGATTTTGAAATTTAATATTAATCAAATTAGTTCATCTTTCGGTTACAATACATGTAGAGTTAAACATGTCTTCAAAGATGAATTTTAAATGACCAACGTACTGTTGCTGGAAAGCAGTAATTTTTTGTCCCTTGTTTTTGGACCGTACACCAGATACTATAATGTCTATTTTGAAGTGTTATCTATTGTGGTCATGTTTCTTTCGAGGTTAGCATTTAAAATACATCTTTAAAGACATTTGCATTGTGTCACATTCTTCACACTCATGTTCCAGTTTCTGTGGGGTGAAATTTAATCAGCAAGAAAAAAAAAATGACCACACGGATAGCTGATAATTCTAGTAAAAGAATTTTGTCATCATCAAAAGCATCATCAAGGCTTTTCGGCCAAAGAATTCTACACAGAGAGCTTTTTTCCCCTGAATTTCCAACAAGAAAATACACTGTATCTTATGACTTTGTGTAGTTAAGTTACACTTTTTCTCAGGGTCTTGCGCTGTTTTTCCCTCTATCTCTGATACATAGTGAAACCAGTCTTCACATAAAGTTGTTTCAATAATTTCACTTTTTGTTGGGGGAAAAATTAACAGAAGTGAGACCTTTGTTACTATTACCATTGGCTGCAATATTTTGTCTTAAATATGATTATTCCAAATTAGATGGTAAAAATTATCATTATCTTTTATTGCAGAGAGGACAGCCAATAATTCTAAGTTGAATGAGCAATTAATTTTACTCCAATTATATATATTGCATCTATCTTGCCTCTTTTCCCTTATTTCAATATTTTTTTAGTAGTATTTCCATAGAGCAACATATTGCATAAAAGAAGAGACATTGATGTTGAGTAGGAAAGGGAACCAGGGCTGTTTTATTTCTTTCTTAGTGAGGTATATGTATTAACATTTTCCAAAGTGAAGCTTTAATACGTGCAAAAATAGAGTTCTTATCAGATTATGTCTCTGATTGTTGACAGACTCAAAGCTTTATTTGTGTAAGTAAATTACCAAAAGGTTAAACCTTTTATATTGAGGAAAGGAACCACATTCTGTGCAAGTTTTTTAAGTTGGTAATTACTTTCCAAAAGACACTTAAAACCACCTACAAATGTGAATGGATCTTATTTTCAACAGTGCATCACTGTCTGCATTGCATGTAGTGCTCTTTTTCACCGTCCATTGTGTATTTTAAGTTCCCTTTGCAGGAAAGTTTTATTCATGTTTGTCTCTACTACATGTTCATTGATATTGTTATTTATTTGCACCATGATAAATTCTTACAATTACATGTCAGAATGATAAAGCATGTTTAGCAAATATTGATGTCAAGATTTTTGTATTATGGCAGTACAAAGAGTGACCGTAAAGAAAACTTAACTTGCCATATTCACAGGGTTCATGTTATCGATTGAAAGTAATTGACAAGTTATAATTCTTGAAGATTTATGAGTGTACTTATTTAACTTTACTTATGCTCTAAACAAACCCAAATCCTTAATTCCTTGCTGCACATGGAGCAATATTAATGTTAGGCATAATATTGTGAAATTACTATGGTAACATTTTCATTTTCAAGTGGACTCACGGTATGCAAGTACATTGTAACACTAACTATATAGATTGTCTTAATTGTCTTTCTTTTATCCCATTTACAGGATGCCACATTTCTTTATGGCCTAGGGATTGTATATTTTAACTTCTCAGCATATCCCTGGTAAGAGCAACCATTTCATCCCACTATTTTCAGTTGAGTAAGGTGCGTTTGCGGAAGTTCACCAACCATGTTTTGACGTTAAAATCATGTTGTTGGCTGCGGAAACTGGGTCGGTTTCCTGTGGTAACAGGCTTTCAAGTTTTACATTTGATGACACACAGCTCTTGATATTTGGTTTTCATTGGACAGGTGGCTGTGACAATACTGTTATTTCATGGTTGAAACCCAGTCACCAAACTTTTTGCATATCTTACTCAACTGATACTTGTGGTTAAGAATACTCCTATGTAAGTTTATTGTAAAGCATGTTGACAGTCAAGTCTTCCTAAACTCTTAAACTGTGGTAATGGCTTCTATTAATAGTTGGTGGTTCAAATTCATCATTGGTTTTTACTTTTTAAACCAGTATTGATATGTGATTTTTCTTTATCAAAATTAAACTGGCTTGAAGAATTTTGAACTAAAGAAAATATTAACCTGTAAGTACACCTGTATATATCTTGAGTCTCTTGGGATATTGCAAAATTACAAAGTCCTTGGTATTCTGGGTTTCTCAGCTGTCCCTGGTTCTCTAGCATCCCTGGTGCACTTAGTGTCCTAAATTTGTTAAGTGTCCTTAGTATGTCTCAGCTTAGACTATAAGCAGTCCCTTCCTCTCAGTAAATTTCTGTTAGTGCACCATGCAGAATTTCACTTCGTCTGTAGTCCTTGTGTTTCAAGCAACTCACTCCCAAAGTCCCCAGTTGCCCTAGCCATCACAAGGGTCTTGGCTGTCCCAAGTGTAGCACACCAGTCCCATTCCTTTCAGTGTCCCAGGAGTCTCGGGTATTCTAGGCCTCCCAGGTGTCTAAAAGGGTTCTTTGATGAGTCAAATCCACACATTTTCATTTGTCTCCTCTAGTATTAAAAAAGCCTAAAAATTTCTCAAAACATTGTAATTACCATGGCAACATTACAGCCTCTAAACTTCAAGAATTAGTTTGTTGACCTCATGTCTCATTGTTGCATTGCAATCAATAACTCATTTAATGTTCTTCTGCAAAGTTTAAAATTCCAAGTTCCTATATAGCCCCCTGAACTATTTTTAATTTGTGTTGGTATCAATCTATCACAAAATAGGGCTTCAAAAAAACACCCAAACCATCTTGAACCACCTGAAAGAACAATTTATACCTAAAGAAATCGTGTATTTGATTCTGTTCAACAGGGCAGTAAAGATCTTTCAACAAGTGCTGTATATAGACCCCAGCTTTAATTGTTCCAATGAAGTTCATCTCCGACTGGGAATCATATTTAAAGACCAGGGAAGCTGTGAAGCTAGTATTAAAGTAAGTTAATATTGAGATTGTTTGATGAGTTAAATCTCTGAAACACCGACAAAACAGAGCAAGGAGTAAGTTTTTCTATTTACTCCATAAAGGTGGGGTTAAGATTACGAAGCATACATTTCTGAGGAAAGTGAAGACCCATGTCAAATTTGTAATTGAAAGAAAAAAGCAGGAGTTTTTATTCAAATCCACAGATTGTTGTGCAACTCCTTTTGGCAATTCATAACTATGTTTTGTTTTGTTTGCAGCATTTTCAAATGGCATTAATGGATTCCAGCCCTTGTTCTTTATCAAAAGTTGAAAGTAAGCTAGTAATGCTTATGTCACAAATAGCTTTATATGTTTGATTAGTCTGAGCAGCATGGGAAAGAGCACTTTCAAAGTAACACCTACTTTCCACATTATGCAGTCCATAGAAGGCCTATAGATTTTCAGATTGCAATAGTGAAGATTTAACAATGTCTATAACATTAGATTTTAGGGGCCATGTATCGTAACCATCGAAACAGTTTCTGAATTTTCAATGTTCTTGCTCAGATTAGATATAAGTGTTAACTTGAAATTATGTTTTTCTCTCAGTTCGCTTTCATCTGGGACACCTTTTCGAGATGCAGAACAAATGTGATTTAGCGCAGGAAATGTATGAGACTATCATAGAGACTCCTAATACGCCTAATGCTGTCAGGGCTAATGCTTACAAACAATTAGGTAAGTACACGGTTGGTATTGTATTTAACAGAGTGGTTTTCACTTACAATGTCATTTGAGATTAAATGGGAAATAGGGAATGGGTAGTCAGGAATTGGGATTGCTAAAGCTACTAAGATCTTTAAACTATTTAAAATTAACCTGGTAACCTTAGATCTCAAGGTGAAAAATGAAATCAGTTGTCTGAAGGTTTGCTCTGTGTTTAGCCTCCAGGCACCACATGAGATTTGCAGATAATAGATTTCTACATATAGTTACAGTTTTTAAGTTGTTTAGTCATAACTAGACAGTTTCTATTCTTTTCTCTAAAAAGGGTGGATGTATTACAACAAAGAACACCTGGGTGACAGAACATCCAGAATGGAAAAAGCTGTCCAGTTGTTGCTGAAAGCTATTGAGACAGATCCAAACAGTGGTGCTGCATGGTATTTAATTGGAAGGTAGGATATGTTTTTCATTGTTAGTAGCAGCGCTTTCAGCCCATTCCAAAATATTATGTCTCCAGCATTTTACATTTTTCCCTCCAGCTGAAAAATGCATAATTTCTTAACTGATGATGTTCCACAAGCTCAAATTTTAAAAGCAGGTTTTTTTAGGGTTTAAGCTTCTGGATCCACATTAATTGTTTTTCTATTGTAGGTGTTATGCCATGCAAGGAAAAGTTCATGATGCGTTCACTTCATACCGTCATGCCATTGACAAGTCAGAGGCAAATGCCGATACATGGTGCTCCATAGGGTAAGTTCTGTCTCACACCAGATTTTCTGATGTTAAAGTAGTTATTATTTTTGCGGAATGTAATTAAAACCATTGAAAATAAATTTTATTTTTTGCAGTGTATTGTATCAACAGCAAAATCAGCCCATGGATGCTTTGCAGGCTTATGTGTGTGCCATTCAGCTGGACCCAACCCATGTGGCAGCATGGACAGACCTAGGTATTCTATATGAAGCCTGTGAACAGTTGAGGTAAAGATATTTTGTGTGCATCTGCTCAGTGTCCTCCAAAAACCTCAGCAGCCAGAATTTTCACCAGCCACTTTTTTCTGAAGCACCTGCTTCTTCAGTAGAACAAAATGGTGAAATGCTTGCATTGATCTGAAATAAACTGTAACCCTGGCTTTATTTTTGTATATATACCCAAAACTCCTGATTAAAACTGGAAAGAAAACGATGAGTGAAGACAAAAGGAATAGATACTCACCGAATAAGTGCTTGTGCCCATTGGGGACCCACTTGTTTCTTGCCAGTTATTTTTTTTTGTATTGCTGGTCACTGAAAATCTGTGGAGAACACTGATTTGCTCTTTTAATATCCCAATATGAGAGCTGAGAATTTTTATGGGTCACTCATTAGCAATTCTCCTTTCTGTCTGCTTTACTATTCTTATGATGCTAGTTCAGAGAATTTGTCATTGGATCAACTAACAATCACCTAATTTATAATTTTGTTTATTTTTATCTTGTGTCTGCTTGATATTGTATTGGTATTGTGAGGAGAAAATCCAACTTCAGGGCATGAAATTAATCTTTTTTTCTGATAGCCATTTGGCTCTTAAATTTTTCAAAGTGGTAGCCAATTCAAAAAAAGTTGGTCGCCATTTTTAAGGAAAACAAAACCTACTTTTACGCTGTCATTGTTCTAGATAGACCCTCCAAAATTAAGGTAGGAAAAAGATAGTTAACTTGCTACAAAGTGGACACTAGGATGAATGATAAACAACGTACAAGCTCACCTAAATCCAAGATGGCGTCTAGTTGCGTTTTGGAAACGAACTTGACGAGGAAGTTTGCCGCAGATTTATTTTTGCAAATCTTTTTAATTCACTATGTTTCTAGGTTATGATGAAGCATTCTAGTCACCAATTTGGCAACTAGTTTTCAGAATTTGGTTGCCAAAGTGAAAAATTTAGTCGCATTGGCGCCTGTATTAGGTGCAATTTCACGCCCTGATCTTGGTCACTCATTTAAATTGTTTGCGATTTTCTCCTGATGTTTTTTTTTGGTTTATTTGCTTCTTTACTTGTAGTGATGCAATTGCATGTTACAGTGCTGCTAGGAAGTATGGTGAGTTATTCAAGTTAAAACAAACTCGATTTGTGCAATGTTTTTCTTCAATGGTAAGTTAAATTGAGTTAAGAGGGAATTATTCATCCTCAGGTGCAACCGATAATACAATCGAGGCTCGCGTCAAGGCACTGCAGGCTCAGCTAGCTATGATGCCTCAACAAGGAAAAGGACAAAAGAAGTAAGTTATTCCATTTTAAGATCCTTTGTAGTCTTAACTGTTTACACCTTAGCATCAGCATGCATATTCTCCATACTGTTCTCTTCAGATTTCTTGAGCCTGACAAGGAGAATTTGTTTAACAATCAAGAGCTTGTTTATTTGGTGATCAGGTCCTTTACTCTTGTGACCTTAATGTTTGATAGAGTAGAGATATTGTAATTTGGGAGAATTTTGAGGCTAGTCATTGTTAGGGGTCAGGAGTCAAAGTTTATAACTTCACTCTCAGGGCAGTCCCATGTTTGTTTTAAAGTTTTTCAGGTTTTTAGAGTAGTCTACTTTCTAATGCTGCACTTAGTTTTACAAAGAGGTATGTTGTTAACAATGTGACATTTTTTTTTAGGAATATTCCATCTGTTGATGAGGCATGGCAGTTACCTATTCCTGCAGAACTTACAACAAGGACAATACGCAATGCACAAGTAAGGCCTGCCATGGGTCCTTTGATGAAGAGCTAACTCTTGAAATTTCAGCTTAAAAAAACTCTTTTCAGAGGCCAGTTGACATTATTACAGTGTAACTCAGTTGCTAAAACCAAAATATCTTGTAATCCCCCCCTATTATTTTGATATAAAAAGAAATGGTGTCATATCTGTTATTGTGCCTTTTAACGATACGTTTTCCTTTGAATCCAATCTCCCTACTTTTCTTTCCTGAAAGAATTTTTCCTTGTACAGTATACTCGTATTTATATACTTGTATTATGTAAATGCAGCAAAAACATTTATGCATAGGATCTGTGACATGTAGGGAACCCAGTTAAGAGTAATACATTTTTTTTGTCCTGTAGGTTCCAAAAAAGAATTACTTTTTGGCTGTGTAGGAATGTTTTTTTTTATTGCTTGGTACAATAAAATTGAAATTCTTTATTTATTTGTAGGTAAAGCTTTTGACCAGTGCTCAGATGCAAGGTCTACAACAACAACAACTACAGCAAATATATTTACAACAACAACAACAGCAGGTCACAGAACCAAACAATGTGCAGGCTCATGATGCAGTTCCTTTGGAAAATGCAGTCATGTATTCAACGGGTAAAAATATGGCAAACCATGTTTCTTTGCATGATGGGAAGGCCGAAAATCACGATGAACTTAATCAATCTTCTGTTCCTGGTTCAAGCTCACAAGAAAACTGGCCTGATGCAGTCCAGCCACTGAATGGACAAATACTGGTTCCAACATGCTCTGAAAATCAATTTGCTAAATCTACAGACGGTTTGACACAAACTGTTACATCTAGCATCACAACCCAAGGAATTTCGCTTCCATTACCTGGGCCGTTCTCGCATTCAGAGTCACTTTTCACAGAAGCACACAGCGATTCAGGTGTTTCTGCCATGGAAACCTCTATTGCAGGGGATGATCCATTGATGGCAGTCACTGAACAACAAAATTCTTTAGCAGGACCTGATGCATTGACGACTACTTCTCCTCTATCAAACTTCGTTTCAACGTCGTCCAATGCTTCAATGTTTAACTCAAGTGTTCCTAGTAATCAAGGAACAACTCTTCTTCAAGGCGAATCTGGAACAACAGCAACTTCTGAACAATCTCTATCAAGTGGAATTCACTCCACTCTCTTGAGTGAAATAAATTGTACTGGTGATGTGAAGCCAAGCCCGCTAACAGGAACTAGTGATCCCACACTAAGCAATGGACCCATGTCAATGTACACAGGATTTCCAAGTTCAGCTGCCGGTGCAGCGAGTGGAATATCAACCATTTCTCCCTTCTCACCCCCAAGTCATTACGTTATGTCGCCAACACAAAAATCGCCCTTTCACACGACCGCATCTCAACTCTCCCCAAGTCTTACTCAACCTTTGTCTATCATCAACCCAAGCTGTTTATCGCCAAGTTCAGGCCTACAGGGAGGGCAGTCCGCTTTCTCTCCTGCGTCTCTTATTCCAACGGATCTCTTATCTCCATCAAAACAACTCGCAGTCATCTCACCTAGCTCATCATCCAAATCACCGTTCAACCTCAGTTCAGGGGGCGATAATTTGGCTATTCCTAAATTGAACTTGCTGTGTGATTCCAATGCGTTACCACACCCTCCAGATACTCCACTTCCTCCTCTTCCTACAGACAAGTTGTCACCACAGACACCAAGTATTTATGTAAGCATGTTTCCCATGTCGCTAAAATTTAATGACGTAAAGTTCATGTTTAAGAGACAGGTATCTCTACATGACCAAGTGTTTGTACATGAAGGTACACTTCGCTTTTTATAATAATTCACTTGCACAATGTCTAGCTTTTGAATGTAACGTTTATCTTCAAAAGATTCTCTAGTTCTTCCTTGTTAGACTTTTTTCAGTTGTGTTAATTCTTATATTATTTCCCGTGTAGGTTGAAAATAAGAAGGATGCATTTTCACCAGCACTTCAAAACTTGGTGCTAAGTAATTCCAATCCCATCCTAGTGATCAGAGGGCTAGCAGCAGCACTTAGATTAGGTTTGTATCACCGTCACTGAACATTTTATACACACCCATCTGTTGTGCAGCAACTGGCAACTAAAGTATGTTCACAGATCACTCAAAAAAATTTTCAACGGATATTCCTGTAGACTACGAGCAGGCCTTCTTCTCCGACGTAGTCTGTCGCGTGAGTCGAAAAAACAAAAAAAAGAAAACACAGAACTCCCGTTGAGAATGACTGTACAACTTGATGCTTAACACTATCCTAACGCTAACACTAAAACAGTCTGTGAATTCTTTTGCAGATCTTAGTTTGTTTTCAACCAAGACTCTTGTTGAAACAAATGGCGAACACCAAGTGGAAGTGAGGACACAGGTATAACTTATTTTAGCTGAAAACTCAGTTTCACAGTTCTGAATGGAGAGAAACTGTTTCTGCCTACAGAGAAATTTTCAATTGAGTTTCGAAAGTAATCTGGGATTGCATTGATTTTGCGTTGCTTTGCTTTTTGATTGGTCCAGAAAACTCGCGCCTCTCTCTCAACCAATCAGATGCAGAACTAACACCAATCGCGACTTGGTCACCCGCGTTTTCCCGCGCGTTAGGTTTGAGTTCTCATTAGCTCTTCAGGATATTTTCCTTTCTTCTAACTGTCTGTTGTTATTATGTCGCTGATGGTTGTATGACGCTCAACTCTACTAACAAGCGCTCTAGTATCTAGGTTGTCTTAAGCCACTTTGCAAGTATCTTAATCTCGAACCTTTTGGGCTGGTTATTTATACGAGGTCTAACCGAAACCGTGACTAAACGCAAGTAGTGGGCCTCAGAGATTCTCTATAAGAGGGTTGATTTAATAAAATAATTGTCCTTCCTCTATAAGCTTTCGGCCCTCTTGACATTGTCCACAAAAATTAATCTTTAGATAAAAGGTTCGGTTAAATTGAAGATAGTTTAGAACGCGGTTTTGTTAAACAACGGCTAAACTTTGTTTAAATAACCCGCTCCTTAGGTTCAGGAAGACTATTGTCAGGCTAGGTGAATGCTTAAGATTGATGACAAATGCGCTGATTATCTTGTCTTCGCTTTCAGAGACTTCAAGCGTCAGATGAAAACTGGGATGCTGCTGGTGAAAAGAAAGTCTGGCTGTGCGAGAGCAGCAGGTAAGTAATGTGATGGTTTTATGTTTTTGCTCAAAGTTGGTAGTTTCGCAAGTAAGAGGTTGAGCCTTGACGACAAGTAGGGTGAATAAAGGGGGTAAGTTTCTAAAGAAACTGTGGTGCTGCTTCGGTGGGAGAATATAACAAGGTAATCTTGTGTTACCAACTGAGTTGATAGCGTCAATTGGCCACCGTGAAGAGTTTAAAAGCCGACGTTTCGAGCGTTAGCCCTTTGTCAGAGCGATTGACCAAGGGCTTATGCTCGAAACGTCAGCTTTTAAACTCTTTACGGTGGCCAATTTAATTAAGGTAGATATCTCTTTATGGAATCAGCAAGGTTTTTATGAATGAATGGTTGTTTACTTTTAACACTTAAAATGATAACAGGTATCGATAGAAATGTCACCAACAGGAGATTTGTTGAAACCCCCTGGCTTTGGAAAAAATTTTATCTGGATGACCTTTTACTTTGAAGGCATGGGTTATCACTGACACAAAACAATGACGCGGCTATCTGTGGTGTATTTGTTTCACAGGTCGTATACAACCATTGCAAAGTATGCCCAATATCAGGCGAACTCATTTCAAGAGTCTTTGAAGGTAACCTCTGAAGAGAAGTGATGGTAGGGCCGTTTATACGAGGGGAAAATAAAACGTGGCTTGTAGAAGATGCGAAGTCATCGTATTAATGCTTCATTTACACTTCAATTAGCCGTGGTTCATGTAAGGCGAGGGGTTTGAGCACGTCTTAAATAAGCCGCGGCTTGAAGAAGATGCGAAATCACCGGCGTGAATGGCATTGCAGCTTACGTAAGACGCGAACTTAAACTGCGCAAGCGCAATTTTTCCCACGCATACGACCGCTCCCACAACTGTATCAAAAATAAGACGAGAATCATCAATACGAGCGCTTTATGTCTTATTTACGCCGTGTTCGTATAGATGGCCCGGTTCGCCTCTCATGTAAGCCGCGTATTATTTTCCTCGTATAAACGGCCCTAGTGTAGACGTAGATTTTTACATTCGGATTTTGGAATAACAATGTACAGTAATAGTCATGAAACAAGTGAATTTACATACAAACCCCTTTGCGATCATAATCTGAGTAAATTTGAAGTGTTTATTATGTTTGGTTACTTCAGGAAGAGCAGGATAGACAAGCGGGCATCAAAGAACCATCGCAATCAGACAGCGATTCATCGTCAAGCTCCAAGAAGTGAGTTCTGATTTTACTTATATAACAAGTCTGAGTTAGTTCCTTCCGTTTTCAAATCAGATAAAATAATACTATATCATGCCCTCTCAGTTGCATCTTATTATATCTGTCAGTCGATGAGTGCGCTATTATTGGTCAGTTTAGTGGGCCATAATTCATTGTACGGCCCGCCAAATTAAACAAATTAATTTGAATTGAAATCTTGCTCTTTATTTGAACCCAAGGACATGATAAATATCTTACTAACCTCGTTTTATAGGTCCGTGCTGTGAGTTGCAGAACCTGTTTTTTTTTTTTTTCGTTCGGATTTTTAGCGCGCATCGCGCTAGGGCCATCAATCTGAGCGGAAATACTCGGTCCTTAACTTACGGTTCGGATCTCGAACTTTGTTAGTGAGAGGTTTTGTTTATATATAATGTACTGATCCTAGTGTAAGCTCATTGGGGTCTTTCTGTTTGTCTCCAACAGTGGCAGGAAAGGCAAAGGAAAGAAATTCAAGTGGATTAAATTTGGAACTAATGTTGATCTTTCTGATGAGAGAAAGTAAGTTTTAGAGATACCGTTAGTAAATTTTACAAAAGGTTTTCTTCTTAGACTTGTGTTTTACAGGAAATGAATATTTACTCCATTTGTTTGAAATGTGCTTGACTTGCTTTGCTTTGTTCTCTTCAGATGGAAAACGCAACTACAGGAACTTACTAAACTTCCACCATTTGCCAAGGTCAGCATTACCATGTTACACCAAATTTTTTTCGTCCTTGAATACAAACACCTTGCGAACCTAAGCCTGTACAAGGCATTTAGTTAATAAAACGGAGCGAATTGGCAAACGGCGCGGTAAAAGGAGCGGAGCGGAAAAAAAAAACGAGGGAAGTCTGGGTCTGGTCCCGCACCCGACCCAAACCTCCCTCGGTTTTTTCACTCCGCTATTATCGCGCTTCTTGTTACTAACTGAACGCCTAGAATAGGCTATATGAAAATAGAAGTAGTCTGCACATTGTGACAATCTTCAACGTTCTTTATTTTATCGGCAATCGTCTAGGAAGTCTACTGATTGTAACCTTTCTATGATCAGGTGGTGAGTCCTGGCAACATGCTAAGCCATATTGGTCACACAATCCTTGGCATGAACTCAGTGCAGTTGTACATGAAGATACCAGGATGTAGGACACCAGGTATTTATCCGTTCGAACACACTTTGGCTACTAGTTTCCTTAAAAAAGTTATGTCTAGTTTGCAAGGAAAAAAAAAGGATTATTAAGGATTAGTGTTTTTTAGTGCATCTTTTCGATATTCTCTTATCTTTGCGCTTATCTGGAGGGTGAAAGCTGCAAACATATTATAAATTGTGGTAGACCTAAACTGGTGGAAGAACAATCACCTGCGTTCTTTCCAAGCATAGTAGAGGGGGCGAATCCACGGCTTAAATTGGGTGATAGTGCGGAGCATTTAAATCAGCGAACTCTAAAACCCTGTGCTCTGATTCCCTTGGCTGTACTGCCAACTTTTTTTATTTTTAGAAAAGGATCAAATAAGGCAATATTTTGTAGTGTTAAACACTCCAGTGGTACATTTTATATGACATTTCCGAAAAGATTGTATTATTATTGCTTCATACAATGATAAGCTACTTTTGTGTCTTTTGATTGTGTTTCTAGGTCATCAAGAAAACAATAATTTCTATGCGATAAATATTAACATTGGACCGGGAGACTCGGAATGGTTTGCAACTCCAACAGAATATTGGGGCGTTTTACACAACTTGTGTGAAAAGTAAGTAACTCGATCCAAAATGATACAATAAATTATTTAAACCCGAAGGTAACATAGTCCCGAGGAGGAGTGTTGTTGCTAGTAGTAACTGACATTTCGACAACCATGGCGGAAGTCATCGTCAGACTCATATTGGAGACAACTTTTCTAATTGTAACTTTTTGATTTTATTTTGCAGGAATAATGTCAATTTTCTAACAGGTAAGGAGCCTTTCACTACAGCGACTTATCACTTCTTTAGTCTCTCTAAACCAAGCTCCACACACCTCCCCTTCTTGGCAAGCCCTCTCCCCTACCCCAGTCCTCCCTCTACAACCTTCCAGCTCCAATTCTCATTTGTGTTCTCAAACACTGAGACAGCGATGGACGACTTGTAGCTAGAAATACTGGCACTATTTTTGATTGCTGGTGTCTCCTTCAACCAATCCGTCTATCTTTAAAATGGGAACTTCCTACATTCGTGCTAGTTGATTCGTCCACTAAGGTGCCTGAATTGTTTTGCTTTCTTCAATTGTTTGTAAAGGCTCCTGGTGGCCCATTCTTGAGGAACTTTACGAGGAGCGTGTGCCAGTGTACAGATTTATTCAAAGGCCTGGTGACCTAGTCTGGCTCAGTCCTGGGGTAGTACATTGGGTACAGTCGTCGGTGAGCAGTTATCTTTTTTACTCTTAAGATCTCATTAGTAGTTCTCTTTTCTGTTTGCCATACAGTTCTTGTTCTGTTAGGTTGGAGAATTTGGTGTTGGATTAACCGATGATCCCCTTATTGACATTTTTCTTTATTCTCATCACTTGTCTGCGTGATATTGTAGAGCTATTGTAAGGAGAAATTCTGTCTTGGTCACTCATAGGAGTAAGGATGAAACTGTGTAATTTGAAATTACAGAAGTGCTAGTTATGTTTCTCTCATTTTTGGTGATGAAAGTTGTGATAAAATTTACTTGTATTTTAGGGTTGGTGTAACAATATTGCCTGGAATGTCGGTCCTCTTACAGGTGAGTGTAGGTAGAGATTCCACGCAATTTATTTGGACGTATTCGTGACGTTCCAGTCATATTTCATCACTGCTACCTTTTTTATCTGGAACGCTTCATATCTCTAATATTAAAATGATCATTTTGCAGAGGACATGTACACAGCAGCTATAGAAAGATATGAATGGAACAAACTACAAGGTGAGAAATTGATTAACTACAGTAGAGCGGTTTACAAACATCTCAAGGTGTTTTTCTTTTGTCACCCATGTTTCACGTGGAGTAGTGCAGTTAGGCAGTGGCTGTATTAAGTATATTTTAGGATACTGACAGCAGATCACATCGCTTTTACTTTGATTTACTAACCGTTTGATTACTTTCCTTCTCAATAACGCTGTTGTTTTGGTTCAAAAGCCCCACAAATTTCTTATGAATGATGATCGAGGAGTGATCAGTTTATCAAGGCATACTATTTGACAAAGCTAGGAAGAAGGCGCTTTGCTCCTTCAACTTTAGGTTTTTTTACGGTCCAGGTCCCGGTTGTTCGAAGGTTGGATAACGCTATCTGCTGGATAAATCTCAATCCGGTGGATAGTATAGTATGTTTTTCGATCATTTATCCGCTTATCCGTTGGATAACGTTATCCAACCTTTATACAACTGGACCCAGCTGTCTAGTTCAATGCGGCCGATTTGAACTGTTATTTATGAAATTCCCTGCAATTTCAACTTCAGGTGAGAAGTCCATTGTGGCCATGCTACACTTGTCGTGGAACCTCGCAAGAAATGTGAAAGTCACCGAAAGGAAGTTGTTTGAACATATTAGGTGAGTCTGCGCGAAAATTGTGCTCTTGTTCCTCTCCTCCTCAGATGATTGTTAATCCATTAACGAAGGCGTACTTTCATTGAATTGTTCCTGGAAATCCGTGCGGTTAGACTGTCTCTCTCCCCTTTCTCTGCTAGTTGTAATCTCGCAAGTGTTGCGTTTGATTTCAGAGTTGTGCTGGCCAGGTCACTCAAGTATTGTCAGATTACTGTGGAGAAACTAAAGCATGCTGGGATTGAGGTGATGTGGCATGGGAAAAAACACAATGAAGGATCTCATTACTGTTTTCAGTGCGAGGTGAGCAGCTCTTCTGTTGGACTACATGTTGTGTTGAGTTCTTCCTTGTACATTTTTTTCGACATATGGGAAGCGTTACAACACATTTTAAGTAGAGTTTAGGGCCTTGGAAGTGGCGAATCGCGCTTACTAGCTGATGTGTAACAAGCTGTGCAAATCTCGAGTTGAATTTTACAACCCCTGATGATCAAATTTGTCGAAAAACCATAAAAGAAGAGTAGAGAGACTGGTAGCTAGAGTTCGTTGCACGTCGGATGATTAGCTCTGTGAGTTTTAAGCCCAAATTCCAATTTCCATTTCGCTTTTGCAGTTTTTTTCGGTTTTCTTTTGAGTCCTTATTGGCCTCTCATGACGTGTTCCCTTGATCGTGCATGTTCTACAAACACTACGCTATCGACATTGCTGATCCTAGCAGTATGCAGGACGCGTGTCATATGAACTTCGTAATAGACCTCGCTCACCGTAGTCTCTGTAGCTCAGTGGTAGAGCATCGGAGCGTGGAATCAGAAGGTCTGAGGTTCGATTCCTCATTGGAACTCAGAATATTTTCTTTGTCCCACGCTCGTGACAAGACGAAAAACATCTTTCTTTATTTCTTTGGATCTGTTTGTACGATCCTGTCGAGAAGCACTGTGACCTGCTTACAAACTCGTGCTTCTCTTTTGCTTCCTAGGTGGAGGTTTTCAATATTCTGTTTGTCACAGACAACAAGAAACACGTCGTGTATTGTCAAGATTGCGCCAGAAAGACCAGCAGTAATCTTGCTGGATTTATAGTCCTCAATCAGGTAAAAACCTTTCTCGTTACTGAAACACAGCCACTTTTTTTTGATCAATCATCGGTATTTTAGACACTAGTGGTACTTGTCTGTGTGGAGTCCGTTTGAGAGCCGTCAAAAGTTGTGTGTACACGTAAAGTAGTGCGTGTATCTTTAGTTAACCCTTTACACCCTAACATCAGTATGCATATTCTCCCTATTGTTCTCTACACATTTCCTAAGGTGTAACAAGGAGAATTTGCTTAATAGTGAGGAGCTTCTTTAGTTGGTAATCATTTCCTTTATTCTCATGATCTAAATGTGTGATTCAGAGGTGATATTGTAAACAGAAAGTAGATGCTTGTCACCCTTAGGGGTTGAAGGGTTAAGGAAAATTATTTTCAGCTTTTTTCGTTATTAACTCGCACGAATTTTCCCTTTTTTCAGTACACGCTTGAGGAGCTGACTGAAGTGTATAATAATTTTAAATTACATGCGGTAAGCGAAAGTTCTTATTCACGTATCTGAGATCTGTATTTTGCTGCTCAATACAAGCACATTGAGTTGGTGATTGTTGACGAGTCGACGTAGTTAAGCAGCCTTAATGATTTGTCAGCATTTTGTTATAATATATTCACAATTTTATCCTCTCCGCTGTTTTCTCAGGTGACTCCCCGAGCTGTGGAAGCCGTACTAGCCCAGAATCCCTCGCAGCCTTTAGGCGTGGTCGCCCAGGGTGTGAGCAATTTAGCGTAGTTAACATTTTTTGATACTGTTGCGTTTTCTGTTTTTGTACAAAAGAGAGGTATATTTTCTATAATGAACAAAGCGTTAAATTCAAGCAACGATCGAATTCTCATGCGAGCTGTATGATATTTAATTTAGGTAATGGAAGATTATATTTGAATTTTTCTGCCGGCGTAGCGCCGCGTCAAGTACAACGTAGTCTGAAAATTCAGCATTTTCCTCTCTCCGTTGACAATGATACTTTCCACTTCAATTCGATTCTCATCGAAATATCTCAGAGGTTTAATATAACATTTTTTCTTTTGTGTATTTTGCCCTTTCTCTTGTTAAGTTCGATGATGCGTCATCTGTGTATGATCATTTCGATCTTAATCAGCTCAGACTGTTGCGTGACCATCCAAGACATTTTTGGAGGTCACGCAAAAATCGTTTTCGTCACGTTATGAACACGTTGCACGACTGCGTCAAGGATCGCTCGTTTTTCTAAGTTAAGTATTATTGGTTTTTTTTTTTTAATTCAGTCTTACCTAATCTTTCTCTATTTGATTCATTTTTTTTTTATCAAATACCTGGAAAGAAATTTTTTACACTTATTGCATGAGATTTCAAAGAATTCTTGGGAACAACTAATTATTAAAATTATAATCCGACTTCAATTCTGGGAGTGAGAATATTCACCCCACTTCCCTCCCTTGCCTTTTCGCCTGTAAATTGTATTTTTGGCCGGGCTTAAATAAGCCACCATCCGTTGAAACTATCATGAATCGCGAGGATAATTTTAGCGGTACTCTGCTCGTCTTGTTATACACAACAATCTCGTCTGTAAATACTTGCCGTATTGTAAACGCTGTCTTTGATATTGCAGTGTGATTCTTCGTCAATTTGTTTGCAGCAGGCTAAGAAACAGCATCATCGTACTTTGCATAACTGGGTTTTTCTTTTCACTGGGACAAAATAAACTGGTTAACCCTTTAATTCGCTGTGGTCAGAATGTCAATTCCTCTTAAGTTTTTCCATACACTGTCAAGCAGATAGCTTCTGTGAGCTGAGAAAGTTATCAGCTCAGGGAGACTGATTGGATGTAACACCAAATTCTCGAAAGTAATCAACTAAGAAAGATACGGGAATCACCAGGGAGAATTTAGTTATCGATCACGGGAGTGAGAGGGTTAATGTTACCTACTTAAAAGTTCACGATCCCGCAGCGCAGCATTTAAATATTTAATTTTGATTTCCAACGCTAATTTAAGTAAAAATAGTTAGAGTGTAACAAGAGTGATAGTTTTATGACACTGCAACGCGTTGTATTCTGTTGAATTGGAAGCACTGCTTTGAACAGTGAAACGATTATTTGTAAATTGTTTTATAGAATCAACCGTTTTTTGCCAAGTAGCGCGCTTTTGCGGCGCACAATCGCTATGGCCTTTTCGCTGGCTAGAAACACAGCACCCAACCGCCATAAAACCGCATCACTCTTCATTCACAATTCAGGTTCATTTCTTCAGCACAAATGGAGACGGAGATCCGTTTCCCTGTTAGTTAATCATTAGCTTAGGTGAGAAAATACTGTTCCTAGTTATAACTTAAAACCATGAGTTTTGTTTGTCGTTCTTACCACACGTTAACGCACTTTTTATTCAGTGAATATTCGTTCTGTATCTCTGGTTAATATGCGTCTACACTTTTTAAGTCATCTTTGTTAAACGTTGTTAATTTGGCAGCATTCACATATGTTTCCCAACGCTCACCGGAATTTGTGATGTTAAATTAATGTAAATTTTTGTCTTGCAATTTCATGTTCCTTTCCTGACCTCGTCAAAAGAATTTTAGCCGATGGACGCTGGGAATGATAGGCACTGCTAATGATGAGGAATTTTTGTTTGGCTTTTGTTACGTTTTCGTGTGAGTGTTTCTTCTTTCACTCCCAAAGGCCTTTACTAGTAGTTTAGTTTTGGATAAGGTTTTGTAAGAGTGCCACACGATTGTCCATTGAACACTTGGTACGTTGCCTTTTCACCTTATCGTGTACAACCACATAGAGTATCACGGCAGTAGTGCGTAAAAATGCAAACGAATCGACGGAGATTCATTTACAGAGGTCAATTAGACAGCCCTCGTCAAATTGCTACAGAAATGTTGTGGTTGAATGTTAAACCATCGTGGATTTGATTTTCTCATTTGGTGGAATACTTTGGGAGTGGAAGGACTTAGGAGAGGTTCTGTAGTGTTGAGCATTTTTGCGTAATTGAAGATTCGGTTTAAACTGAATGTGTGTAATTCGCTTTTAGATGACATGTTTTTCCCGGTTGTTAAATCAATCAAATGCCTTGCGCTGTGATATATTGCCACACTGTGGCGCTGAATAAAGATATTTATTTCCGTTACATAGTCCACTTTTCTGTTCAGTTCTGTTTCATTGCGTTCGACGTGGGAGAACGCATACTCGTCACGTCGTTTTTCAATCCCGCGGGTATCGATCGGAAGCCAGGCCACTCCATCTTGGACTGACAGGTACACATGGCCTCGATCTCATGCGGGTATCTTGACTCGCTTCGTCTGGATGCTATGAGAAGACATGTAGTTAAATTGTAGCCATTTGAACGAACGAAATGAGTTACTGCGCATCAGAACGGTGAGTCAAGGCCTTATATGATGGTCGTTGGTGTAATTCGGGATAATATAACACAGAGACGAAATATCCACTCCTAAGCAATATCAAAAGCATTTTACTAATCCATTATTATAACTAGTCAGCGGAAAATGTCATGGTCGTGGTTGGAATTACTCAGAATTGCCGTTCTACCACATAACGAGAGGAGCAGAGCAAAACTACTCTTGTTTAAAGTGGACGCTTTCACGAAGTTAAGATGTTGAAGTATTTCTGACTTACTGTTAGGTAATTACTTTACAACTGTTCGACTTTCTTCCTTGCATTATTTATCGCCTGCTGGATTAACTCTGTTTATGACGACCCTCTCAGTTTGTTCAAACGGGCGTTTTTTTCAACGACAACACTTCCTTTTAGGAGTTATCTCACAAGTTCTCAATACTTAAGGGTTGTTGAAGTACATACACATGTCCGATCAAGAACAGAATTCTCTTCACGAATGTACGGGTCCGACTGTCTTCCCTAAGATTTTGTTAAAATTCATGCTGCCTTTTCACTTCGAAAAGATTTTCTGTCGAACAATGGGGTAATTAAGTCGACTAAACGAGAAACGGGAAGCAGGTCATCCTCTCATGAGTATCCTCTGTTATTCCATATTGACCCACTTACATCAAACGATTTGACTAGAAATTTTCATGGACGACAGAGTACGAATGTAAAAATAGGCGACTTCTTGAACATCCTTCAATCGAATAGATATTATTTCACCTTTTGAAGAGGTAAATGCACGTTATATACCACGAGCAGTTCATATTTCCATTCTAATCTTTCGCGCAAGTCAAAGAAATCGACGAAGAAAAATAAGATACCAAACCCGTACAAGGTCTTCGTTTGGGAACTGAAAATCGCGTGGGATCCTGGGAACGTATGTCGCGCGCGCTTTAAGACGTCACAAAGGTAACCGAAAAACAAACTGAATTCGCCAGCAAACAGGGAACATCATGCAACGGTTTTCCTTCCATTTATATTTTGGTTAAACTGTCTTCACATGGCTGTGAAATGAAGATCTTTTTACTGCTGAGTACGGTTTTCATCTGTTTTTCCTTGAATACCGTTAAAGGTAAAAAGCCCCTTTTTATCTATGCTTAAGTTCAACTCCAACTTGCCCCAGCCTAACTTCGCGGACGAAGCCACAGTTACTGTTGGGCGGGTCAGTTCCGCCGAGAAAGTATCTTCTATTTCGTGGCATTTTATCTTTTGGGCAAAACGACAGAAGATACCCCGAGATTTTCCTTAGAAAAATTTCACAAGTTTACGCGACAGTTCCATTCAACTCGCCGTTTGGAACACATAATTTTTAAGCTCAGTTATGAATTTGTTTTTATCGCTATAACTGTTTTCTATTTTTTCGCTTTTCAGTTTTTCGAATTTAAAAATCCCCTTTCGATTTCAAAGATTTCTTATGGGAAGTGCACTGCTTATAGGGAAAGAAAAAAAATATGGATATTGTTTAAAAATGTGCGTGTGGCTTAGCTGTCCGATATGTGACTTATTTCACTCCTGAACTACTTTTAAAGCTTTGATTAAAACCAGATTCTGTTGCACTCAAAATTTATCTTGTGCATTCATCAAATCAAGGAAAGCTTGTGCTCTCATTTGACACTGCACTCGCCTCGGAGGGATCAAATACGACCCTTATTTGCCAGGATACAGACAGCAAGCTGCTAACAAACCTAACATGGTCATTTCAAAGAACTTCGGGTGATTTCGTTTTGGTTGAAAATGGTCTCCTGGCCCCTGGTGTCAGTGGAGATAAATACAAGCTATCAAATTCAACAACTAAGCTACAGATTAATCAGCTTGGCGTCAATGACATTGGAAACTACACTTGTTGCATGAGAGGAAAACAGGGGGAGACTATTCTGAGTGCTACGGTTTTCTTGACCGTGGAAGGTAAGATATCTGAAGGTGTATATTCTTAAAATTTTAATAAGAGTTTATCGACAGATTTCGGCCTCTGCTTGTTTATCAAATCCGAAAAACAGGAAGATGTAGTGCAAATAAGGAAACATCTATTGCAACTTTCTCGTGTTCTTTTCACAATCCCAAGTGTGATTATTAGGTCGGTAATTCGATAGCCAAACGTGCGCATGCGGTCTATTGCTTTTATAAGATAAATTTTCTGCGGTAGTACCTCAGTTACTTTATAAAAACAAAGTAGCTAGCTGTCAATTGCAAATTATTGTACAATTTAAGCAATAGATAGGGAGAAGATGAAAGAAAGCTCAATGTGTTATGTATAAAAACCCACAAGCGTCCATTCACAGATGCTACAGTCTGATTGGCTACGTTACTCTCCATCTGTTCCTTAATAGATATTGATTAAAATAGACTAAGAGTTTGTGGTTTTAAATAGAATAAATTAAAAGCGCGAGCCTTCCTTGTTATGGAGTTTTTGACGACTGGCGTATTAACTCTTTAACTCCCAGGATCTCATTAGTGATTCTCTTACTGTCTGCCATATAGTTCTTGTGATGTTAGTTTCGAGAATTTGGTATGGGATCAACTAATAATACCCTTATCAACATTTTTCGTTATTCTCATCATTTGTCTGCTTGATATTGTATTGATATTATAAGGAGAAATCCTCTCTTGATCACTCATGGGTTAATATTAAAAACAATAACTAGATAATTCGCTCTCTATTTCTATGCGCGACTGTTCATTCGGGCTCTTATCGAATATCACGCGATAGAAGTCTCGAGCGAATAATCTAATTGTTAAATAGGAAAAATTCATTCTCTAAAGAAAGGCAGCATTGAAAAAAATTTATGTGAACGAGTTATAACCTGAAATACCATTGTAAAAAAACTTTCATGCAAAATTGTAATCTCCTTTCCAAAAACGAACGAGGTGCTACGTTTGTCGAGAACTGTTGCGCTCCTTTCGAGGAAAGCAGAAACAATTTGTCCGCATCAACTAGAAGTTGATTCATAGAGAAAAAAAATAGGTAAACCAATAGCTTACGAGAGGCTGACCGCCAGCTTTTCAGAATCTGCTACGATCGATGCTGTACTTATCTTTACCAACTTATAATTGTGTACCAGCTAATTTTTTCCCCTCAATAATTATTATTAAATATATCTAGAATGTGAAGCTAATTAGAAGTGGAAATAACGTTACAAAATATACTGCCTCTTGTTTACCTCATTTTGCTATGTTAACTTTACGATATTTTTATATCAGCTTTGCCCCGAAATGGCCAACCCGCAAATAATCTAAGTTCCATGACTACAGTGCCTTCCGCAAGCGCTCCAAATCCCTCGAGTACTACACATCCCTCGAATGCATCGAATCCCGCAAGCGCACTTTATCTTACGAGTGTGGGACATTCCGGAGGTATATCAACTTTGTCGAAAGGAGAAGTTAAAGCACCTTTGGAAAAACTTCAACCATCACTTAGTGCAGCTTCTACTTCACCAACTATCATGCAAGGAACAACATCTCATCCTGTTTTGTCAGCTTTGTCGAAAAATCCTGATAGAATTATAGTAGCAAGTAAGGGTTGTGGAAACTTCAGTGACGACACAGGTATTATAGTGATGGTCAATTTTAGCAACTGAACATTTGCGCACATACCCATCCTCTAACCCAACAATAGCCAACAAATGTATAAGTAGGGGTAATTTTAGGCCAGAGGAGGGGTGGGTGAACTGTTGCTGAGGTACTGACATTGACCATTGTAATGATAAAGGCGTTAGTCTCACGATTTAGTCATTCCTCACTTTGGATCGCGAGGGTTCTTTCTACAAACGATCAGATTTAATTCCCTCGGGGAATTAAGAATCAATTTCACTTGTATTTTCAAAGTTTTCTCAAAACTTTCTCGGGCCCATGCAATTACATATACTAAATGATTAATAAGCTCTTCCATGAAAAATTCAACCAATTTGTCGGCCATTGTGGCGCAGTTTGCTGGCTAAACGGAAAGTTTGGTGGACTGAAATAAACTCTTACGCGCGTGTAATTGTTCAGATTGTTTTTTTAGTCATTTTTTCTTCCAGCTCTTATTTTCTCAAAGTGATACTGGTAATAAAATTTACGTTTTCGGATATAAACATGTCTTGGGTCCCTCCCAGAGCTTCATTTCACCTTCGCCTTACAGCTCCGGCTAAAAATGACTCTGAGTCGGGTCCAAAACATATTTATGTGCTTTATTATGAAAACAGAGATCTAATGGTGCACGTTTTCTTTGCAGTTGCGTTTCACGAAAACGAAACTTCACCCAGTTTGATAATGATCAAAGAAAAAGGACAATTGAAACTACACTGCAGTTATTGTGCGAATTCACCACAACAGGTCTTTGGTCTTTTCTGGTACAAGGAGAATCAGATGATTCGTAATAGTACACACTATACGATAACAAATCACGGCAAAGATCTTGGTATTCCTGTGGTGCAGCAAGGAATGGATGAGGGACTTTTCATGTGTGAAGTTGTATCCTACAAACAGAACATTTCAAAGCTCATCACTGTTATTGTGAAGAAAGGTAAGCAATAATTAGTTTCATAGCATTCGTGTATCGGTAAGATAGAAGAAAGGCTCTCACTTGGAGAAACGAATTTTTTCATGACTCAAGGTCACCGTTGTTAGTCTTTCCTTTACTTTCATTCTACGTGGTGATGTGTTACTTAGGGCCGTGATATCACAAATTTTTTGTCCGGGAATGGAAAATTGGCCTGGCGTGAGCTCGATAGCCTTCATAGCTGGCAGCTTTGTCTGCGTTTTGAAGCACCAAGCGACAGAGTCGTAAAAACGAGCGATGGAGCTGCGAGAGGCTTGAGGTGGAAAATGGATCTTTCCCACTCACAACTTCCTTGCTAATTGCTTTAAAGCGCGCGCAAAGCCGCCAGATTGAGATTGAAGTTTCGATAAATGGGCGAATGAGTCGACTTAAGTACTTTTGTCAACGTATTGTGTCTTCGATCAAAGACTTGTTTTAAACCGTACGTGATATGTTTTATACCTTTACTTTATCTCACAGCCGAGTTAAATCCATTGTTGTTAAGCGTGTTTGCTCAAAACAAGTCATACCTGTCTGTGCAAATCGCCTGGCGTCTTACGGAACACGCTGTCTTCTGTGCCTGTCATGTCAGCCTGAAGCTGAGACTGTTGAACTCCAGTTCATGGAGTCAAGAAGTTACCAATTTATCTCAAATACTCGGGTTTTACACATTCGCACATCTGCAGCCCAGAAGAATGTATTTATTAAACATTACACTGCAAAACAAATACAAGCAGATTGAGAACAGAGCAGTGGTTTTCTGGTCAGCGGCTTCCAACTCTTCAGGTATGAGCAGTCATTACTCCCTTTGATTTTACTGTGTTTCCTAATAATGGCTTCCATGATCTGTTACTCGTTGCTAACAACTTTAAAGGTAAATGGTAGGCGCTTTCGCCACCTACTATCCTGAAAGAAATCTGCAAGCTATGCATAGTTAAAAAATTTCCTTTTAAAGAAAAACGTTAAGTAACCAAGCACACCAAATGGAATATGGGCAGTTTGTCTTTCGAACCTAAGTTCTTCGCGCAAGTTTAGGGGAGCAAAGGAAAAAAGAAAAGAAAGAGAAAATGTACATAATCACCAGGCAGGAACTAGGAGCGATTATCGCCGTTCTTAAGGCTCGAAAATTTTGGTTAAAGTTTAGCTCACGCAATTTGTGAACTATCTTGTTTATACGGGGAAAATAAAACGTGTCCCATGAGAGTATTTAGGCCTAATCATGAACTACACATGAAATTATTTTGACGCAAGCTAATCTGCTAAAAAGACTTTACAAGATTTTGCTCTATTATTACAATGTGACAGGCTTCTCAACCGTATTCAAGCCTTTTTGTGAAAGATTTCTGTCTTCTTAGCGGAGCCTTTGAAAATGGGGTGAATGCAATTATTCAGACGTCATTGTTTTAACTTATTACTAACGTTAACCCAAATGATAAAGAGAGATAGTGATGTATTTTGGTTTTACCAACTGAGTTGACAATGTAAATTGGCCACCGTGAAGAGTTTCTAAATCTGAAGTTTCAAGCGTTAGCTCTTCGTTAGAGCAGAAGGGCAGATGATGTAATTCATTGGTTATTAGCTTTGGCCAACGAAATAATCTTATTCCCCACGAGAATTAAACCTCAGATCTTCGGACCTTGTGCTTTCATGTTCAACCACAGTCACAGTAAAAACATTTGTTGGTCTCGCAACTGGGCCGTACGCCAGCTGGCTCAGAGATGCCAAGGATCCTGTATATCGATAGGATTAGCAGCACAAAAGGCATCGTGCGTGTAGATATAGAATAAGAAAGATAGCAGACTTTAAGCAAAATTATGTTTCCTTTCTTGTTTCAGAGTTTGATCAAAGATTACGGCTTCTCTATCACGTGATCAACAAGAGAGCTTTAAGCGTGGCGCTAGGGATCATAGGATTGCTGGGGATAATAATGATAACATACGTCTGTGCCACGTGGTGTTATTCTGATAAAAGAGGTTATTCCATCCCACCAGCGCAGATGAAGAGAAAGGACGAGAATGACAGTAGTTTTGAAGTAGACACTCACTTGCTTTACAACAGGTTTGTTTTGACCATTACGTTCACTTGTCTCAGTTTAGCCTGAGTCACAGAGGCTCGACTTACAGGGAAAGTATGCTTCAGAAACCACATAATTCTCAAATCAGCCATTGAACATTAATAAGAAATTATAACGTTGATTATGTTTTGAAATTCCAAAGAGTAGCCTAACCCTTTTGAAAATTTTTTTCCAATATTCTAACATTCGCTTGTAGACGCCGCCATTTTGAATCTACAGATACGGCTTACCTGTAAACAACCGACTAGGAGCTACACAGGAGAGGCTTTCTTGACCAAGATAATAATTTTCATTCGTAAACAATACCAGCAACTGCGTGTAGACCGCGCAGTCCGTTTTTTAGCGCGGCCAGATAACTGAATTGCTTTTACCTGTCCATAACGACCAGTTTTCCAATGGTTGGGTCATTCTTTGGAGTCTCGAACTGCAGATAGCAGTAAATTTACATGCATTGATACATGCTCATTTTCTTTGGTGCTGGAGCTTGCTACTTTCTTTTCGTGGAGTGTGAGCGTTTTGGAGCGACACACGCAAGGGAGTTTCTATAGTGCGTATATTCCCTTCCTCCCTCGCGTTTCTCGCTTCTTTGCAAAGCACCTGTTACGCAGGCTAGCTTGCTTCTGTTATGTTAATTTCCTCTTCTGGCCACATGTGTTTTCCACGCCTCTCGCGAGGCTTTCTTCGTCCTGCACTGTAACGTGGGCTCACTATCGGCACAGTCGAAGTCGCTAAAGTGAATTCAACATGACGTTATCTTTTTCAAAGTAATCTCTCTCTCTAATTGTAATAATGTTCGTGAGTACAACGAAATGTAAAGGATTCAAGATAACTTTTGTTTCAATCTTCCATCTTAAGGGCCTTTGAAGACGACAAACTAGATTGGATGAACGAGGATATATGATCGCAAAACAAAACTATTTCAATATCGTATTTGATCAAGCTCTCGATCTATCTTTCATTGCTTTACAAAGTATTTTTCCGGCATCTTTTTTTCTGGATTTCTTCTCTTCTATAAATCTCAACAGTGAAAACACGCAAGTTTTGTTGCCTTTCTTCAAGCAATGGATGTTGAAACCAAAGATCGTTTAAGACAAGTAAATTGTAAACTTTTTTACTTCCTCCGGACATGTTGTATGAATGTACATTTACATCCTTCACTTTCACCTTTGAAAAGCACACCAGGCAATATTTTCTGTAGAATGCGAATAAAAAAAACACTGTCTAACGGGGTGATTTTTATTTTTATTTTAATTAGTGCATGCTTAATCTACAAACACGAGTCAATCTGTACAAAAATTCCAGCGCTCGAACATCTAAACAATAACTACAAAGCACGAATGATTACCTAACGTTTTTCACACTAGACGTGCTTCTCACTATACTTTTCCTGTTTTTTCGACATTAAATTGATAAAAAAAGAAGCCAAATTGAATTGATTTTCTCTCTTGCCTTAAGGCCTACCAATGTCAAACACCATTGGCTTCACAACAATTTTCTCTAATTAAATTATTTTAAATGTTATGATCACAAACCATTTCGCTCACATCTCTCACAGTCTGTATAGGCAAACAGGGAACCTGCCCTTTTTAATCCCAATGCATTGTTATAAAGACAGCAAGAGTATCATTTAACCTAATACGCCATAGTTTACAGTCGGTGGATATAACATCACGAAAGTTCACGTTCATCAAGTCACGTGACACAAGTTCATCACCGTTCTTCAGTGGCATTGATGTAACTTGCGTCAAAATTGTTCAGATCAATCGAGATCTGTTAAAGAAGAAAGAAAAAGACCTCAGTGATGAACATCACCTTATAATGCAAAGAACAAGTTTTTGCCAAAGTTCTCCATACCAGTTTTCGTTCGTATTACTATTCATATAACTTTTCATGAAAAACTTGAAAACTTAAGAAAATTTCTTCATTAATTGAGATAAAAACAATAACACGCCAGGATGTGAAGTGCTTTTGAGCCAAATAGATGGTCACAAAAAAGACAACAACAACAACATTGAAAAATTATTTCTCACAGAAACCGATGTTTCCTCGTCTTGTCACCAGCGCGGGACCAAGAAAAATTCTGAGTTGCCAATGAGGAATCAACCCCAAACCTCAATTTTGTATATCTGAGGTTCGAGCCCTCAGAAGGGTTAGATATTCTTGTTTGTTGTCTAACAATTTTAAAAGATTTTAAAGCATCTTTGCTCCAAAATACCATGCTATGGACTTTTCCCCATCAACTTTCACGATCGTCAAGTTTATACAATTGTAGCCTTTCTTTTGAACTCACCCTTTCTGCTGTCATCAGTCTGTGTAGAGTTTTTCCTATTTCAAGGAAAGTTGGTCTGGCCTCTGGTTCTTGCTGCCAGCACTGCCACATGATGGCATATCTACAACAAAGAGAACATCTCTTATCTAAGTATTAAATTCATAGGGTTTGAAATCAAAGGAAACATAACCGAAATCTGAGAAAAAAAAAAAAAAAAAAAAAAGCGATACGTCAAAGCTCAACGCTGAACCTACTGAGCTAAGTGGCATTCTTTGCGGATGAATGTGCGAATAAGCTTCAGGAAAAATATCTACCCAGAGTAGAAGGTTTACCATTGACACTAGAGATCTTAAATTCCAACTGTACTTCAAGAAAACTTCTTGAACACAAAGGCATTCTGGCTGAAGTAGATAATAGAAATCCTTTCTTTTGTTCACAAATGAGAAAAGAAACGCATATTTTTCCCATATTGTGACCACTGCAAGCTTAGAACAATTTTTAGCGACAAAACTACTCACACTTCATCAGAACAGTATTGTGGTTTGGGCATCCTGTAACCAATATGCAGCTGAGCTATCACTTGATCTCTGTTCATACCAGGATAGGGATTAGCCCCTGCAATAGAAATAAAACTACCTAAATAAATGATATCGTATTTTTTTTTTTTAACACAAGGAAAGTTAAGGATAACAACACTCAAATAAGAGGGTTGGAGATCAGCTACGTCTCGAGCAACTCTTACGCTTCTCCCGTGATCTCCACACTTACTGCGTGCTTCTTATAACTCGATGAACGCACGCTGACAGAGAATTGGTAAATATGGAGTGGAACCTTTACCTAAAGTGACAATCTCCCACAGAAGTATGCCATATGACCAACTGCAAGAAAAGAAAAATTATTAACAAAAAATGGCACCCGACACGTTGTAATTAAGCACAAACATAGTGAGCCATTGTTATGACGAGTTATTAAGAAACTGCTTCATCCAAACAGCGTTAAGATATTCATTCCACTTAAACAATATTTCTAATTTAGACATAACATAATTAACAATTATTCACCGAAATGGAGATGAGTAGTGGTAAATATCCACCACTTTCACCAACGCTGAGTTGAGTAATTGTTTCAGTATTTACCACACAGATTCCAAAATATTAGTTTTTTTCTTTCAAATATGGTCAGAAATTAAATTGTTGACGCACCATTTTGCCTCTTCGCCTGCTCAGAGGTCAATGGTCCTCGTTATTCACTTCCGTACCAACCAATCAGCGCGCGCAAATAGCACTATTCACCTATTTGGTGTATACTAATAGCAAATTTGCAACTTTCAAAGTTTTAGCAACAAAAAGAAATTTTCTTGAAGATATCGTTCTCCTATGTTTCAACTATCACATGATTAACTCGCAAGAATTACGACAATGTTATGCAACAACTTACATGTCACTTTCTGTGGTAGTGATTCCCTTAAATATTGATTCTAACGCCATCCAGCGAAGAGGTAATTCTGCCTAAAAATGACAAAAAAAAACAACAAAAACCAATCACGTCGCCAAGTCATATGAATAAGAAAGCCAAGGCTTTCAAATATCACTGATGTCAACACCTCTACCACACAGTTACTTACACAAATAACAAATTCATTATAGCAAAACTCCGACAACTGATTCAGTTGGCTTTTGGAGTTGCGAGGCAACAACATTATTGCAATGACTAAGGTCTTAAACTTAACTTAAACCTATTTCGTTGACCATTCGTTGGCCTCTGGACACCTATCAGGTCGGGGTGATAGAAGGGGACCATATTCACCGGGTAACCGTAAAAGGGGAACATTTCTCGAAATTTCCCGTAACTATACAGGCCCGTAGAGGCCCGTTATGCTGTTCTGTTTTCATTCCAGAAATGGGTTTTAAAGGTTTTGGAAACGAAACAAAAAACTATCAGCTAAAAAAAAACCAAATGTATCGGTTAGGGTGCCAGAAACTGTTTCTGTACTGTTAAAATTTGTTATTTTCAAAATTTCAAGACACGAGCCCCTTAACCGCACCATAAAAGCGCTATATAGTCAAACGTTTCCATTTAAAACGATTTCTGAAAGAACTATGCGGTCTCGTTAGCCAGGATATTACTTTCGATGTGCAAAAATCATGTTTGGTGTTTCGGAGAAATTTAAAAAAAAATAGTACGAATGTATCAAATGTAAAATAAATGTTGAAGGGATTGTTCATAACATTAGTTTGAAGGTATGAAAATAAACTTTTTTCTAAGATAATACTTCACTATTGTAGCAGTTCGCGAGAGTTAATGTCGGCCGCTATCACTTTCACTCTGAGTATGCTCTCAGTCGATGGAAGCCGATATGTCATAGGAAACGAAATTAAACAGGATAAACCTTTTAAACTCTAACAGAAATCTTGAGTAAATGATTGATTTTTACTAAAAACTCCATCATTTACTCTAGAATTAGTAACCAACCTACCTCTCCTAACTTTAGGTATTGTTTCTTCTCGTAAATATCTCTGGCTAGACCAAAGTCAGAAATCTTACAAATGTTTCCTTTGTCCACCAGAATGTTTCTAGCAGCCAAGTCTCTGTGAACAAGCTACAAAGCAAATCATAGCAAGTTAAAATTATTACACAACACATGTTCAAAAGTATTTCCCAACAAGACATAGGCACACAGTTAGTAAAACTAAGCGATTTGTAAAGGGCGCGAAAGTTACAGAGGAGTGAAAAAATGATGGAAGTTGAATTGCTCACGCGATCAAAGAGAAGCGTGAACTATGATTGGCCGATGATTACATCCTATCTTGTTACAATAACCGTGCGCGAGATGTGGATTATCATACTGAAGATCTTGAATGACTTAAAATATATAGATTTCATATATTTGAACGGCGGATTTAAAAATGAAGACGAGAGAGATCATTGCAGTTATGACAATACTTACGCAGTAGTAAAATTTAAGACTGAAAAAATTCAACTTACCTTCATACTTGAAAGGTAACTCATTCCACGAGCAACTTGCCACGCAAATGACATCAGGTCACGGCTCGTCAAAGACACACTATTACCTGCCATGTTGGCGTAAACAACACTGCCGTGACTGGAAATAAGGAAATCTTTCAAGTTCCCCGAGGAGCAGTACTCTACGATTATGAAAGGCTGATCTGTTTAAAGTGAAAAAAAAGGAAAAACTTTTATAATTTCATTCTTAACATTTCGATTTCCCTCACGTGATAGAGATTTTTAATCTGTGTCAAGTAACTCGGCTTGATTCATGGAGATTTTAGTTCGTTTTATTCAAACAATTTCTCCTCCAGATTATGACACCATTTCTTCCCAAGCTTCTCCTTTCTTTTACCCCACAACGCATCTCATTAGCAATGTCCAGGGTTCAAAAATCGATGAATACAATACAGTAAATGATGAATACGATTGGAGAGGAAGGCGGCGTCGGATAATACTCTCCCAATTAATCCCGATGCGAAGGAAGGTAAAACTAAACTGCTTACTGTCTGTTATGGTGCTTGTACGTTCAATCTTGCTAGAGAAACTCCATTCTTTTTTCTTGGGTAAAAAATTGTCCTCTCGACAAACAAAATCAGGCGCCACTCCATATACTTTAACTCTCTCCACTCACCTGATTTAGTACAACACCCAACCAGACCAACAATATTTGGATGAGGTACCATGGGTTTCATTAGTTCCAACTCATCAAGAAACTCTTTCTTTTGTTGCTGATCAATTTTCTGTCAGAGATAACAATATCGCGAATGAGCCACTCTGCTTCGGAAGTCTCATACCATGGAGGGCATGTTTACGTTAAGGCAGGTGACCGTTTGTCGAGTCACCATGTTTATCTTAGAGTTAGACGGAAGAGGGAAGGGAAGAGTTCTAGATTCAAGATGGCGGCCGAGTTTTTTCATAGGCGATCGCTCGCCAAAATCTTAAAATTACTTTTCTCAGTTTACAATTGAAGACAACCGACTTGAATTTTGAGAGCGTTCAAGCAACCTAAAGCCCTTGACGCATGGAATCCTTTAGTATATGAGCATTTCTCGAGTTATTCTTAAATAATGTTCGTCACCGCTATCTTAAGCGTTGCAACGAAGAGAAACGTTTCAGGACAAACACGATGAGATCTTAGTCCCTACCACGCCAGAGCTTGCGCCAGTTAAGCCAGAGAAAATCAGTCCAACCGTAAGTAAGCATACAAACCTTTTAGCATCTTTACGGCTACAACCTGTATGCCTCGTTTCGTCTTCAAATAACCCTTCATGACTTGTCCAAAGTGGCCTGAGCCCAATTTCCTATCAATGCGCACATTCCTCTTAGGTACTTCCCACTGTTTTGGTCGAGAGATGGATGCATACTCACTGCCAGCTGCCATAGCGGCTGCCGCATCGGGTTTGATGGTGACATAAGAATACGTGTCACACCTCTGGGTTGGAGGGGATTGGCCGACATTGGGATCCGCATAAGTGTACGGGTCTTCTCCCTGTGTCAGGAATGAAGTGAATGGTTTAGAGCGCTTTTTGATTGTTTTTTTTAAGACCAAAACTTACGTAACTACAACAGACAATCAGAATAAGGTAGACATCACAAATAGTAACTGAGAACTTAATATAAATCATATAACCAAACTCAAGCGCCATACTCAAGCTACAAAAACAACAAATCTTTTTGTTGGTCGCAAAAAGAAGTAACACAACTGAATAATAAGAAAACTACTTATAGTTAACAAGCTATTTTCAAAAGCATAGTTTAATCATAACTGGAGCCTAGAGGCTAGAGGAACCACGAGGTTTTTTAGCTTAACTCTTCCCATTTGAAGTCAGGTTTTTAACAAAAAGAGAAACGAGAGAAAAAAAACCCACACTTAAAAGATCGTGTAGTACTACAACAAAGACAGATACTTGAATTTTTATTTAAGTTACTTATGGTGTTGTTCCGACAGCAAATAATATTTCACTTGTAGATAGAAATAAGAGAAATGGTAAGTTTTTTAGCTCGGTAAAGACATAGAAAAGATGTTTTTTTTTCGTCTTGTCACGAGCGTGGGACAAAGAAAAAAATTCTGAGTCCCCACGAGGAATCGAACCCTGAGAATCGGATTCATCGGAGCATAGAAGCGCGGAGTCCGAAGGTCTGAGGTTCGATTCCTCATGGGGACTCAGAATTTTTTTTTTCTTTGTCCCACGCTCGTGACAAGACGAAAAAGAACATATTTTCAACATTTCACTTATTTGTCCAAAGACAATGTATTCAGGTCTTTAAAATAATAAGGAATGTCTTGCCAAAGATCTATCGCCTCAAATGAAAGCATTTGTCTAACGATGTTGGTTCGAGGATAGAGTTTCCAGAAATTTTGCGAGGAAAACGTTTGCGGTTTTTGCGCGCTTCCTAACCTTAACTATTTAAACCCTAAGAGTGACTGGCACCCAAGTTCTCCTTACAACAGTATCGCTAAATCATCTATCATCATTATGAGAATACAGAGAATGATCGCCAACCTAAGAAGCTTTGATTACCAAATGATTTCTCCTTGTCAATACCAAAAGGAATGTATAGAGAAGAGTATGGAGAAAATGGATGTTGACGTTAGAGTGTAAAGGGTTAACTCGCCCTAACAAGACGCCTACTCTGCAGGCTTACGTTAGGCCAATGCCTCTTCTTTAACCCTTTAACTTCTATGAAAGACCAAGAAAGAATTTCTCCTTACAATATCAATACAATATCAAGTAGACAAGTGATGAGAATAAAGAAAAATATCAATGAGAGGATTATTAGTTGATCTCATACCAAATTCTCCAAACTAACATCACAAGAACTATTTGGCCGACAGTAAGGAGAATTGCTAATGAGATCGTAGGAGTTAAAGGGTTAAAAGATGTAAATATTTTCTAAGTGTAACTACATACCACCACAGAGTAATGTACAGCTGGGAGAGGCTGAGAAGGATCTTTTTTCTTCTTGTTTTTACGACGTATGATCAGCACCACCACAATAACCAAAAGTACAGCACACACCCCTCCTATGACTCCACCCAATATGGCGCCTGTTGATGAACCTTCGTCTTTACGGGCTTGCGGACCGCTGTCTTCCCCTGAAAAAAATACGTTAAGAAATATGTCATATCGAATAAAGGGGGTACGTTTCTACAGAAACTGTGAAGCTGTGTCTGCTGGGGTGTATTACAAGATAATTTAGCTTTATCGACTGAGTTAATGATGTGAGTTGGCCACCATAAAGAGATTCTTAAATTGACATTTCAAGTGTTAACCCTTCCTTCAGAGCGAATCTAAATATGGAGGCTCGCTAGTTAGCTATACCAAGTAACTCCTACTAACAATGTCAGTGTAATGTCAATCTGGAAAGTGACTGATAGCAAAGATAATCACCTATGGGGTATTACTTGATTTAACAATAAATTCTCACAACTAAATTAAAACAAGTGTAAGGAGGACAATAAGGAGAATTGGCATAAAGATCTTTTTGGTGTTCACCCATTCACTCCCAAGACCTGCTTATTAATTCTCTACTCTAGCTGTTACAGACTTCCTGGTAAATTAGTTACTGGAATTTTGTTTTAGACCACAATAACTTCTTCTACCTGATAGTTTTAAGGGTTCTCATCACCTGTTTGTGGGATAATGTATGTACATCACTTGGAGAAGTAACATGTTAAAACACTCCTGGGTTTTCAAGGGTTAAAATAATTTATTTAATAATGCACATGAAAAAGTTATGTGCTTCTTATTGGCTGAAAATGACTGCATTCTCATGTAACACAAATGCAAAGTTGTAACAAGAGTGCATATTATAAATGACACCTGCACACTTTCAAAATTTCATCTATCTGGACTTAACATGATTTCTTGTGCAATTTAGTGTGAATAGGCATTTGTAAATTTTTCAAAGACAACAGCTCATTAACCCTTTTTACTCCCATGAGTGACCAAGACAGATTTTCTCCTTACAATATCAAGCAGACAAGTGATGAGAATAAAGAAAAATATCAATGAGGGTATTATGAGTTGATCCAATACAAATTCTTCATACTAACATCATAAGAACTGTGTGGCAGACAGTAAGGAGAATTACTAGTGAGATCTTGGGAGTTAAAGTGTTAACAACAAATTGCACTTGAAATCATGTTGTTACCTACACACATTGAACAACAATGTACCTTTTAAGTTCACTGAAACTTCACTGGATTCACCAGATCCAAACTGATTGACAGCTAGCACACTGAAAACAAATACACCATTCCATCCCTCTTCCTTATTCAACATGGCACTTGTCAAATTTCCTGATATTTTATCAGAACTTGTCCACACATCTGAGCCGCTGATCTTGTATCTTACAATAAAGGTGCTGTCGGCTCCTCCATCATATCCAGGGAGCCATGATACCAGTATAGTTTGGAAAGATGTTTGTTTGACTGTGACATTAGAGGGTGCCTCAGGGGCTCCTGTGAGGAAGTAGCAGAAGAAAAAAAATTTTAATGACACTGTGGTTACATTTATACATTTGAATCTGAACCTTCAGGAACAAGAAACATTGTTTGATATACTGATATACTCAACTGAGCTCATGCATCCAGGGAATTCAAGTTACCATTTTCAGGAAATTTCCCATAACCTTTTAATTTCCAAGTGATAAAGACGTAATTTCTCCCTAAAATATCCTTACAATATCCAGCAAGCAGGTGATGAGAATAGTCAATCTTGTCAGGTAAAAAATTATTTCCACTAATTTATAAGGAAATGTGAAGCAGTTAGAGGGGAGAATTAACAATCAGTTCTTAGGGGTTAAAAAGTCAACACCAAAGATTTTATATAGTGCAGCTGAAATATAAGGGTTAATTTCTTTGTTTGCTGGAGTGGGGACAAAACTAAAAAACCCTCCAATTCCAGCAAGGGGTTACTGAAATTTTTCTATCTCAAACCTTTCCAAGTGCAACTACTCATTCATAAAAATGCAAACAGAGCACACATTACTGTTGGGTTTGAAAACTTATATCAATTACTTATAACTTCTGGCTAAAAATTCTTGTAAACAGGTCAGATCTTTGCTCTCTTTTTAAAGCCTTGCTGGGCCAAGTCACTATCTTTATCTTAATCAATACATCACCCACATAAACATTCAATTAATTTGATTTGATTTCCAAAAATATTGCTAGCTATCCAAGACAGGGGATGTTGACCTCAGAGGGAAGTTATGAACATAGAAAATCTACTGATGAGTTAATAAAGTGCTCCAACAACAAGTACTACAGAAAAGTGAAGACTTTGAGAGCATGTCATTCATCTTTACCAGTAGTAAAAATTTATAGAGCTACCTTTGACAGCCAAAGTTATATTTGCTGAACCGGTTCCAAACTGATTTTGAGCCATTAAGGCGTAAACCCCATTTTGACTGTACTGCACCAAAGTTATAAGAAATTCAGCTTTGTATGTGCCATTAGCATGTAGCTTAATGGTTCCAGGATCTTTGAGCTGTTTGCCATCTTTATACCATGTGACATCTGGCTCAGTTTCACTCATTACAAAGAACTGTAGTGTTATGTTGGAACCCTTCCTGATGTCTCTATACAGAAGCAATGATTTGACCTCAGGCACTCTTCCATCTACAGAAAATCATTCAAATAATGGAATTATGCTTTTAGATAGTAAATCTTCTGTGTTTCGCAGATTGTCAACTATGTCAAACAGATTGGACACACTAAAATAGTTGAGGGAGAAAGTTTTAATTAATGTTTTCACAGTGAAATTAAATTAGGTCAGGTGCACTCCTTTGAAAAGTCAGGTTGTGAGACAGCAGACCCATCTTGCTATAAAGTGCAGTTTTATGAAGGTTCCAGTTGGGTGAAGCAGTAAGGATAAATGCCACTCCTCTTTAAAGCATATTCCAAATATTGAAACTCTTCTAGGGGGGAGTTGACATTGTATAGACCCTGGGCCCCTGAAAGGGCAAATACGAACTGCTAACAATTAAACAATTCAATTGGTTATTGCCAATCTTTCATTCTACATGTTAATTCCAATAAAAGTTTTTCTATTTTCAATTTTTTTCTTTTGTTTCAATAGAAAACACTAAGCTGAGGTTAAACTGTACCACCTCAAATACAAAGATACAAAATTTAATGAATGCCCGAGTCTTATTAACCATGTTGGAGGTCCCTACTGTAAGTTAAGGACCACTGAAGTTTTTTCTGCTTGAATTCATGGCCTAAGTATAACATACAAAGGCCATAACTCCAAGCGGAAAAAATGAAGTTCTGAAACTTGTAGTAGGGAACCAAGAAAACAAGGTCATTTTATTACTAATATCTCTAGGTTTGATTTCAATTAACTCAAACTATTGAATTTAGCAAAATGTAAAAATAAAATATGGCCTGCTAAGTTGACCAATCACAGCACATGGGCTATCTGAGAAATATAACAAGATATGATTATTTAATTGTCATGTGATAAGAAACAAACATACCTCCAACAAACAATGTTATGTTGCCCTCAGCTGTGCCTGCCACACCACTGACAACACAAACAAAATGACCTGAAACAGAACTTGTGACATTGCTTAATTCTAAAATGGCTTCAAATCTTGACCCTACACCTCGGACAAATTGAAATCCTAGGTCTGTGACTTTGTTTCCATCTTTGTACCAAATTACTTGTGGTATTGGGCTTCCACTGAAGAAACATTTCAACTCAACATCAGAACCAACTGCAGCAACTACTGCTGGTCTTGGTACTTCAACTTTATAAGGAATAACAGAACCTTTGGAGAAAAAAAAAAAATGTTACCTCTACAAATTATCATGGTACAATCTGCACAGGAAGGGTAGTCTTTATTAATCACTAGGGAAAATTTATGTTTGAAGAACCCAGGCTGTAACCATAAAGGAAATTTAACAGCAGTCATTATTTTATTAAACACAGATGCCATCAATTGAAAGTATGCAAAAAAAAAAACACCTCAGTCATAACTCCACTTTAATCTGACAATTATGTATGCTGGGGACTTTTTACCTCAATGGTGCTTGAAGCAATGTGAATGATTGTGCAAATTGTATTTTACTTTACAAGGAAAAGGTGTGGGAAACTTCTGACAATGAAAAGTAGTTTTCATTCATATTATTATTAAAAAAAAAAAAAAAACTTTAGATACAAGCATAAAAATTTAAGTACCACCAACATGTTTTGCTGTCTGAGTGAAAACCTTGATGGTACAGAGATGAGTTTTCCTTACTGTATCTTCAATTAATTTTGAAAATATCAAATTTAGCCACAAAGTTGAGACTTCTTTTCCTTTGTAATTTAAGTGTCACAAAGTGCATATTGTTTCAAATACCTCACTATTAGCTTTCCAAATGATTGGTTGAAATCAGGGAACACCAAAATCAGTGAAATTTGCCTTTTGTGTGCTGTTTGCATTCCAAAAATATCTTGCACAGGGGTATCTCCTACAGGTACATTAAAATAACTTGAATAATCAAGTCACTCACTAGAAAAATAAACTCTAGATTTCCTGCTTGTTACACTTCCTTTGGCATTAGTCACTATGCAACAATATTTCCCAGTATGACGACGTCTTATTCCATCAATTTTCAACTCAAATATCTTTACATTGCGCCAAGTTGTGTTTGTTAAGGAGAATGAATTGTCCTCCCTTAAATCACTGCCATTGTGAGTCCACTTAACCGCAAATGATGTGGCACTGCCAACAACACCACAGGATAATGCCACACTCCCTCCAATGACAGTTGGGACATCCTGGGGTTGCATAACAACTGAGGGATCTTAAAGACAAAAATGTAAAGATCTGATTGTTAATTCTCCCTTCTAGCTTCAACTCATTCCCTTGTAAATTAGTTAGAAGAATTTGGTGATAGATCAAGACAACAACTTCTACCAGATAAGTTTGAGTATTCTCATTACCTGTTTGCTCAATAATGTCTGGATATTATAGGGAGAAGTTACATGTTAATCACTTCTGGGAGTTAAAGGGTTAATATATAAGTCAATGAGGGAGGAGAATATTAATTCTCCGACCCCTTTAGGCTGGCTAGCCTCTGTCGTAATTTCTCCTTACATTATTACCTACAAATCACACATCAACCTTTTAACTCCCCAGGACTGATTGTTCATTCTCCCCTCTTACTGTTACACATTTCCTTGTAAATTGGTTATGAGAATTTGGTGTTCAATCAAGATAACGATTTCTACCTGATAAGTTTGAGTAGCCTCATTACCTCATTACTGGACAATATATGGATATTACAGAGAGAGATTACATGTCAATCTCTTCTGAGAATTTAAGGATGAACCCTTCCACCCCTAAGAGTGACTAACATCTAATTTCTCCTTACAATATCTCTCCTGAATCACTCATGAAGGCCACAAGAATAAAGGAAATGATCATCAACTAAAGAAGCTTTTGACTGTGAAACAAATTCTCCTTGTCAGCACGTTAGGAAATGTATGATGAACAGTGTGGAGAATATACATACTGATATTAGGGTGTAAAAGGTTAAAGTTATGAGAATAAGTAAATGATTATCAACTAAAAAATCCCTTGATTGTTACACAAATTCTCCTTGTCTGTGCCTTAGGAAATGTTTTGAGAATCACTCATGAAGGCCACAAGAATAAAGGAAATGATCATCAACTAAAGAAGCTTTTGACTGTGAAACAAATTCTCCTTGTCAGCACGTTAGGAAATGTATGATGAACAGTGTGGAGAATATACATACTGATATTAGGGTGTAAAAGGTTAAAGTTATGAGAATAAGTAAATGATTATCAACTAAAAAATCCCTTGATTGTTACACAAATTCTCCTTGTCTGTGCCTTAGGAAATGTTTTGAGAACAGTATGGAGAATATGCATACTGATGTTAGGGACTTAAGAGTTAAATCTAAGGTCTGGGGTTCCTTTCAAGGTGGTAAGGTCAATAACCATTAAACTGATCATCTGAATTCAATTTCCATTCAAAATGGTTTCAAGAACAAGGCTGAATGTCACATTTGAGACCTACATGTACATTGTACATAACAACCCACAAGGTTGCATTGATAACCTTTCTAACTTAGGAATTTGTACTGACATCTTCTGCAATCTTTAATTAATGGCACTCCAAGGTTTTTCCAGAAGTACCTCCAATGTTTTTAATAAAATTACATACCTGAGACCACTTCAACATAGACTGAAGAAGAAATAGATCCATGATAATTAGATGCTGTACAGGTGTACCATCCAGAGTGGGAAGCCTTTGCAGAGGAAAAAACTAAATTGTTTCCTACAACTACAGGATTAAAGGAAACTACAAGATGTCCATTGTGTGACCAAGAGTGCGCTGGCTCAGGAAATGCAATAGCATCACATGGCAAGGTGTATTCTTGATCTTCATACAATGTCACATTGCGTGGCTTGATTTTCCAACTAGGTGCACTTTCTAGATGAGAGATGGAAAAATTGGTTAGTCAAACTTTGCTCTCAAAACATCAACTTGGATATCACTGATGACTTTTGAAATCTGATTGGCTCTCAGCACAGTGATTTATTCACAAGCCCAAAAATGTTTTTACTATAAATGAAAAAGCAACATCAAAGCAAAACAAGCAATCAGATTTCAAGGCTTGCTTAAAGTGATCAATCAAATTTCAGGAAAATGAAAGAAAAAAAAAAGCAGTTGTCCCATGAAACATTTTTAGTTTTAAATGTGGGAGGGAGGTGGGAAATTGAATTTTAACAAATATTTTTTGACCATTTGCCCAAACTCAATGTTGTCATGATGTTAATCTTAAGAGTTTGCATACCTGTTTGCACAGTAATGTAAAAATTGGCTTCAGCTCTTCCATGTTTATTCTGGGCCACACAGCCATATTGCCCTGCATCTGACCATTGTAGGTGGAAGATATAGAGATTTCTAAAGACAGAACCCACAACAAATCTGCCTCCAGTTCTAATCACAGTCTCACCACTGGTAGTGTATCTCACCCACTTCACAGAAGGCATTGGTATGCCTGTTGCAGAGCATTTTATAACTGTTGTTGAAGAATGTAACTTGGCTGTTATATTCTTGGGTTTATGTGTGAAGTAAGGTTTCAAACTTTCTGTAAATTAATAATAATAATAATAATAATAATAATAATAATAATAACAATAATAATAATAATAATAAATAAATAAATAAACCAGCGGGCAAATCAGTGTGTGAAATACGTTCCAAAAATAACAGTTATGAAACTATTCTTCGTATGAATTTTTTTTTTCTGTTTGGGATAGCTGCATTATGATTCCCACGACATTGCGTTGTTGAATGGGTCACACTGCCATCTGGGGTTTCCCTGTAAGTCTTCTGAGATCAGGGACTTGGCTGCGTTAAAGCCCAGAAATTGGATTGTGGACAACAAGACGAAGTGGAAAGATTTCCCCACAACCTTGATATAATCCAACCAGCAATCTACTATTTTTTGCCACTGTTTTCTTTATCTGAGAACGATAAGCGTCATGAGCATGTAGCTGTGCAGAATTGCGGACACTTGGAAATCAAGATCGAGAAGGTCTGGTGACCTTCTCAATTACAGCTAAGAAAGTCTTCAAATATGTTGAAAAATTAATTACCCCAGCTTGTTTCACACTCCCCTTGCATCAATTTTTTTCTCAGTCTGACTTTAAAGAATGTATGATAATTAAAACTAGCAAGATAATTGTTCAGGCTTTATGTTTGAAAACATTGCGATGCATGCACATGTAATTAACTCGAAGTTAAATGAAATTGAATAAATTTCATGGAACTCCAACAGAGCAAATCCAGTCAAGACGAATAAAAAAACAGCTCATAGCGGAGTTTTAATTAATTGGACGAGTAACCTGATTTCAGCTTAATCTAATACTTACGGGTCTGAACACTTGAAAACTTTGTCTGGAAGACAAAACACGTCATCAGTAACGTTAAGCTTATGTTCTTCCAAACAGAATCCATTTCCGCTCGCTCGATCAGCAAACAAAACGAATTCGATTCGCCCGGGTGAATAGGTTAAAAACCAACGTCTGAGAATTAGTCCTGCAAGAAACAATATTACACAGAGAGAAAGAAATTCATCATACAAGATCAGTAGTTTTTGAGAGCGCGAAAGGCATAACTCTGCTCTCTGACAAGTCTAATGTAAATAAGTGACGCAGTCCCGCGTACAAATTCGCTGCAAGTCATGCAAGAGATGTATAGATCAAAAGATAACATTACTAACAGCAACATTTAATAGCACGAGATACTACTCACTTGTCTTTCTTCCTACCGAGATGAATCAGCAGAACTAATAATCACAACTCCACCTGATTGATCCAAGCTGAAACTTGAACGAGCCGACTGTCATTACTATTTAAACGCCGCTTGACGTCATGTCGGGGGTGAGAGGGTGTGACATGGGATCGGTAACTTCCGTTGAGATGAACTTCCGGTCAACAAAAGATTATTACTTCCATCTTGTTTCAAAGACTGATCGACTAACATGGATTGAATTTAAGATCAATTTAGACTTGCGGATATCAACATTTAGTGTGGATGGGCAATTTAGGTTCAGATAGGCAAACACAAAATTGAAGAAGCGATTTAAAATGTTAATACGTGATTTCCGAATGCCTCTTGTCATCATGTAGACTCACATACAATATAGGAATATTGGTTTTATCGGTCATCTTCGCTCGACATGTACCATGTGTCTGCAAAGAAGCCAATTTATTATGTTGTCAAGTATCCTTGTTAACGGTTGGTGAGATCACGATCAAATCCTGCTGGTTTCATCTTTTTTAACCAGATTATTTTTAAGCCAAGTAAGACAATACAAATAATAAAAACGCAATAGCCAAGATGCGTTTTTAAGCGGATCTAACAAGCGGATTTCAAGGCATCGTGTTCGCGTTAATCTTGTTAACAGCGCTACAAGAAGATTACGACGATTGTAAACCTATAAGAGGCTCAACAGCTGTCCGTGGCGATCAAGTAAAAATATGTTGT